CCACCACCACACACACACCCCCACACACACACCACCACCACCCACACACACACCACCACCACCCCACACACACACACACACACCCCACACACACACCACCCCACACACACACACACACACACCCCACACACACACCACCCCCCCACACACCCACACAAACCACCACCACCCCCCACCCCCTCACACACACACATACACAACCTCACCCCCCCCCACACACACACACAGAGGCCGCAGCTCAGTGCTGCAACACTAACTCACTTCACACACCCCACACGCACACATACCCCCCCCCCCCCCGACCCCCCTACTCTCTGCGCACCCGTCAGCGGCTGAGAATTGCGGATCAGCAGCCACTCCGCTGCCCACTCAGCCCCAGCGAACCTGTCGCTGTGCCCTTTCGGGGATGTTGGCTGCAAAAGAAACCGTCCAACAGCACAATATCGGTGCAGACGCATTGCAGCCACAGACACCTCCTGATCAACATTTGTCTCTCCTGTTTTTTTTTGTTTCAATTAAAATTCCCCCCCACCCCCCACCCCCACACCCATGATAGTTAAATCCAGAAAATGCTGTTGTCGAACAAAACGGGTTTGTGTCTCTTTAATAGGGCATTAACTGTGGTCGAGTCCAAGAACGGTAGTAGGTTTCTGGGACTGTGTTATTGTGGGGAATGGGTCACTCTGTAAGTTATTGATTCATAGGTTTTGCGTAATGCTGCTGCTGACTTTTCCTTGGCAGGAGGTGCTGAATAGCCATCCATGCGAATACAGGCAGACGCTTTGTTTTGCTAAGCGATTAGGACTGACATAATGTGGTTTACTCAATCCTTCTTTGCGCTCTCCCATCATCAGTCAAATACCCATCTCTGTTTCTCCCATTTATTTTAATCACCGCAGACAAATTGCATATCACAAGATACACTTGCAGGATCTATCACACATCACACCATACATTTGCCAGGATTAAATATATATATATATATACATATGGGGCAGATGCCACTGCCTGGATCCAGGCTAATATAATTTAGGAATTCTTATAAGATCGATAATTTATCTTCATGGTCGTCCGAAACACTCCAGAGTTGTATTCATTCTGGATCAGTTCAAGCAATGAATTGAAACATAGGGTCCGTGTTGAAGGGACAATATACTAATCAGGAAGTCGTATGACAGGCAGGCGCCTGAGCAAGTGGCATCTTCGTGGTTTAATGGCTGTCATAAGTCTATCAAAAGCTCAATTAAATAAACAGTCCCTGGATCTTTAGCGATGGCTGTCGTCCTGTTGTGGATGTGTGTAGCCATTCAGGTTTGATTATTGGAGACATCGCAAACGTTAGAGTCGTGTCCTCTTTCCGCTGATGTGTTGACATGCACAGTAGGTCAGGTATCAGAGCAATGTGTCCTTAAGATTTCAATGTCCTATTAGCATTTTGGATGAGGATCTTGTACAGTATATTCTGGTATCAACGATATATTTTGAAACATTACATATTCTCAGCACAGCATCCTCTTACAACGTGAGCGTATTTTCGAGATGAAGACAGACTTTCCCTCGTCTCATCCTCTGTAACCCAATACACCACTGGAGAGTGGCACAAAGCAGATACGATATCCCACTGAGTGTTGGCGAATCTCGCTCTTTGGGGTCTTTCCTCACAATCGTAATGATTCTTTCCAAAATATTTTCAATGCATAAATTAGACAGTATATTGTGTTTCGGGATGGAGTACGTGCCCTGTGTTTTGCAGATACTGTATCTGCCAGATGAAGCAGTTTCGCTGTGGAACCACAAACAAAATCATTAGCAACGATTTTAGCACTAAAAAGCTGAATTCTCTGTGGGTTATGATGGAAACGAACAATGCGCCATCCACTTGTTCCAATAATCGTCAGGCCCGAACATGAAATAAAGCATCTTTACCTAAAAGAAAACACATTTTTTTTTATTGAAACAGCTCAGGGAGGTAAAGGGTTGTGTAAATCTTAAGGGGGGGCCACAGAGAGAGAAACAATAATGCACCGAAGGGATTCGTTGCTCAAGAATGCATTTGTAATGCGACTGGAATTACTTTCACGACTTTTGTAGGCGCTGTGGGATAGACACACCTTTTCCCCTCCCCCGAACATAAACGGGTGGATAATCCTGGAGAGACAGTGTGGCTCGGTTTGAACTTTGTGGCCTCGCCAACTCGATGGCCATTGTATGTCGTTTGATGCATTGGGCGATTGGATTTCCGCTTGACTGGGTGCACGCAAGCTGAATTTCCATGCAGTTCTGGCAACAAGCAATTGACAGCCAAAATAGACTGAACTGATATTCCTGTCACGTCCCTGCTAACTGACAGAAACCAGCTAGCCAAAACACCCAATTCTTCTGGATATTTGACCGAGCCCTTGTCTGTTTCCATCCACAACATATTTAATATTTCTGCATGATCGACAGCGAAGCGTATCTGCAGGGTGTGCACCCGACAATGCGTGTCTCCAAATAGCGAGGGACGAGGTCAAATTTACGTGTTATTTTTTGTTCGGAAGGTGAAGCCAAACCGCAGTCGCTTCATTGGGAATTCTGACCCATGCACCAGGGAATAAATCACAATACGTGCAATCTAACACCGCGTTGGCTTCTCTTTTTTTTCTCTCTCTCTCGTCCCACTCATTTATAATTGCATCACTTATTCGTAATAGGTGGCACAATTTTCACGTTGAAGTGGTGGTATGCTAACAAATGTGTACAAAGCGCGTCCTGTAATTATTACGCAAAGGATTGTTGTGTGTGTGGTGAGTGTGACAACCGTAATCATATGCCCTCAAGTCGCCTTGCATTTCACACTCACCTTTATGGAATAAACTTATGGAAAACCAGACTCGTATTCAAAGCACCACACAGAGACTGGGGAGAATTGATTGCAATAATAAAACACCCACTGGTCGTTTCCGAAATGTTTTATTACGAAACTAATATGTAGAAAAGGCAGTCATACATATGTGGCGTTTTTGTGGTTGTTGTCGTTGTTGCAGTTTTTTTTAAAAAACACACACACACACACACAAAACTACTGAAAGACAATGGCCAAAGTGTAAAAAAAAACACAACATAATTGAATTAAGATTCTGATAAGCGTTCGGACAGGAAGGAACTGAGTCGGTTTTGTTCAACAGTAGTAACACAGTCATTTCGGCAGTAATATACAGATAACAAGGTTTTTGTACAGTGATGTTCTGTAATAAGACACAGTGGTGCTGAAGTACTTTCGGGGATCCTATCCCGCACCTGAAAAGAGTGACTGTCAGAATCACATAGACACGTTGGCAGTTAAAGGCTAAGAGGAACTACCTCTATAAGTATGCAGAGGTATGGGCATTTCATGCTCATTGAATGGCATCGCGATATACACATATTAAAACCTTTTCTGTACAAAATTCTATAAATTCGTCTCTCTTATATACAAAAAAAAATAGTTTAATATATTCAGGTACCGGTTAGGATAGAGTACAAATAGATTTCCTTTCGTTTCATTTTTTTAAAAAAATCAGAAAGACCGGAATCGTTCTATATATTGGGGGGGGGGGGGACAAAAACAGTATAAAAAAGTATATAAAAAAAAACGTAGAACTCTTTGATTGGATAAAGCATCATATGAAATTTTAAAAAAAACACACGCACAAGACAGTGTTGTTATCGAGTTAAAAAAAAAAACCCTATAGGCTCTTTGCCACACTGGGATGACACGAAGAGGCAGTCTATATGGTCTGGTGTTGCTGGACTTTTTCTGATGCCCTTTTTTTTCCTGTTCTGTGGAGCTGAAAGGGCTGTTGAATGAGGTCGAGGAAGCCTTTTATTCCTTATCCAGTAGACAGTTCTCTTAGGCACTGTGTGTGATTGCATCCGTGGACCACACTCTCGATCGAGTCCTTCTTCTGAGTGCAACGCGGTGCTGAAACTTCTCCGAAGGCGGAGTGGACACCTTTATGCTTTTGTGTCCCTGTACGGTTACCGTGAGGGAAAAACTTTGCAGGTTTTCCTGACAGACCTGAGAAGAAGAGGAAAAACGCGCACCGTGGTTTATATCATCGTCACCCAGTGAAAAGCACACCACAAAGCAAAAGTAAAAAAAAAAAGAACTGCACAGGAGTCCTTCAAAGTACAATAAACACGATTAGCTCGTATTTTACTGACATTACACGTGCCAACCATCCACAAGGACTCTGTGCACATAAGCTCTGCAACTGGAAAGTAACTGAAAGCCCAATTTCTCACCAATAAGACCAAAGTCAACTTAGGGTTCTGAAACAAGTTGTTTAAGAAACTATCCTTAACTTTTGGTGAGCGCAATGTGTGTGTATGTGTGTGTGTGTTTCCATTTGAATTCTAAAGATAAACTAAACAGGACCAAAAGCAACCCACCCACCCACCCACCCAAAACCAACCCACCCACCCACCCACCCACCCAAAACCAACCCACCCACCCACCCACCCACCCAAAACCAACCAACCCACCCACCCACCCAAAACCAACCCACCCACCCAACCACCCAAAACCAACCCACCCACCCACCCACCCAAAACCAACCCACCCACCCACCCACCCAAAACCAACCAACCCACCCACCCACCCAAAACCAACCAACCCACCCACCCACCCACCCAAAACCAACCCACCCACCCACCCACCCACCCAAAACCAACCAACCACCCACCCACCCACCCACCCAAAACCAACCAACCCACCCACCCACCCAAAACCAACCAACCCACCCACCCACCCACCTACCTACCCACACACCCACCCACCCACCTACCTACCCACCCACCCACCCACCCACACACCCAAAACCAACCCACCCACCCACCCACCCACACCCACCTACCCAAAACCAACCAACCCACCTACCCACCCACCCAAAACCAACCCACCCACCCAAAACCAACCAACCCACCCACCTACCCACCCCAAACCCACCCACCCCCAAACCCACCTGCTGCGGAAACTCTCAAAACCAGTTGGTGAAGTCCAGCAGCTCGCGTTCTTCGGGGCTCAGGGGGTCGTAGGACGCCTCGTCGGACGAGTACGAGGAGACGGGAGAGCCGGCCATGGAGTTCATGCCGTTCGAGTAGTGGGGGGACAGAGCGGGCGAGAGGGCGCCCGACTGGAAGGCGGCGCTCACGGCGTCGTGCTCGTCCAGCAGCTGCTGCAGCGCCCTGATGTACTCCACCGCCGAGCGGAGCGTCTCCACTTTGCTCATCTTCTTGCTGGCGCTCCCGTTCGGCACGTGCTCCCGGAGGGTGGCGAAGCCCAGGTTCACCAGCTTCACCCGGTTGCGCTCCCGCTCGTTGCGCCGCGCCACGGCCGCCGGCTGCTGCTGGGGCGGACTGTAGCCGAAGCCGCTGAAGTTCAGGCGCCTCTTGCAGCGCAGCAGCTCCGGGGAGGACGAGCGCTGCCGCTTGACCGCCTTGGCCCGGTGGCCCGAGGGTTGGCCGTCGGCCGCCGGGCCGAGCCCCTGCGCGCTTTGGGGGGCGGTGGCGTACAGGCAGTCGGGCTGCAGCGGCGGCGGCGGCGGCGGCGGGTGGTGGTGGTGGTGGTGCTGCTGGTGACCGGCGAGGCTCCCTATGCTCTTGGCAGCGCTGCCCATGATAGGCATCGGTGTTTGGCAAAGGAAGGGGTGGGGGTGGTGGGGGGTGGGGGATGAGCAATGTTCTTGGGGGGCGGCGGGGGGGTGGTGGTGGGTGGTGGGGTGGGGGTGGGGGGGTGGGGATGTGGTGTGTGTGGGGGGGGGGTGCAAAGAGTTTTTTTTAAAAAAAAAGGTAAAAAAGGAAGAAGGGAGTCGGTGGTGGTGGTGCTGGTGCTGGTGGCTGTGTGCGTGTCAGTGTGTGTGCGTGTGTGTGTGTGTGTGCGTCTAACTCGTGGCGTTCGCGTGTTGCGCTGTGCGCCGCTCCACTTCACTTCGAGCTCCAAAGCCCCTCTCTCGTTGGGGTCGGGATCGGGGGGGTTAGGGGGGGGAGGGTGGGGGTTGCGTTGCGTTGCGCACCGCACGCTTCCTTTCCTTTGCCTTCCCTGTCCCTGTCCCTCTCCCTCCCCTCCTTGGCTGGGCTGGGACTGGCCTGGACTGAGCCCCCCCGGCACCGAGCGCCGCCTTTTCAACACACACGCACGACCGCAAGCCCGACCCCCGCCCACCAGCCCCCCATTCAGCCGCTATTGACATCCCCCCCCACCTCCCCCCCTCCCCCCTCTCTCCCCCCCACCGTGTGCCGCCTTGGTGTGCGTGCGCCGGACGCGTGCCACTCGGGCAAGAATAAACAAGCGAGAGCGCTTCAGTGCAATCGCCATCCTCCTCTCTCTCTGCCCCCAAAACAGGAGCAGGCGAAGCCCCCGAGTCCTCAATAACTTAACCAAGTATCCCTGCTTTTATTCATCAGCTCCAGAGAGAATTACACTTGCAATTGAGTGCAAGCGGTTACTTACTTATTTACTTACTGACTTATTTACTTACTTACTTACTTACTTACTTACTTACTTGCGTACTTGCTTACTTGCTTACTTGCTTACTTACTTACTTACTTGCTTACTTCTCACTTACTTACTTGCTTACTTACTTGCTTGCTTGCTTACTTGCTTACTTATTTACTTACTTGCTTACTTACTCACTTACTTACTTGCTTACTTACTTACTTACTTACTTACTTACTTGCTTACTTACTTACTTGCTTACTTACTTGCTTATTTACTTGCTTACTTACTTACTTACTTACTTACTTACTTACTTACTTACTTACTTGCTTACTTACTTACTTACTTGCTTACTTACTTACTTACTTGCTTGCTTACTTGCTTGCTTACTTACTTACTTACTTACTCGCTGACGACCCTCTAAGTCGCTTTGCTGCCTTGGAATTATTTATGTCGCTCGAAGTTCAAAAAAAAAAGGTTTCGCCCACGATAGCAGAGAGTGTCTGTGACTTTATTAACCCCCCGTGCGCTCACTCTGTCGCTTCGCTCTTCAAATTGGTTTGGAAATTCGGAGGGCTTTCCGTGTCCTACTTACTTACTCGTTTGGGCAGATTTTAGTGAGCGTCTGTGTGTGTGTGTCTGTGTGGGTGAGAGAGGTGCAATCCGACAAATAACATTAAAGTGATCCGCTTTCAGTGTAACTGTGCTCAGGCAAAGTGTCTGCGTCTGTACTCTGATTTCCAGCATCTCCAGTATTTTGCGTTTATGTTCTGACTTCTCCTGTTTTGGGGGCAATAAAATAAATCCTTGCATCGGCTGTAGTGCATTGCCACGTCTTCAAGACGTCCCCAAGCTCTTCACAGAATTTGGGTTGGGTGCAGGTTTTTTGGTGACTTTCACAACTTCTCCCAACCCCCCCCCTCCAGCCACCCACCCCCCAAACAAGCACACACCGAACTCACTCTCTGCAAGAGGTTTGATGTCCGCTCAACTTTAGATTATCAATATATTCAAAGCAAACACAAATGCAAACTTATTTTCACGAGTTGCGGCTGTTTCTCTTTTTTTTTCTCCCTGCGATGTTCTCAGCTTTTTGCACAATTTTAATGCGATTTGGTCACTTGAAGCCACAACTGTTCGCGCGAGAGACTGCTGTGGGCAATTGGCTGTCGATAAAACATACAGTCAATTCACATTACAGTCCACCCTGCGAAGCGCTTTGAGACGCCTCGGAAGACGTGATCCAGCGCTACATCAAATGCAAGGATTATTATTTGTATTTGAAATAATTTGCCCCTCCAAAAGAATCCTGGTAGCCGGTGTTTGCCAGATCTTCCCAGTGCTAACTCCGTGGTAGGTGGGTTTTTTTTAAAAAAAGGCGATGGGATGTGTGGCAGACGGGATGTGGGGTGTGGGGGGGGGGGGGGTGGGGGGTGGGGGTGGGTGGGGGGGTTCGTGACAGGAGGGGGAAAAAAAGTCGTCTCGAACTGGACACATGTTTCTTCTTGCAGTGAAAAGTAAAGGTCTTTCACGGTAAACCAGCTGATTCTCCACGCAGAAACTCCACACATGGATGAAAAAACACAAACAATCAAGAGCCATATACTTTTTTTCTCCCCCCCTCCATCCCTCCCTCCCTCCCTCCCTCCATCCCTCCATCCCTCCCTCTCTCTCTCTCTCTCTCTCTCTCTCTCACTACTGGCTATATGGCATTCAAGATTTGAGAAGCATTCAAGAAAGCAGCTCATTTTTTTTTTTGCACAGCGAGGGAGTTTCGAAACAAGCGTGGAGTCTATTCAAAGGCTATATCTCACAATTGTTGGCCTTTACACAACGTATCTTCCATGCCTTGTCAAACCATTTCTGAGGTCCAATTAGTGCTTTTGTCAGGACTCCTTTGCCCTTATCTTTCAGAAGTTCCGAGAGACTCTTTCGAGTGCGCTCTGTTTTTGACTGTTTCGATCATTACGCGGTGTAATAATTAATATGACAACTGGAGCTCGGGGTTTGTTTAACCAAACCCCCCCCCCTCACCCCTCCTCTGCTGCAGCGACAGAGAGGGTTTTTCTTGCGTCGCAGGCAGCAGACTGCAGAGAGAGAGGGTGGTGGGGGGGGGGGGGGGGGAGGAAAGAAAACCTTAACTTTGGGTCCAAAATGTTTTTTCAAAGGTTTAAAAACGTGAAGTTAAGTGCACTTTGCACCTGAGTTGCCATTCCCTGGAAATCTGAAAGGCTGGGAAACTCATCCAACTAAATATACTCTTTATATTCACATCCCACACTTACCGTGTCGTTAATAATCTCATCACAGTGTGCACATTGGATGGTCAGTGCTATTAAACAATCAATGCAGACGTTATAGTAACTTAAGTTATTTGGGCAAACCTATTTTGCTTGGAACAAGTGATGTTCAGCATCTCTTTGGGGATACAGTATATACAGAGGAATGTTGTATACTTTCTGGACAGTTTGGTGGGTGGGTGTTTTTTTCGATGTATTGCGGAAACAGAAACACTGTGAGGTTGAAAGTAGATTTAATATCACAGTATTGTGCAACTACAGAATATGATTTGGCAGATCGAGGTGACCAGCTGATGTGTTTTTTTTCTCCCCCCCCCCCCCCCCCCCCATTCTTCCACGTTGCTCTTTTGACAGTACAGAATCAGGTAAATGAAGAACTTGCTCCTGAAGTTATTCTGGACAGCAGTAGCTGCTACATCATCCTTATTTATATCAAATTGTCCGGGGGTATGTGCCATACAAGGACTTATGTTTTGTACATTGTACCCAAATAAGAATATGACCACGTTACCAGTCCGGAGCTTCACTCGAAGATCTGAACATTTTCTGTTCACAAAATAGGCTCTTCGCTTAAAGTGCTTTATTGGTCGCGCTGAAGCAATGGACCAAATTCTGCACATTTATGCATAAAACCAGAATTTATTTTCCATTCCCTATGAAGATCATGCTTGAGAGCCACTAAGTGCTTTTTCCCCCCAACCTTTCCCTACAGTTGCAGGATTACCCTGAATTCGACAGTGTTTGGGCGGTTGTGCAGGAGATTGCAATTACAGAATGTGTTCTCTCCCTATTTTAACACCGATAGTACTCTCTAGAACACAAACCACGAGGTTACAACGCATAACGCGTGTTTATTTATTTCGAATTGCTTTTAGAGATTGAGATTTTAGTGCACATGAACAGTGAAGTCAACGGAATGCATCATCAGTCCATGATCAAGGATGGAGTTAAGGTCGCTCTGTGGAAGGTTATGAACGGTATACGGTGATTATTTATTTGTTGTGAAGCTGATGTGGTATAGTTCCTCTGTGATTTTGTGCGGTTGTGGTACCAGTAACGTTGCTTTCCAGTTTTTTTGAAGAAAGCTATTCGGTATTATTTGGAGCTCAGTACGGTCCTCTGAAAAGCCAATATTGCTCTTTTCCCATTAGTGCTGGTCTATGGGATTAGAATCGTTTTATAGTGATTAGTGTTGGTCCTTGGAGATTAGTGGCCCTCAATGACGTTCCATCCGACTCTATGGCGTTAGTGCTCCACAGTAAAGATTAGGGCTGTTGACAGTGTTGGACTGTGGAAACCAGTGCCGAGTGTCAGATCGTTGCACTGCACAGACCAGTGTTTCTCGGTGAATGTGTTGCTCTGTAGAAGCAAGTGTTGTTGAGCGAAAAAAGAGCTGCTCTGTTGAGATTGACGTTGCTCTACAAGAGATGACTACTTCGCTACTGAGATGAGTGCTGGTGTTTAGCGACTCGCGTTATTAAGTTAACCTTCGATACTGTTGTCACAGACGTATGGAGGACAGTGTTTCTCTTTCTAGAAGCAGACCAGCATTGAGGCTTGTGATGCTCTAGGAAGGTTTTTTCTCCAAAGACCTTGGCATTGATGCATGTAGATTAGTATCGGTGTATGACGATTGGTTATGCTGAAAATGTGTTAGAATTGGTGTATGGTTAGGACTATTCTGAGGAGGTTAATATTGCTGCAGAGAGGTTAGTTCCGTTGCATAAAAAGGTTGAGATACAGTTATACACAGGTTAATATTGTTGAATGGACAATATTCTGTATATGGACTAATACCGTTGGAGAGAGGTCAAAATACACTCGACAGGTTAATAATGTTGGATGGAGGTTAAGACTTCTCTATTGGAGATAATAGATTTGTTTGGAGGTTTGGGTGCTTTATAGAGGTTAGTGCTGCTGCATAGAGGTTAGTGCTTATAGGTGTTAGTACCACTGGTTAACTAATAGATTAGTAACGTGTTACTGTTTTTTTATGGTGGCTGATACTAGACCAGAGAAGTGATAAAAGTTGGTGAAAATGGTAAATCGCTAAGGAGCAATCAATCTTTTCCCATCCCATTAACCTCCAGGAGCCAATTTCAGCATTGAATCCATACCAACGTATAATTCTGGTGTTAGAATAACTAATACAAAAGGAACGTGTAAACTTAAAACTAAAGTTCATATGTGGTCTATTGGACAAACCTTAACATTTTTATAAAAAATCAGAGAACTGGATGAACTCCCAAATCTTTAATAACTTTAAAATATACTAAATAATCCTTGCATTTGATAGAGCACCTTATTAGGTCATTGAATCGTCTCAACGATGCAATAAGGCACTATACCAAAAGCGAAGATTATTATTATTATTTGGCTCATGGGGTCCTATTAAGAACCAGACAAGTTAGTCATCAACAACACCCTACAGAGCTCGAACTCAGCACTGTTCCAGGGAGACCTGTTTAAAAAGTTCAGAAGATCGGTCACTCTGTGTTAAAAAAAAACTACATTTGCGTTTGTAGTGCTCTTCACGTTACAGCTTCCAATGATGTAAATAAGGTTTTCTTAATTTTCTCCAGACGCATTTCGAAAAATCAGGTGCATCAGAAAAGTTATTTGCTCCCCCCTCCCCAAATATTCTGTGAATATATGGATATAACTTCACTATTCGTTTAGTGTTAGGGTTTGGCAAGTTAGGAGGGGTTTTTTTTTTTTTGGCCAATGTTTGCGTGTCGTGCATACAGTTGAAAACGAAAGAGGCTGTTAGTTTGAGAAACAATGAATATTGATGCACTGACAAGATAGCAAACTGAACAGCTACTAACGTGTTGCTATGCCCACACCATCTTTATAGAGGCTCCTCGTATTTGCCCTGTTAACCACTGGAGACAAGAGCAGCAGGTGGGGATGCAAGTGCACCAGAGCTGAGCCCAGTCATAAACTGCACACTGTATACAGTATTCAGCTAATTTATTGGACTTCAAATTTGATGCATTGCAATGATGCTGGAGCAAGTTAATTGAAACACGGGGGTGGGGGGCAACACGAACAAGAAGAGGACGTTTTATTCGATTTAACGTGTTAATTGCTCCATCTACTGGTGGAGGCGACTATTCCACATTCCAGATTGCAGGAGCTGTCCATTGTAGCTCAGTGAAAAATGCAACCTTTCCAGTTACTGTCAAGGTTTGTACTATCGTTCACTTAAACCTAACCCCAACTGCGGTGAGCAAAGGATGAAGCTCATGGCTCGGCGAGGTTTGGAGACTCACAAATGAACTGATACTTTAAGCCAGAAGTTACTTGCTCTGCCACTTGCGACCTTCTCGTACCATCATCATCATAATAATCCTTGCATTTGATATAGCGCCTTATCGTGTCGATGAGACATCTCAAAGCTCTTCACAGAATATACAGTACTCGAAAGTGAATTGACTGCATATTTTGTGGATGAAATTATGTTATAGTTATGCTTGGAATTCATTGATGCTGGAACATTATTCATATAATGGAACATTATATTGTTTGAACCACACCTTGTTGTTTCTCCAGAGGTTTACCAAACCATAAAGAATGCAAACACTCAACAAGCAAATGCTACTGGGTTGTCTCTGATGATTACTCTAACCATGCTGTATCTCTATAACCTTAAAGGCAGCTTTATTAGAGAATACTGAACATGAAGTCTACTAATAAGCTTTCTTTGTGAAAAATAATCACTGCTAATCATTCTCTGATAGTTTCACTGCAATTTCCCTGCCTGCAGCAAATAATAAACCGGTATCAACAACCATCATTTCTCATCCGTTCTTTAACTGCCGGAATCCCCTGGAGAATGGACTGCAAGGCTAAGAGTTAAGAGTTGCATTGTGGAGTCCTTCCCTTCCAAATAAATAAATAATAAATTGATCACTCAATCCGCAACTGTCTGTGGGACACTCCTGTGCACAATTGGCTGCTGCATTTCACCCACAAGATGTACAGTCAATTCATTTTTTGCAGCATATTCTCTGAAGCGATTTGAGATTAAATTACATTATGCTGTACGAAATGCAAGGATTATTATTATAAAAGTTAGACCCAACTGTTGCATTACAGTTGATGTTTAGGGTCACACATTCCAAGGTAATATAGATGTAACCACTTCGACCATCACACCGCAAAAAAAAAACAACTGTGTTTAACAAAATGATATGTTTTGCAAAAATTAACAGCAACAATAATGTGTGGTGGTGGTTTTAAGATTGAACACCAAGTGCAAGACGTACCTTTGTTATGTTTAGACTATGGGGAAGTTCAAACTGCATGTTATAATATCTTCATTACCCTAAAAAAAACATTTTTTACTTTTATATAAAATGTTGGATTATTTTACCTTCCAGGAAGTCACACTTAACTGTAAGATATTTAGATACTGGCGCCCCCTTCTGGTCTTAATATACAATGCAGCTAGTCTTCAGATCTGTGGATAATATAGGCAATGATGATCCTTGTATTTAATGCAGTGCCTTATCATGTGGGAATGTCTCACAACGCTTTACAAAGTTTTCTGTAAAGTGACTGTATATGTTCTGGCAAACACAACAGCCAATTTGGGCACTGTAATATCTGGGAAACTCAAAAGCTGTTTAAATTATTAATACGAATAGTCAGTAGTCAGTAACTGCAATTATCCGTGAAATGCTTTGAACCAGTTCAATGTTATAGGCACAACATCAAATGCAAGGATTAGATTTATAAATCATACAAATGATTATTATTGCACTACAAGGAAAATGAATGAGGAACAGTACTTTTCAAAATATTCATTTACTGTATTATTTAATGTTTAAGAAGTGATAAGGCGCTATATGAAATGCAAGCATTATTATTATATGCCCCTATAAGTGGGAATAATTTGTCACCGTTTATGCTCTCTAAACCCTGTAATATTGGGATGACCAGTGGCTACAAACTTCTGTAGAATTTTGTAAGTACCACTTTGGAAAGGACCAACACTATTAGCAGCTTCAAACTATAAAATATATATACTAAATTGCCTCACTTATTGCCTCACTAATCACATGATGGCACGTCTCTGCTTGCAAAAGCCTGTTATCCTATTAACTTGTATTCTTTACAGTATTCGTGGAGTCCTGTAGCTCAGTGGTTAGAGCACTCGTCTTGCAAGTGAGACACATGGGTTCAATTCCAGGCAGGGCGAAACCTTGGGCAAGTTTCCTTACTCCACACGCCAAAAATAATCCCTCCAAAACAAAACAATAATAAATTGGTCATTTTTAATCCACCACTGTTTGTGGGACACTGCTGTGCGCAATTGGCTGCCAAGTTTCGCCCACAAATATACGGTCAATTCACTTCACAGCATATTCTGTGAAGAGCTTTGAGACGTCTAGAAGACGTGAAAAGTGCTATATCAAATGCAAGGATTGCTATTTATTATTATTCTTTGAAACAAATGTTCATATATGTAAGATGTTTATTGCGCTAATGCTGCATTGAATAGCGTTGGAGGCTTATAACTACCAGAATAAACAAGATCTTTGGAGTTTGTAAACACAGTCGAGTGTTTTTCCATGACCCATGGTCAATGTATTGGTTAAGGAAGGGAGCCCACCAATCGTATGACCAGAGGCGTACCTCTGGTAAAGCTTAAATCTAGAGTACAGAGAGGAGCTAATAGCACCCTATCTGCAACCCAGGCAAGCAATTGAGGGGATTTTCACCAGCATTGAGACTCAGAACCCAGAAGCGTTTTATAGGCTTCACTCACAAGTCACAGCTGAGAAATTTTAAACTCAAACTCACCGTGCCATGGACCAAGGAGTGAAAAAGATCAATGGAGAGCTTCCTCAGGTATTCAACAAGGCACAGTTAATGGTTGCATTATTATTATTTATTTTATTTATGTATATTTTTACAGTTTGTTAACTTGTTGCTTGTGGTCCAAATTATGAAAAATTATTATCTCCACTACAACCATTAACCTCTCTCTCTAACCCCATTCCTCTCTCATCCCCCGCTCCAAATGAGCTGTTAATTTAGTGTTATCTCAGGGGTATTTCTGATACGTTATGCACACAGTTACCATTCTATTCAATTTGGAATTCTAAAATCGTAGCCTTTTGCACACAAAAGAAACTATTATTTCGTGGAAGTTGGCAAATGATAATAATAATAATTGTTACATTTGATACAGCGCTTTATCACGTCTTCGAGACGTCTCAAAGAGCTTCACAGAATATATTGTAAAGTGAATTGACTGTATGTTTTGTGGGTGTAATAAAGATAATCCTTATTGAACTATTTTATGACTACACCTGATTAAAAATCCTTAGCCCAGGTTTGCTGTTTTAATTTTTGGCTTTTTACAGTTTGTTAACTTGTTGCTTGTGGTCCAAATAGTCCGAGTGCAGAAGTGGTGTTGCAACTTATGGAAAATTATTAACTCCACTACAAACTACAGGGATGATTTTTTTAATATAATATTATGTCAGAAATACCAAAATTGTGTTTATAGGGTTTTGTTTCTGGCTTTGGTAACCATATAGACAAGTACTTTGACTTAACAATTAACCCAATACCCAGTAGGGTACTTGGTAATTTCAGATATGTAACAGTCTTTGAACTGAGCAAAGATGTTGATCAAATCACTGTTTCATAAACGTGTGCTGTTATTTGAGGTTATGTTTTAAGCTGAAATGTGTAAACAGTTGTGAAAGGTTTCAGGGGCCTTACCAAGAAGAGGAACATCCATTCATAAGTAATGTGGTAGTGTCATTGGTCTGGCTAACCTATCACTGAAAAACAAATAGAGATTAACTCTATAGAGTGATTTAAACTCTGTAAATATACAGTCACTAGACTAGATTCTACTGTAAATCCTGGCAAGCACTTTCAAATATTTAGATGATGTGATAACATGCCACAACAAATGCAAGGATTATTATTATAAAACTGATTTCTTTTCACTTCAATAAAACTGTAATAACACAATAACAATAATAATAATAATCTTTACCTTTGGTTAAACGCCTTTCATGTTGGGAAGACAACTCAAAGCGCTTTACAGGATTTATTGTAAAGTGGAGTGACCAATTTGAGGGCAACTTTGACAGTCAACTTGTGCACAGCAGTGTCCCACAGAAAGCCACCAAGTGAATGCTTGGACTTTTGAATTCCTCTGAAATATTAGTACAGATTTATCGTGTTTTCATTTGTACCTACAAAGTAAGTTGAGTGGGAGCAATATAATAATAATAATAATAATCCTTGCATTTGATATAGCGCTTTTCACGTCGGGAGGACGTCCCAAAGCGCTTCACAGAACACACTGTAAAGTGAATTGACTGTATATTTGTGGGCGAACACGGCAGCCAATTGCGCACAGCAATGTCCCACAAACAGTCGTAGATTGAAAATGACCAATTTGTTATTGTTTTGNTTTTTTGGAGGGATTATTATTAGGCTCTGTGTGGAGTAAGGAAACTTGCCCAAGGTTTCGCCCTCTGCCTGGAATTGAACTCAGGTCTCTCGCTTGCAAAGCGAGTGCTCTAACCACTGAGCTACAGGATATAATATTTTTGCGGGATGATATGAGTTTTTCATAAACGCTCTTTGTATGGAAGTATGAAAACTGTGACATAAAAGCATATATCCTAGTATATTGTATACTATCTTAAAGTGATGATAGATTAATATTGAATTACTCTTGCACAACAGTTTCCAATCTGGCCAAGAGATGGCATTGGTGATTTCCCACTGTCCTCTAACCAACCTGAAAATTGTGCAATAATTTATTAGAAGTAATTTGCCAATTGTGTTGAAGTGAAATTTGAAGTTTTTAGCCCGAATTCTAGAGATTTTTGGTATTTTGGGATCTGATGCATATTGTATTTCTTTCATTTAGGGATCGGTGTACCTTGAGGAAAAGTCTATTAAGAGTGGAGTAACATCCCTTATTTTTTCCTTAAAGGAAGAGGTGGGAGCTTTGGCCAAAGCCCTGCGACTGTTTGAGGTAAGTAGTTTTGTATTTTCTCTCCATTTAGTAAGGAATCAAGCAAGATGTCAGTGTGGCTCAGTTGATAACACTCTTTAATAATAATAATCTTTGCATTTGATCCTACAAACAGTTGCGGATTGATTTTTTTGAAGGATTATTAACCCCGGAAAAGCAATCGGTCTGGAGTCCTGGATGAGCAGAAATTTTCTGCGGCTGAATGTCGGCAGGATGGAAGCCATACTCTTTGGCTCCTGTCAATGTCTTCTGTCCTGCAATCTCAACCTTCCCGGGCTCTCCCTCAACTTCACCGAATCCTTGCACTACTTAGGCGTCAGGTTCAATCCCCAACTTTTCTTTCTATCCGTTCCCTGACCAGGATCACTTTTTCCATCTCCGTCACGTTGCCTGCCTCCGCCAATACCTCACAACCAGGGCAGCCACAACTCTCATCCACGCCTTTGTCACTTCCTGGCTGGACTATTCCAATTACTTCCTCGCTGGTCTCTCCAGCTCCACCATACACAAAATTCAATTGCTCCGAAACTCTGCTACACGGATACTCACCCACACAAAACTCTACACCCCCATCACACTAGTCCTTGCCAGGCTTTGGCTCCAAATTACTGAATGGATCGATTTCAAGATCCTTTCAAGACTCTGCTTGTCCTTTGTCTCTTCTGTTCCATCATCGGCCGCCATGCCTTCAGCTGTTATGCCCTGAAACTCTGGAAATCTCTTACTCAATCACCCCACCTTGCTCCCTCCCTCTCTGCTTTCAAATCCGACCTAAAGATCTTCCTTCTTGATCGTGCTTATGGTCACCTTCTCCCTCTCTTCCCCCCAGCTCGGTGTCAGACTCCGCCACTGTCAAGTGCTACCCCGCGTGAAGGGCGCTATATAAATGCAAGTTGTTGTTGTAAGAAATAGAAAAACTATTTATGTTGAAGTGAAAAAGTTCCAGTAATAAATTTTATTATAATAATCCTTGCATTTGTTGTGGCATCTTATCACATCATCTAAATGTTTTAAAGCACGTCCCAGGATTTGCAGTGCAACACCAAAACAACAACGAAATTACATTTGTAAAGCATCTTTCACGTCAGGAGGATGTCCCAAGGCCCTGAACGGTCAGCAATCAGGACCCCAGCGTGGGGGGCAGGATTGGGATGAGGGTGGGGAGGGGGGATAGGAGGGTTTTGAGTAGTGCCTTGAAGGAGGCAAGGGAGGGAGCAAGGCAAAGGGATTGTGGAATGGAATTCCAAAGAGTGGGGGCAGAGAGGCTGAAAGCCCGGCTGCCGATGGTAGGGCGAGTTGGGCAGGAGACCTGGAGCAGGCCGGAGCTTGCCGAGCGGAGGAAGCGGACAGGTTGATAGGGGGTCAGCAGGTCAGAGGTGTGGAGGGCCTTGAAAGTGAGGGCGAGGATTTTGAATTCTATTCTCTGAAGGATGGGGAGCCAGTGGAGCCGGGCGAGGTGCGGGGCAATGGGGTCACGGAGCCTGGTGAGGGAGAGGACATGAGCTGCAGAGTTCTGGATGATCTGCAGTTTGTGGAGGGAAGAGTTGGGGAGGCCGACAAGGGGGGAGTTATAGCCAAGACAGCCAAAATGCACACAGCAATGTCCCACAAACAGCCATAAGGTGAATGAGAATGACCAATTTAATCAAGGGAATGTTGGCCAAAAAACCGGGAGAAACTCTCTTCTTTTAGAGAATTTCAACTCTTTTGTATTTTATGATTCTTGTTTAATGGCTATCTTTGTTTGCTTCACGTTGCTACTCTTTGTAAATATTTATGACTCTGATGCAAAGCTCTCCAAGGCCAGTATTAGATAGAGGTCACGGTTCTCGAATGTAGTTTATCTTTTGTGCCTGTACCAGGTGCTTTAACTGTTTAGATAAGAAACATATTTATCTTCTAGCTTGACACATTGTATAAGTCATGTTTTAAATTAATGTTTCTTCCTAAAATGGTTCTGCATGTTAAAATGTTGCTACTGCATCGGTAAATATAATTTAGATAATGTATAATTCAGCTCATTTCAATAAAGTTCTAATAACGCATGATATATCTTTCAAGCCTTCAGGATTGAAGAATGCTCAACCTCCCCGTTCATTCCAGTCTCTCACCGTAAATGTCATCAAATGTACCCAGAGTAGAGTTGGTTTGTACATATGTTAGAAGTAAATAGAAGATTATGGGTTATGGTCCACACGAGGATTTGAGGATAACATGACCAGAGAGTATAAAATTCCAGATTATTCTGTTCACCTATGTTTTGCCACTGCTTTGTCCCACCAATTAAATGTGATCATTGTGCTAAATAGGTGTCTTTTTCTAATGATTATAGTGAGTAACATTATTGCCCATCTACCTCAATTGATTGACTCGATTTTCCGAATGGTGAACGTAGCACATTAAAATGTCCAGCATGCCATCCCCTCTCTACCTACGTGCAGTGACCTAGTCACCAGTTGCTTTTCAGATTAGCAATTAACTTCTATTTGTATTTGTGTGTGTATGCGTGTGTGCGTGCGGGGCGGGGGGGGGGGCGGGGATTTCCACCCCTTTCCCTCCCACTGTACCGTAGTTCCCTTAAACCTAAATTTCAAATACACTGTACCATGCAATTCTTTACATCATATAATTTGTATGGTGGTGGAGGGGGCAAGGGGTGAAATCTGTTTGTTCAGCATCATTTTTGTTGCAACTTTTGAGATCACTGATAAAGATGAGAAAACAAGTGAAGCAAAATATATTTCCTAAAGAAACCATGAGAGGTACTCTGATAAGATAAACTCCCATTGTCACGATGACCTTGGATCTTCTCCTGGAAAACCACCTGTTTATACTTGGTGAAGGATGTCTCTTTAAGAAGTAAAAGGCAATTAAAAAGCCAATGAGATAACGACAGGAAGTACAAAAGGACAGTGAGCGTGGGACACATTTGGTGTGGCTATAGTTAGTGGATTGAAGTACTTTGAATTGAGAATAAAGAAATTTACTGATACACCCGTGCTTTGAATTGATTATCATTACAGTTTGGTTTTGCGTAATTTTATTTAAACAGAACTTGCTTCGTTTTTAATTTTTTTTAAATCTGCTTTTAAACTCCCTGCCGAATGTCACCAAAGGTTATTTGGATAATATAAAGTTTGGATTAACTTGCTACAGAACTACATATGAAATATCGGTGCTGGTGTCCGCCTTCACCTCCCATTGTAGCCTGGTTCCCTTATTTCAGGGAACATAGTCGAGGACATTGACTGAATGATGCAATTGTTTATTTTTTAGTCTGAGTTTTGGGTTGTTTTGCTTCCAGCTTTCCACCCCTTTCCCTCCCACTGTACAGTAGTTCCCTTCAACCTAAATTCCAAGTACATCGTATGATTTGTATGGTGGAGGAGATGGGGAGGGCTAAAGTTTTTTTTATTACCATAGATAAACATGTCTGGCCTAGAGGTACAAATTGCACCAAAGGTTTTTATTTGCTTTGTTCAAAGTGACAGTTTCAGTGATGCATACAAGGCCATTGTTTACAGCTGAGGTTCCAGTGGGGTTTGGGAGGCAAAGCGATGATTTCCGAATTTGTAAAATACAAAAAAAACAAGCTGACAAACCTGATTGTCTGGTGAAGACATGGAGTCCAGTGCAAGAGAGGATATGGACAAAGGTGTTCTTGATAATCTGGATTTTATGGAAGGCGGAACTAGGAAGGTCAGCGAGGATAATGCTTAAGAATCAAGGCTTGAGGTGCCCAAGTTGTGAATCCATGTTCTGGCAATGGTAGGGGTGAGAGAGGCCTAGAAACAGTTTCAGTCCAGCTAACTAAATTGTTGATCTCAATAACCTTAATCTTTTTTAATAGGCTCACATGATGCAAAATGCTATCCAAGTCTGCACATGGCTTCAGCTTATTTAATAACCCATTAAATATGATAGAAAGAAAGCCTGAGTTCCGAAACATTGACTGGGTATTCAGTGATGGACCATAATTGTAAGGAATTCTGCAAAGGATTGCTTTTCAACAAGGGCCACATTATTCATTTTAGAAAATAACAAAATTAGCAATTTATATGAAGAATAGAGTCATACTTTGGCCCTAATAAGGCTGCTGTCCAGGTCACAAGTTTTTCCACAGACACTTCCTGTTTCGCTTGTCTGTTATCAGACAAGACAGGCAGCGAAGGCTCATCCTGAACATCTTTATCCTCTCTGTGACATGAGGCATTCTATTGCACAACCTGTCTGAGAACCAACAAAAGTAGCGGATTGACTTTAGGTGAGCTATTTAGTAAACAATCCTCTGAATGGGGGAATCGAGTATTCTGGTCACTGGAGCCAAGTAACTGTCCTGATTAATATTCAGATATATCCCATTTGCTTGTTTGTATGTGCAGTAGTTTGTTCAACAGCAGGAGTTGTGTGCATGTGTTCGTTGTGAGTTGCATTGAACTTTCAATAAGTTCTATAGCACTTCTGTATTCTATAAAAATAGAATCTTATAATTTCTTCAGAGCACACTAACAAAGCATTTTGCTTTCATATTTTCTAATCAGCAATGTATTTTGATACAGAAGTTGCCAACAAAAGTAGTCCCTACACTTTACGGCATATCCTATGAAGCGCTTTGAGATAGTCTACTGACGTGAAAGGTGCAATATCAAATGTAAGTATTGTTGGAGTAAAATAGGAGGAGAACGGTCTTCTCTCTCATTAGGTTAATAATATTACTAGCCTATAATAGGTGAAGTAGGATAAGGCTTTGGTTGCCAAACATTCCACGACAATGTTGTGGAGTGTTGATCTGAATAATTGTTTGCTGCTCCGCTTGCTTTTTGCAGGCTATGCTGTACTGTTCCATGTGTGCAGGCCTTGTTGATTCTGAACAAAGAAAAGCACAATTATTTTTGTTTCAAACTATTTTGAGTCAGATTGGCATAATTCCACAGGTTTCTTCGCTTCTTCTCCAAGAGCATTTTGTTCATCATGTAAAGTAATGATTTACTCTCTACGATGGTTTAATTTGAGACAAAAAAGACTTTGTATTACTTTTGCCTGACTGTCAGCGTGGCATTACTCTGAGGAAAACCCCATAATAATAATAATAATCCTTGCATTTGATATAGTACCTTATCATGTCATTGATATGTGTCAAAGCTCTTCACAGAATATGCTGTAAAGTGAATTGACTGTATATTTGATTCTCTGTGTACAGATTCAAATCTATCTTTGTCCTAGTCATACATTGGTGTAAGACTCATGGGAAGACTAATCAAGATGAAGAAAAGTAAATAAAACAACTTGTTCCATGTTTTTTGAACCACTAACCACTTTTCCTTAGTCTTTAATCCCTATAGTTTCTTTTTTTTCCTCCCTGATAATTTTAAGGCATTTTGCTGTTCTTCTTCCCTTCAATAAAACAAGAAGGTGTGGAAATGCTGGTGTTTCATTGAGAAAGAGAAGAGGGATAAAAGCAGACAGTATATTTTATAGTTTGATCACTATTATCATTATTTTTTGTTTGGTTCGGGAATCAAAGGTTAGTCTGTTCTAAAGTTATATTGCTCTCTGCTGGTTTCACTGAGGAACTCGAATGCTCCAATTCTAGCCTCAGTGAGATTTGTTTTTGAACTGCAGATATTCTTGAATATTATTATATGACTGTGAGCGTTGTTTGAACTAAGATATTAAAGCTTGCAATAAAACTGGGAATAGCTACATTCCTATCCATATTTCATTTTGGAATCTGATACAATTATACTTGCAACCAACAAACCTAATTCAAAAACTATAATCATTGATACAAATTGTAGAAATAAAAACTATTTTATTTATACTGAAAATGCTGTAAACAACTTGCATTTATATAGCACCCTTCAGGCAGGATAGGGTTTTAATTTTGCTCCTTACAATTTTCCTTCTGCCCAGTGGTTTGGCTTTTTCATGTGTAAAAATTTTTTTATGCCTGAAAGGGTGGTGGAAGCCAATTCGATAACAACTTTTAAGAGAAAAATAGATAGTTAATTGGGGAGGACAAGTTTGAAGGGCTATGGGGAGAAAGCGGGGGAGTGGGATTGAATTGGAGAGCTCTTTTCAAAGAGCCAGCACAGATATGTTGGACCGAGTGGCCTCCTTCTGTGCTATATAATTCTATGATTCTATGATTCTGTTTGTTCCAAATATTCCAAAGCTTCCGAATATTGCATTAAATTAAAACTTTTTTTTCTGAGTGAGCATGTTTGTCTTGGCAGGAGAAAGGCATCAACCTTACACACATTGAATCCAGACCTTCCCGACTCAAGAAAGGAGAGTACGAATTCTTTATCAACATGGATAGTAAAAATACTCCTGTTTTTGAAGAAATCCTTCTTGGTTTGCATCAAGAGATCAGTGGGACAGTCCATGAACTCTCACGGGCCAAGAAGAAGGATACAGGTAGAGAACTATTTTTTTTCTTATGAGTTAATAAGCAAAGGGTTTTAAACTTTTAGAACAAACTGAATTACCAATCATTTAATCCATTTAAAACAGATTATTGCCCTAGGATCAAGTCAATTAACTTTACAGTGTATTCTGTGAAGCGCTTTGAGGCATCTGGAAGATGTGATAAAAAGCTATAATTTTTAGCTTTTCAAATGAAAGGATTATTATTATTATTATTTGAACAGAGCAACATTGGGCCAGTTAAGAGAGATTAAAGTTTTAGTTTGTCCTGATTGACATGGGTGGTAGTAAAATTATTCTTGCGTTTAAAATCAGAGAGAAAAAGATTTTAGGATTGGTTTATAATGTGCTACTCCTGTAATTACACCCAAGATAACGGGTTTGGAATCTGAATCTTACTCTGTGGGGGTATTCATTTAATGTTGGAGAGCTCATTCTATGTAAATACAATTATGAGTAGGTGCAGCACTGTTGCTTCAGTTGTTAACTGTTGGCATAGAGGACATAGACAATTTTCATTCCCCTGTGTCCTGAACACTGTGAATATTTTTCAATAGTAGGCATATAGATCCTGGGTTATTTGCTGTCCCAACTCTGAATGAATGATATGTATTAGCTTCCAGAAGGTAAGTTACTTTTGCTTATATGGGTCATTAGTTGTTCTTTTATTAACATTATACAACTCAACAAAAATGTAATTTTAAGAGGAATGCAAGCTCTTAATAAATGAACTTAATAAAAGCACAAACTTTCTACTCTTAGAAAGGTTGCTTCATTTTTACAAAGATTTTGATGGCATTAGCTATCTGGAAATATATGTGAATCCCCTTATCTGATCTTTTTACTTTCAATAATCTAATATCTTCAACTGCCAGTTTGGTTAAAACACTCGAGCATCATTGTACTATAAATAAAAATATTAACTTAGCTCGGTTAGTGACAATGCAGCTGGAGCAAGATGGAAACATTATGTGCCCCGGTCTTTCCTTATGGATTTATTGTTGTGTTCTCATTCATTAAGACTGAGTTGGACCATCAATCCAAATTTCTGGTTTAGAAATACAGTGCAACTTTTTATGAGTGTATTTTGGAAATGTATTCATACTGTGCAGACAGACAGGTGCCTCAGGACAACAGAATGACCCCTTATAGTGGTAGGAAATTCATCAGCCTTCAGAGTTGAATGGAAGTCCAAGATGCTGTAGCGGATTTTATTTCCCAGGCCCCCAGGCAGGGTTAAGTTGTCCCCTCTGTTTAGACAGTGGGTAATGAACTCCCATAAATTTCACAAATCTTGAGCAACTAACCTCATTTAGTTCTGGCCACATCATGGGTGTCCAGACCAAGCGTAAAAAGTGCCTTCTGATAAATGGGCAGATCAATATAACTTACTAATCAGCAGCAATCTTCTCTTTCTTTGGGTTACACTAACTGCCTGTGTTGTACTATCCCTCTTGGCTGACCTGCTGTTTACCTTCTGGTCAGTCAATGCAGCTAGTATATGTAAAAATTAAGTGAACAAAATTAAGTGTAATAGATGGCTGCAGATATTAAATTAGTCGGTCTAATTTTAATTTTTTGCCAGTCATTATGGGCTGTTCATTTTCTTCTTTTCCTGTTTTAACATTTCCTTCATTTAATTCTAAATTTCTTTTTGTTCCTTCATTAGAATTTTGTTTTTGTTCTTTTCCAATCTTCTCCTTTCTCCTGAAGGCATAGTTTCATGGGTAACAGGCTCCCTCCAGTACCTCACCAAAATGGTCATTATTCATGCTTAGTAGCAAGTGTCAACACAATATTCAGATTCACAGCTGACCCCAATCCTACCATCACCCTGATACCACACGCCCAACATACAATACTTCGAGCAGGGATCATTTGATACTTATCATGACTGGCTTATTTTTCCCAAACTATCTCAAAGAACTGAGGGTAATTGTAAACTCTTACTGCCATCTGCTGATATCAGCGAGGTGACCTGGGTTTGATTCCCAGGCAGGGCGGAATGTTAGACAAGTTTCCTTATTCCACACGCCTCTGTTTATCTGCAATAAGTATGAACCCAGTTGTGAGTCGATTGGCGGATCGCTTTTACTGGGGTAATAATCAGTTTTTTTTAAAACAAAATTGGTCACTCAATCCAAGACTGTTTGTGGGACACTGCTGTGTGCAATTGGCTGTCATGTTTCGCCCACAAAATAGACAGTCAATTCACTTCACAGCATATTCTATAAAGTGCTTTGTGACGTCTTGAAGATGTTATAAGGCGCTCTATCAAATGCAAGGATTATTATTATTATATTATTATCAGCTATCTTAGGACAGCCTGGGGTTCGTTCAAAGCTACGACATTTCTGACATGTATGTCTTAGCCACTCACTAAATAAGAATATTTGCCCATCAAAGTTCTATTAGATTTATATTCACCTCTACCAGAACCAGCAACATGAGGTTTGTTCATCACTATTGTAATACAAGCTAAAGCAGTTCCAGATTTGACAAAATACTAAAATTCAAAACAAATTCCAATTCAGGCCATGTGGTGGTGCCTTTTCTATACAAATGCTGCAGTGTGCATAGCCAGGGGCAGTTTGTCACCCATTTGTAAGCAATATTTTTTCTTTGTTTCCCTATGATTAGAAGGTAGTAATAGATTTCTACTCCACCCCCCCACCATCTCTGGAACGTCCTCTCTCTAGCCCTTCATCTCACCCGCTCTCTATTCATCTTTAAATCGACCTCACCACTTTCTCTGCTCTCTCTCTCTCCTGGTCAGTGCTAGGTGTTCCAATACATAATCCCATTTGAAGGGTGCTATAGAAATGAAAGTTATTTTTTGGTTTTGATGAAAGGAGGAAACATCAAAAACAAGTGGTAGATGTAATTTTTTTTCCATTATTGAATGCTGAGAGCTCACCCACTGATGGTGGGCTGAATTGAGTGAAACAGCAGATGTAAAGCAGGTCAGTGGAGAGGGGAGCAGATGGCCTGGCCAGTGGCTTCACAGAAGGTCTCAGAGGTACAGTGGGCAACCTCCAGTTGCCCACATAGACCATTTGGAAGTGAGAGCCAGAATCTTAAATTTGATCCATTGGTGGATGGGAAGCCAGTGGAGCTGAGCAAGGATGGGGTCATGGGTTCACAACGCCTGGTGTGGGAGAGGACATGGGCTGTGCGGCTGGACATGAAAGTATGGAGAAAGGTCTCAGCAACTGGATGGGAGTGGTAGTAGTAAAGGTGAACAATGTTGTGGAGTTGAGGGAGAATGCAGCTAGTCAGAGCTTGGATGTAAGTTTCAAGGACAGTTGTGGGTCAAATGAGACCAAGGGGCCACACCAGCTCTATGAGATGGAGTGTGAATCTGTGCAGATTGATACGATCAGTGAGATGAGAAGACACTGACAGGAGCCAAGCAGGAGAGCCTTAGACTAAACTTCTGCTTTTCCTGAATTTTTTTTACCACCAGTTCCATGGTTTCCTCGGACAATGCACGATTTGGACAGATTTGCAAACCAGATCCTGAGCTATGGATCCGAGCTCGACGCAGATCACCCTGTAAGGAGAATATTTTCATAAACTGCATTATTAATAGCGGGGCTTCCAATAGACTTGTTTCGGAGTAGTTCTAACATAATTCTTAAACTTAATGTTCAAATCAAATTCATTTAACAAAATGGTTTGTGGGAATCATGTTAATATTTTTTATAAGAGTGTGAGGGCTTATTCAGTTAGAAAATGGAATTAAATTTATGGGGCATTCTCATCTGAAAAACGGCACCTCCATCAAGGCAGAGCACGCCAACATTACAATAGCAGTCCGAGCTGCCATAGACTATATGACTTTAAAGTCTCAATATGGGCTGGAGCCCACAACCTTCTGACTCAGAGATGAAAGTGCTACCAAATGAGCAAATCTGATACTTAATTTGTTGTACTAATAAAACATGTTTGCCCAGACAAGTCTAATTACCTGACATACTCACTCACAACCCAGCTGCTGCCCCTCAATAATATCTCCTGTATTTCCCACTGTGGAATTAAACTGGGTTTCTTCCCACTCTAGGATATGTTAGTCCATGTCACAGGGATGGAAATTACACACAGCTGTAGCTTTTGAGTGAACTTGCTGTTCATGAAGTAAGCCTGTGGATTCTTGCCAGTGCAGTAAAAATTGGTGTTATTAGTATAATTGATGGAACATAATAAGATATAATTACTCTTCTTGACCCAAATGCATTAGGATTTTCTAAGGGGTACTTTTTTTCAGAAATCAACATAATCATTATGCATTTGTTAAATTCAGCTTCGTTCAATTACATTGGATGTACAACTCTAGCTACATTTTATTTGTGTTATTCCAAACATGCTATTTCCATTAGTAAAACCTGCCATTTGAATGAATTGCTCTAAACTGTTAAGAGCTTGAGCTAATTCATATCATTCTTTCTTTGTAGGGATTCACAGACCCTGTGTATCGATCCCGAAGGCAGGAATTCGCTGATATCGCTTACAACTACAGACAGTGAGTTAATAAAAAGCAAATGAAAGTTCCCCTTTGTACACTTTTCAAAAATAAGCTAAGTGCCCACTAATCTATTACATTGGCTTCGTGTCTCCACTACTTTTCTCATGTTCTTCTCTCAGGAAGCATTTATAGACTCAGAAGTAAATTGCGCAGTGCTTACATTCATTCATTTTCATTATGCATGCGAGCTTTGTTGTTTAATTTCCTGCATTATTAGAAGCTACTACAAAGAGATGAATACTGAATAATCTAGCCCTGAACAACCTTCCCTTAAACACTGAAGAGGTTATAATTTACATTTAAGTATGGATTATACACAATATTATAATAATGACTCATTCAATGTACTAATGCAATCTTCCCCCTTAATATTCTACTTTTATCTTATTGCAGCTGTGGTAAGCAATTTAAGGTTTTTTTTCTTTCTTCATTTGCACCAAAGGAAATAAATCAGACCTGTTCATCCAAAGAAAACTAATTATGGAATCTTTCCAATGTTTTTTGGGAGTATTTGAAAACTATCTTTGGAGTAAAGATGGCCTGGAGCATAGAGAATGAGAACATTTTCCTTCTAAATACATGCTGACTGTGCCATATGACCTCTGTGATCTTTGATGGATGTTGTAGCACTCCATCCAATTCTCTGAAGCATTTTCGCCACCAGTTGTTAATAATAATAATCCTTACATTTGATACAGCGCCTTATCACGTCTTGGAGAGTCCCAAAGCTCTTCTCAGAACTGTATATTTTGTGGGTGAAACGTGGCAGCCAATTGCACACAGCAGTGTCCCACAAACAGTCATGGATTCCTCCTCCTCGCCCGCCCCATCATTGGCGGGTGAGCCTTCAGCCACTCTGCTCCCACCCCCTGGAACCCCTTCCCGCAGGCCCTCTGCCTTGCCCCCTCCCTTGCCTACTTCAAGACCCATCTGAAGGCCCTCCTCTTCAACCGTGTCTTCGTTCACCCTCCTTCCACCCCCTGCCCTCCACCTTCCCCGATCCCGACTGTCAGCTCGGATCCGAAACACTGAATGTCCAAAATTATAATTTGTTTCCTAACTAATCTACAATTCTCAGGTAAATCCTTTTTAGATAAAATTCATTTTCCTCCATTCCTTAGATATATCTCCTGTCCTTTATTATAACTTCAAAAAATTAGACTAGGGTTCAATCTAGTTTGCTTATAGATATGTAAGTTTATTTTACCATTTGCTTGAGTTGCTGAACCAAGATTGACGACATAGGATTCGATCTGGGAGAACTGATGTGAAGGTTCTATTCAAATCATCTGCACACAAACCATGTTTTAATCTCCACTGCAAATACATTAAATATCTTTACAATAGATACCATGAGGAACAAAACTAAGTTGTCGGTGGGCTTCTATGCTTTCGATTAACCCGAAGACAGTGACTTTCCAGTTCTCTGAATTGTGAATTATGTGTGTTCAGGTCTGTCAGAGGAAACCATAGTGCCTAGTGTCAGTGTGTGCAGCAAACCTGAGCAAATGCATATTTGCCAACCAAATGATTTAGTTTTGCACTGTTAAAGACTATCAATAAGGTGATTCTGGCGCACATATTTAACGTGCGCTTTAGTTCCTGTGCTTAGATCTTGGCAGAGATGAAGCAATCTTAGGTTTATATTATTGGTTACTGTGGATTACACAAGCAATATTCGTAATGTTGTACTTTTTGTTTAAACAGCGGTCAACCAATTCCTCAAGTTAAGTACACAGAGGATGAAGTAAAGACCTGGAGTACTGTATTCCGGGAGCTGAAGACATTGTATCCAACCCATGCCTGCCAGGAACATAACTTTGTGTTCCCTTTGCTGGAGAAGTACTGTGGCTATCGTGAGGATAATATTCCTCAGCTCGAGGACATCTCCAAATTTTGCAATGTGAGCAGTGTACTTAAAATGCTAGGATAATCGTTTCAAATGAAACTAATCCATCGTGTGCTTTGGTTTTCACTTCAACTCAGTACCCCAACACACACTCTTGGGTCCCCAACCTGCACCTCATACTTTCCGGAATTAGGTAAACAGGATGTGTTCCTCCAGGGAGAGAGTGCGCATTCCTTTCCAACAATCTATCCCTGGAATTTCCATGTGTAGTTGGGATGTATGGAATTATCAGTTTGGTTTGGATACTCTTAAGCAGAGTGATGGATTTCCACATGGGTCTGACACCCGGCTGACCAAAAAGTTAAACTCAGGAATAGTTTTACCTGAGATATTGAAAAGCTCCTGTTTAGATCACCTGTATGTTAAAACCTTATTTCCAATTTGAAAAGCATTTATAAAACACTAGTTGTACTATGCTGGCAACCAACGGGTCCAATATGGAATGTAGATTTATGTAGTTATGGCTGAGGTTTGGAAAAACTTTGGTTTGGGCTCTGCTGTATCTTGTACAATGGTCCAACAATCTTCGGGGATCTCAATTTGGCCATCTGTTGGATCCACTGGAATTATATACATAAGATAGAGGGGGAGAGGCTAAACTCCATAGGGTAGGGGCTAAATCCCAGCCCCAGGTGAGGCCCCCAACTCAAGCCACAGATTTCACCCTCCCCGACTAGTCACTTCTAGGCCATGGTGCGGAAGAACCCGGAAACCCCGCGGCCTTATTGAGCCAACAGTCACTCGGCACCGGCCCAACTTCCGGCATGGTGCCACCTAGCCCGGGGCCACCCGGGATCAGCAGGAAAAGCAGCTGAATATCAACTCTGCTCGAGGTAACTTCCACCTCACCACCGCCATCTTGTTCCCGCCACTTGGCTTCGTCTGAGTGCTCTGTGACGCACGATGCCACAGCGCCACTGGGAGTTCGGCACAGCCACCAGTTGTAGCTGCAGGGCTATGTTATACCTTAAGTAAAACTGGCATGCGTGTATGATGAGGTTGTTTAGGTCATAGCTCGTCAACAATAGGAGATCCCCTCAAAAAAATATGCCCATGAAACTCCAAGATGCAAGACCTTTTGGATGAGGAATAAATCACTTCTCAATCGGTTATTGAGTTCTTAGCAGACACACAGATACACAGACATTACATCTTTATTAGTATAGATTTAGTTGATCCACGAGTCTACAATAATGCAGATGTCTAATTGTGTATTTTGCCATCCAAAGCTTGCACAGGATTCTCTCTGCGTCCAGTTGCTGGTTTACTGTCCTCCCGAGATTTCCTGGCTGGCCTTGCATTTCGTGTTTTTCATTCCACACAGTACATCCGTCATGGTTCAAGACCTATGTACACACCAGAGCCGTAAGTAGAGGTTTAATGAGGACAGTTAATTATTTAGTTTGAGGAAATTCACAGAAAGCAATAATGTGAAGTACTGTAACATATTGGTTAGAGCATTTGCCTCGCAAGCAAGAGGACCTAGGTTTGATTCCCGGGTAGGGCAAAACATTAGGCAAGTTTCCTTACTCCACACAAGTTTGTTTACTTAGCAGTTAAGTAGCAACTCGATTGTTAGTTGATTGGTGGATCACTTTTCCGGGTAGTAATAATCCCTTTAAATTTAAAAAAAATAGTAATAATAATTTGGTCACTCAATCCACGACTGATTGAGGGACACCTCTGTGTACAATTGGTGTGACAAGGCGCTATATCGAATGCACAGATTATTATTATAATGTTAATGAGGGCAGTGTAGTGAAATTATCAATACATTTCAATACCTCTGCAATTTTACATAAAACTAGCAAAACTCTTCTGTGAAATGATTGTTACCAGAGTTTTGAAAGTATCAGATACAACAGCAAACATTGAGGCTAGAGTTTTGAAGTTGAGTTCTCATTATCTTCTCTTTTCAGGGATGTTTGTCATGAATTGCTAGGACATGTCCCTCTTTTTGCTGATCCAAAGTTTGCCCAGTTTTCACAGGTGAGTTCCAGGTATTTCAAGGTAAATCCTAAAGTTGTGTCATTTAGTTGATCACATGTTTTCATCATTGAAGAGCAGGATTTCTTTATAACCTAAAATTTCTAAAGAGTTGCCTTCATTCTGTTGAAATGTGACAAGAGGGCAGAGTTTTAAGATAATCGCAAAAAGAAATATAAGAGAATTGTGAGTTCGAAAATTTACAGAGCTGTTGGAATGTGGTATTCACTGACACACACTGTTGAGGCAGAGTCTGTAAGATCCTTTAAAATAATTATTTAGATAGTCACTTGAAAAAGAGGAGAATTAATGGGTATGGAGAGTAAGCAAGAGAGTGAGGTACTGGTTAAGTTAAATGGCCTGATTCTGTGCTGTAACATTCGGAGACACTAATGATATTAGACTTTGACAAATGATTTCAAGCCAATAGCAAAAGGTTAAATAGATCACTTTGTTTGGAGTATCTTGACAACATTAAAAAAAAGTGTTGAAATAATATTAAACATGGGCAGTTTATAATCATCATCTGGATGCTAAAATCAGATTCATATCTTGCGAATCACATTGTGTTCACTGCTGCAAGAGAAGATGGGAAGCCCAATCTTTATTTTGAGGGGCCTGTTTGTTTTACTCCTGGCATCTAATCAGTTCATTACTTTTACCTTAGAATCACTCACTGGTGCACACAATAGTGACATTACTACAGTTGCTCTCACAGTTATTACAGTACTAAAGTGTGTGCATTTTAAGGGTTATTCTTTGTTTTGACTATATTAGAAACAATGCCAACCATTATTTTATCCGCACTTAAATTTCCAAGTTTAGTCTTTACTCGATGTACAAGTTACCTGACATAATTTGACAGGCACAAGAGAATATGAGTCAGCCTTACAAAGAATGGGTAGGATGAGAACAATTTAACTGAAAGTGCATTGAAAAGGTTACATTGCAATCTCTTCTCAAGTGGACAAGCTGTCCACTAGAATTAGACATGTTATTTTTATCAGCTTTCTAATACCCACAACATCATCTGTATTATTCGGTAGTCAATGGAAGCAATTGTACTTCAAATTATCTTCAATCAGAAAAGAAAATGCCATGAATATCCATAAAATGTAGATAGAAAAATTGTGAACCACAAACAGAATTTCAAATAGTTTGTCTAATTTGGCTGTCGAAATTTCCTTTACAGTCTGGTACTGAAAGTCTTTTTTTCTCTTATAATTTTGAACAGGAGATAGGACTTGCATCTCTAGGTGCCCCAGATGAATACATTGAGAAACTTGCAACAGTGAGTGGAGCATCGCTTATTGTTTTCATTCTCTGATTTCTGGATCTATATCAATTGCAAATGATTTATCACAAAATGATTTGGAAGTGGCTTCACAAGCGACTCTGCAAAACACTTCGAGACATTGTGACATGATCCTTTGAATGAGACATTAAACCAAGGTCCAGACTACCCGTGCAGGTGCATGTTAGAGATCTCGGAGCACTATGTCAAAAGAGTTTCTCATGCTGTCCCACAAATAAAGTAAGTCATTCACATGATTATTTGTGAGACACTGTTGTGTGCAAATTGGCTGGCACATTTGCCTACAAATACATAGTCACTGCACTTTACAGTATTTCCCGTCTCAACAATGTGATAAGGAGTTATATTAAATGTAAGGATTTGTTATTATTGCTTGTTTTGTCAATGCAGATTATGTTCACTGTTTGATTTTATCATTGGCATTACCAGGTATATTGGTTCACTGTGGAATTTGGACTGTGCAAACAGAATGATGAAATCAAGGCATATGGAGCAGGATTGTTGTCTTCTTTTGGAGAACTGCAGGTATATCTTGCTTGATTACCCTTCTAAGCTTTGAATTTAATCTCAACATTATTTTACTCTTGAATTTGCAATGCAATTATATTAAATGCTAGTGATCCCTTCTTTTCAGTATTGTTTATCAGATAAACCTGAGATTTATCCCTTTGATCCTGAAAGGACCACCCTTCATAAATACCCAGTCACAAATTTCCAACCGATCTATTTTGTCGCTGAAAGTTTTGAAGATGCAAAAGAAAAAGTGAGGTAATATGAGTTTCACATCTTATTTTAAAAAAACTAATGAATACAACAACAACAAGATTACATTTGTATAGCGCCTTTCAAGTCGGGTTTACTGTGAAATATGCAATAGAAGGAGTTTCTTGCAAGTGAATCATGTAACTAATAACCCCATATGGTGTGATATGAGCTATACTACACTTACAAGCACTTAAAGCACTTACAATGGAAGGGCCCAGTGAGAATCATTTGGCCATGGTATCCTTAGGTTTCGATGATCATTATCTACCAACCTTTGCTTCAAGTCTATGTGTTAGAATATTGGTTAAAGACAAGATGAGTCTTAACTATCCTTTCCAGCATCAGGTGTTGTGAGCCTATCACCACCATCTTTGCTCAATTTCACTGGCTCCAACTTCACCCAGCAGATCGAATTCAAGGTCTTATCCTTGCGTTCCAATCCCGCCACAGCCTCGCCCCATCCTACCTCTGCTATCTTTGCAAATGTTTTTTCCTCCTGCCCCCACTAACTCACCTCTAGCATACCCTAAGGCTCCATCCTTGGGCCTCTTCCTTTCCTCATTTATATGCTCCCTCTTGGTGATATCATCTGCAGACATGAGGTCAACTTCCACATATATGTGGACAACATCCAAATCTACTTTTCCTCCAGCTGCAACTCCAGGCCCACTGATGTCCTGTACTATAATAATAATAATAATCCTTGCATTTGATATAGCGCTTTTCACGTCGGGAGGACGTCCCAAAGCGCTTCACAGAACACACTGTAAAGTGAATTGACTGTATATTTGTGGGCGAACGCGGCAGCCAATTGCGCACAGCAATGTCCCACAAACAGTCGTAGATTGAAAATGACCAATTTAATTATTGTTTTTTTTGGGGGGAGGGATTATTATTAGGCGTGTGGAGTAAGGAAACTTGCCCAAGGTTTCGCCCTGCCTGGAATTGAACTCAGGTCTCTCACTTGCAAAGCGAGTGCTCTAACCACTGAGCTACAGGACTCCACAATATCTACCTTACTATTGCTTGTCAGACATCAAGAGTTAGATAGACACCAGCTTTCTGCAGCTGAATGTTGACAAAATAAAAGCCATAATCCTTGACTCCCATCAACATCTTCTCAACTGTGGCTCTAACCTTCTTAACTTCCCCAGCCTATACCTCAGACTTACTGAAACTATGCATAACCCAGGCATCAGGTTCGATCCCCTGCTGTCTTTCCTACTTGTATCTGGTCCTTGACCAGTACCACTTTCCTCCACTGCCCCAGTAACTCTGTGATATGCCAATAGTTGAATATTTTCTTTTTTTTGAAGGAAATATGCTGCAACTATCCCTCGTCCCTTCTCTTTTCGTTATAATGCTTACACCCAGACTATTGAAGTTCTGGACAACATTGAACAATTGAAAAACCTGGCTTCCAGCATTAGTGGTAAGCATTATTATTGCCATGACCCTCATAACAGTCTCAGAGAGTTTCACAGGGACTTTGTCGGTCCCCGAGCAAGGGAGGAGGGGGAGGTGACCTTAGTTGCTAACAAAGTGGTAGACTTTTAGACTAGATTTAAAGATGAAGGAATTTACAGTTGAGGACCTTGAAATCAATCCGGAGAAATGGGGGTATGAAGACCAGGGTTATGGGCATGTGAAGTTCACTGTAGGTGAGGATGCAGATAGCAGGGATGGTATGTTAGAGTGGATTATGGAACTTGAGACAGGTAAGGAGTGGGTTAGAGAACTCAAGTCACAAGGTAACAAAGGAATGAATGAGAATTTTTGCAGTGTTTTGTATGAGATAGTGATGGAAGCAGCCAAAATGGTAAAAGTTAAGGAAAGCATTCATGGTAAGGAACTGAATGTGAGGAATCTATAATAGCTAATGATAGCTAATAAATGTCCATTAAAATGGTACATTATTAACAAACTCTTAATGTCACAGAACATCTGGAAACACTGAATAATTTTGTGTAATTAAAATTTGTAGGTGAAATGGGAATCCTCTCCAATGCACTTAAGAAGCTTGAGTGAAGATTGCAAGTGAAATACATCAGCTGCAAAAGCCATTATTAATATGAATCTTACCATAGGAACTTTTTAAATAAAAAATGCGTAAATGCCATTTAGCCCGTGTAAAGATTGCCTTTATCCTAAACGTTATCCAATTAACTCAATCTTTGGAGGGGAGTAATCAAACCCCAGGTATAACCTCTGGCAAGATGACAAATGTACAGAATGTAAAATCTCTTGCTAGCCCCAGAAGATAATGAAGTTGATCTCCATTATTGGGAAACCACACTATTTAACATGGATACTTCCATTCCTGGAATGATACTCCCAACATTCAAGCAATTCGTATTGGTTTTCTAAAGATTATTTCTTCATCTATGTCTATCCTTGTCCTAATTATTATTATTATTATTATTATTACATTCTTATGCAAATATTGAATCCAGTTTATGTTTATGTATGTGTATATACCCCTGCTGATGAGAACTAAACCAATTTGGCCCCAGCAGTTACATTGGTGTGGAACGGAAATCCAGCCTTTTATTTCCCATTCCATATTGTTTTTCAATCGAACCGAATGACTAAGTACCTGATTTTGGAGTTTTAATCTACTGTATATTGTAATAATACTCTGGTGTTTCATTAATCATTTAAAAAGTCATGCAATCACCTATTTAATAACAATTGAAATAGTATAATCAAAGTTCCAGAATGGGGCAACGAGATTTGCACTGGCTTGTGTGAAACCGATGAGTTAATGAAACCTCCTCCACCACAATTCACCACTTTCTTCACCCCATTTGCACTGCATGTTGAGTGGTGAATCACTGGCAACATGTATATATAGGCATGTATATATTAAACAGGGTTTAATGTATAATTAGATGCAGTTAGATGCATCCTAGTGCTTGATCAACTTTAGGTCATTAGAGATTCACAATGACTGCATAAGGTATATAATTTGGCTAATCATGCTTAAATCACGTTATCATATACATTTATTCCACTAGTTTATTTCAATCTGGGTCGGTTTCCATTTTAAAACCCATCTTCCATCTCCCACTCCTTGGTCTGTCTACTTACCAGATTTAGTTTTCTCTAAAAGCTATTAACTTCTTCCATGCCACCTAACCACAAAGCATGTTATTATAAAGTAATTTTTTCCATTTTGTTCTTGAATACTGGAAGCAACATTAAATGCAGAATTCCACAAAACCACACTAGCTGCTGCCCTCAATCAATCATTATTGAGTTGTGATTCACATGCCATATGGCAAGTTATTGACAAAATGTTGACAGATACAGTATGTTTTCCTGGGCTCTTCGATTCATGGACTGTTGCCTGTGATCTCGCCACTCTTTAGCCCCCACTGCACAGGTTTGTACTGTGGGCACAGCCTCTGTGTGTCTTTATTACAGTATATTAATTCCTTCCAAATGCAAACTGTTCAGCTGCTGCTACCGCTGTGTGAGAATAAAGTCCAGTCATTAACGTGAAGGTACCACCTGGGACCCCTTTGAACAGAATTACACTTATGCAAAATGGCATCATTTTAATGCTTTGAACTCCACACTCACTTATTTTGTATTTCTATAAAAGCCTTCATATGATGCAACATTCATTCGTCAAAGTAACCACTGTTATATTTCCCCCGTTGTTATTAATTGATACACCGATAAATTGAGAGTATTAACAATAAAATATAGCATGTGACTCGGTGATAAAAGGTTTCTTATCCGTTCTAAGACCTTAGACTGACATGGAGGGTACAGGAAAACATGTAATATAAAAAAAGCTTTAGTGTTTTTGCTCTGAGAATTACAAACACATTTATGTAGCAATTGCAAGTTAGAAAAGGCAAAGGATTTCTCAAACTAGTGTTTTATGTTAGTTTAACTGAGTTTAATTCTGTTAAGATTTATAATATATTGCATTTTCCCTCTGTCAAAACAGTGTAAGTGAGTCTTGCTATGGGTTAAACTCATACCTGTGATCTTTTAACTGCATATTAACTTGCAACCAGTCTCTTTTGTTGCCATATTTTGAAAATGAAATAATTTACTGAATCGATATTCAGAGGAATTTGTTTCTCTCCAAAATTGATTCGAAATTACAATTTCATTATTTAGTGTAGTTATTTTACACCAATAGAAGTTAGTGACTGGTCCATGTTCACCGACAAGGTCACTGCACTTCACTGCCAACAAAAAAGAAATACTGTGAAGGGCTTTGAGATGTGCTTCTGTCTTGAAGGGTGTTCTATCTGTCAGTCAATGAACTAAATATAATGCTGTACGTAATAAAATAATCGAAGTTTAAAACCAGCATTTTTTTCAAGTGATTTATTTCTCTTCTAGCTGTGTTTTTTTTGGATAATTCTGAAAATCCCCTGTAGCCTACACTATCAACTTGTGCTCCTGACATGTTTATACTTCAAGCAGCTGTGCAATTAACTAACAAAAAAAATAATCTTCCTACTTACCTGTTGTAATTTCATATCAACTCCAACTCAGATCCGCCTCAGACACTCTTTGCTAATAATCTCTCTGAACACTATTTCACTCATGTCAATTTATTAGATGTTTCCCACGTTAATTGATAGGCACTGGACTTTCTAGCCATTTTCTCATTAGGGAATGCTCTGAGCCATCCTTTCGATTCGCACAACACAATCTAAATAAAAGCAATCGATCAGTGAGTGAAAACACAACCAACAACAACAAATTAGATTTTTATAGCGCCCTTCAAGCAGAGTATCTTAAAATTACCAGATAAACAATTATATTTCTGTGTATTTTCCAACATTGGATGAATATATGTCTATGTGTCTCAAACCCCCCTCACACACACACACCCCCACACACATTTTATATACTTCAGTGTTGTAAAATGATTCCAGTTTTAAGAAAGATATCAAAGATATGTATTACATATTTACCTCACGGTAAGAATCACCCACAGATGGTATAATTCTGTTGAGAGATATTTACATGGGATCACCTGAATTCGAACAAAGTAATGGACACATCAAACTCAATGTGACCACAATTTAACTGTACCAATTTCTAGTTATCATCAATGATATTAATTTTTATTCAATTGATTGCCCACTGTTTCTCCCCCAACTTTTATTCTGTTTTTTTGTTTAACCAAACGAGCCACAGAGCTATCAATGTTTCTGCTTAATATCTTTTAAACGCACCGTTAATATCACACTTAAATTATTTAAGCCATGTTTACCACTCAAGACCCCCCACCACCCCCCACAATAAACCGTCTGTCCTCCTTACAAATCCCAACCAATTTACAGTGGTTAAAGCCAATCGTTTGGCTTTAAATTGCGCTTCAATTAAGAAGAAAATGATCACGACTGAGAGAAAACTCTCCCAATGGAGAGGAAAAAGCACTATTATAAGGTATTATCCTATCCAGTGCCGAAAATACCTGCAATCAACTGAACAATAAAGGCAGAGACTGACATGCAACCTGGACGAGTGGAAACTGTAGCATCTTTCTGCACAGAGGCTAATAAGCAAACCAAGTGCCTCTGATCTCACAGTAATGCAACATATATATATATATAGAGAGAGAGAGAGAGTTATTTTGCTCTCTCCCGCGGATAAATCGTGTTTAAATCGGATTTGCTGCTGCAGTGGAAACACACGGTACCTTTTCCACGGTTCCACTCTACCGGAGGGGTCGGTCCGGTCCACCGTTTGAACAACTTCAGACGACGACCGTAAAAGTTGGGGACCGGTGCAGTGTGTTTGCGGAGAGAGCCAAAGGCCACCCCCCCCCCCCCCCACCCCCACCCCCCCCCCCCCCCCCCCCCACTGGACGTGTTAGTTATTAACCCACACAACGAAAAAAAATCAGAAAAAAAATCAGAAATCAGAAAAAAATAAAAAATAAGAAAACCGAAGCGACTTCCAAACCACCGCTGCGAATCGACGCGCTTTTTCCCACCACATCCTCTTCGCCGGGACACCTCTCCACCAACTGCACACCCGCTCCTCGCTGCCCTGCGGGGGAATAGGATGGAGAAGTCTTTTGCTTCTGCCCAGAAATTTTCTTCCCGTTGCAAAACGGTTACCAGTCCAATACAGATCTGAATTCCGTGCGCAGTGTAACGTGAAACGTGTGGAAGTGAAATAATAATTCGGTCACTCGATCTACGACTATTTGTGTGACACCGCTGTGCGCAATTTGCCTCTGTGTTTCACCCACAAAATATACGGTCAGTTCACTGTACACTATATTTTGAAGCGCTTTGAGACGTATTATTATTATTATTAGTATTATTATTATTATTATAGTATTGGCATTGGATCTGAGCTGTTAGCGGGTGCACAACTGGATTGGGGCAATTTGGGGGCAAAGTTAAATAGGTGATTGGAAAAAAAAATAATAAAACGTCCCTTGTCTTGTAATTCATATAATCTATTAATTTTTCACTCGCATGCACGGAATCATTTAGGTGTTATTATTATTATTATTATTATTATTATGATTATGCCATTGCATCGTTGCTCCAGGTTTTATGCAGACCATTGCTTATTTATTTAAGCTCGTCCAAAAAATTTTTTTTTTGCATTTGGGTCAGTCTGCACGAAGAGAGTGGTTCTTTCTGACAATAAACAGTATCCGGATTTGATGGGACTTTTAAGTAAAAGCGTAATTGTGCAGTGTTTTATCTTCGGCGTTTTAATGCAAGATTGTTTTACACGAAATCCGAAGCAGGTGAGATGGACATTAAAGCAAATTCAGTGATTTATTAATAGAGTTTGCAGACAGCAACAAGCAGAATTGCTATTAATAAATCAATAAAGTGGACCATTTGCACGTGTTTACCTTTTGTACTGGCGATTTATTTAATAACCATTTATCTGCTATGGTCATATATTCATCATTTATTTATTGATCATTCATCGTTTTGCCCACAACATGCAATACAGTCAATCCACTTTGCAATATATTCTGTGAAGCGTTTTGAGGCGTCCCAATCAAGTGATAAGGCGTTATATCAAATGTAAGGATTATTATTGTTGTAGAAATGTTCAAAATACGAATATTTGTTAACGTAAGGAGTCAAAACTCACTCATTGAATGGAGGGGGATATTCGTGCATTCCGTATGAGATTGAAGAATTTCTGTAATGTTCACAGTGATTGTTTTCTTCCTGGTTATTTACTGGTAAGTTGTTTGGTTAAAATGGTACTCGTTAAAACAACTGATCGCAAGGAAAAATAGTGTTAAGATGAAATATTTGCCTTGTGGTGGGGCAGTGCGAGTGATTCAGAACCAGGGACAGCGCCAAACACTGGTATGGTATCTGCTATTGGGGAGGAAAGGGTGAAGGAAATAAAAAAGGGCGAGCAACAGACCAGTAGGTGAATGATTGAATGGGATTAGCTCTGTGATTCCCTGCCAAGGAAAGAGCGAATGCTGAGCAAAAGTGAGTGTATAATGTGTTAGGAGCGAGAAAAAAAATTCAATGAAAGAGTGAGTGATCAGTGACTAAATGTGTGGATCAATGATGAACGGTAATAAATCAATTCAATGGTAGATAATGAATTGAATCTACTACTCCCAACCTCCCCCCCCCCCCCCCCCCCCCATGTATCTATGTCCAGAATTAATCTTAGAAAATTACTCTGCGTTAAAACTCTTAAGATAAAGTGATACAAATGACAAAAACCTAGTGTTGCTTTGATTTCACCTTCCCCCGAAAAAAAACCTTGCACATTTAAGAGTTTAGCAAAAAAAAGTATAATTAATTCATAATTACACACTGTTGGTTGTGAATCACAGACTATTGGACAATAATGGGTAATGATGCATTTCAGACTCAATTTCCTGTTTAGTTCCCACACTGTGTTGAATGTGTTGTGTTTCCATTGGACATTGAGAACCAACTGACATAAAATTCCTCACCATTGAAACCCTGAATTTATATGTGAGATCTAATTTTAGATTCAAAAAACCTATTTGAAACATTGCCATCTAATCTGAATGTCCATGGTGTTTACGTGTATACTTACGTAAAAGATTTCAAGAGGCAGTCCCAATAAATAGGTGTCTCCACACATCCTTTATGCAGCATATTGACATTGAGCACGACCAAATTCACAGCGAGTTCTCCATTGCTCATACTACCGGCTTCTCGATTGAGAGCTATTTTTTCTCTGCAGCCTCCTCCAGTCTGAGATCGTGAGTGACCTAAATCCCAATGAAGACTGAGGTCGGTTCCCAGTGTCTCCCGGGAAGAATGCAAAGTCTAAACGAGGATATTCACAAGAGCTCAGCCCCCGAGCACACTGACCAGTCGGATGGTCCAACCCTCAACGACCACGAAGATGGAAAGGCGATTCTAAACATCGTTTTTACCCTGAGAAATGCCCAAAACTCCAACCTTTCCCTCACCATCAAAATGTTCGAGGTAGGTGTTGTTAGAATTTTTTTTTGTTAGCTCCTGAATGAGTTGAGTCCCACAGAGTCATTTTGTCCAAAACAACAATAACAACTTGCACTTATATTCAAATGAAAGGTTCAACCTGTGTTGAACAGACGATGCAGAGGAAGTACATGATCTTGGTTATGTTAATAACAACAATAATAATCCTTGCAATTGTGCCTTATCATGTCTTCGAGACGTCTCAAAGCACTTCACAGGATACCCTGTAAACTGAATTGACTTTATATTTTGTGAGCAAAACATGGCAGCCAATTGCGCACAGCAGTTTTCCACAAACAGTCGTGGATTGAGTGACCAAATTATTATTATGATTATTGGGTTAAAAAAGTCATGAGATCGAATGTCTTCTCTAGATGTCCTGGGTTGTTACCTTGGTAGGGTTTCACTATTTTGCTTGAGATCACTGTGTAGTTTATTTAGTTGCCATGAACTGATACGGATTACAAAAACAAACGCTGCGATTCTCTGAAATTTGGGGGAGAGTTTTGAAACCATCAACAAATCTTTTTGCAGACGTTTGAGGCCAAAATTCACCACCTAGAAAGCAGGCCAGCGCAAAACTCCAAGAACTGGGCAGAAGATCTGGACTTTTTCGTCCGATGTGAGGTGCAGGGCTCGGTTGCTAAGATGTTGATTAACTCTTTGAAACAAGTGGCTGAGAAGGTCAGCAGCAGCAGAGAGGAAAAAGGTAGTCATCGCTGTATGTCGGTGTCGATGTCGCTGTTCGCCATTTGAACTTCCAGGTTGTTTTGCTTTTTATTAAAAATAGATACCATCTATATATTCTTCAGAGTTTTGATGTGAAATAACTATCTTTTTTACAGTTCGATGGTTTCCGAAGAAGTTGCGAGATCTTGACCGATGCCATCATTTGGTCACAAAGTTTGAACCTGACTTGGATCGCCAACATCCAGTAAGTTTGGATGGAAATGTAATGTGGAAGCAACATTTAGAGTATTCGGTGAGGTGTTCTTTAAACTACAGTAACTAGAATAATAATCCTTGCATTTGATATAGCGCCTTATCACGTCTTCAAAACATCTCAAATCACTTCACAGGATATACTGTAAAGTGAACTGATTGTATATTTTGTGGGTGAAACGCGGCAGCCAATTATGCACAGCAGTGTCCCACAAACAGTCGTGGATTGAGTGACCACATTTTTTTTTAAAAGGGAATATTACCTACCGAAAGCCAATCGACTCGTAACCAGATTTCTACTTACTGCAGGGTAAACTGAAGTGTGTCTAAGCTTTCACCCTGCACAGGAATCGATCCCGGGTCCTCTCGCTTGCAAGGCGAGTGCTCCAACCAATACGCTACAGGACTCCACAATTAGCACAATAAATGTTTTGAAGATTCTGTAAATTTTGCCAAGTATGGCCCTAGTCCTCCCCAGGAGAAATTAAACTTTACCTGTCTGTATATTCAGATCATCAGGAGTCCTGTAGCTCAGCGGTTAGAGCACTCGCCTCGCAAGCGAGAGACCTGGGTTCGATTTCAAGGGTGAAACCTTGGGCAAGTTTCTTTACACCACACGACTCATAATAATCCCTCGAAAAAAAATAATAAAATTGGTCACTTCCACTCACGACTATTTGTGCTACGCTGCTGTGCCCAATTATCTGCTGCTTTTCGCCCACAAACATATACAGTCAATTAATTTTACAGTGTGTTCTGTGAAGCCCGTTGAGCCGTCTAGAAGATGTGAAAAGCGCTATATCGAATGCAAGGATTATTATTATTATTATCATTATCAATAGCAAGAGCAGAGAAACAGAGCTATAATCATTTATTGTGTTGCTTTATTTTTGCTTAAGGGTTACCATGATCCAGAATACAGAAAGCGCAGATCCTTCATCGCAGACCTGGCATTTAACTACAAAGAGTAAGTTTATCTTCAGTAACTCACAAGCCCACTTCAACCCAAGTGAAAAAAAAAGAAGTATTGATAAATAAACGTACTAATTTCTGTTAATAATAATAATAATACTTGCATTTGATATAGCGCCTTATCCTGTTGTCCCTTTACAGAATACACTGCAAAGTGAGTTTGACTGTATATTTCATGGGCAAAACGCAACAGCCAATTGCATACAGCAGTGTCCCAATTTAAAGTGGTGTTTTAATTCATTTAAGTCTTCCAATTTAAAACACAAACGTGGCAGTATCTCCTGCTCGATCCTGCGTTAAAGGAAGAATGCAGCTTTTGGTTTAAAAAGAGCACCACATCCCGAACTGTGGGTGAACTGTAGCCCAGAGTGCTCACCAGCACCAGGTTACATTAGTGCATTCGTGTCGAATTAACACTGAGCCCAAGTTTATTAAATATTGATTGCAAACTAAAAGCGTGGATGATTCAGTCGTGTTTCACTATTCCTTTCTCCACAGGGGAGATCCCTTGCCCAGAGTGGAATACACTCCAGAGGAGATCACAACCTGGTGAGGATTAAATTCCCTTTTCACTTCCAATTGGGTCTAACTTGCTCAGTGATCGAGCGATCTGTTGCAAACCGTTTACTCATTTATTATTATTATTATTATTATTATTATTATTATTATTATTATATCCGTGTTTCCATTTGGCTGTTGATGTGTCTCTTCGGGTTCAATGTAATAGCAAAGTTCAATCGTATTGCATTTAGCTCTGCAGATTAATTTGGTGGACAACGTGTCTGCTTCTTGCTGTTATTACTGTAAATGTTCAGAAATAAATGCAAGTGCTAACTCTTTGCAGAGACTTGTTTCGAGACATAATAATAATACATGCTTCAGATATGCATGTTGCAATCTACCCATTTTAATTAAAAAATTGGATTTCACTGAAGGCGTTTGATCTCACAAAGACAGTGTTTTGCAAATCTTTTCAGTGAACGTCTGATCATCTCTGACCACCTCGAAGAGTGTCGTGTTTACGCGTGTTTACGGGTGAGATGAGAAGATTTAAACAGTTGTTTGGAGATATTTGATTATAAATCTGCACAGGGGCAGTGAGCGCTCATTCCTTCCAGTGCTGGGGCTCGATTTACACATTGCTGTGCGAAATGGGAGCTCGTCTGCAGGAGGTGTGATGTGGGTTCTTGTTGCAGGAAGAGATATACAGAGAGTTGACTGCTCTCTACCCAACTCATGCCTGCAAACAGTTCCTGGATGGGTTTCAGCAGCTGGAGCAACAGTGTGGCTACCGAGAAGACAACATCCCACAGCTCCACGTTGTCTCCAGGTACCTGACAGGTAAAGCAAATCACAAGCAAATATGTGGGAACCAGCATTTTTCCCCCACTCCACCCCCACACACCACCCCCCCTCCATCCATTGCATATGAGGACATGTCACTTTCACTAATAATAATAATAATCCTTGCATTTGATATAACGCTTTTCATGTCGTGAGGACGTCCCAAAGCGCTTCACAGAATACACTGTAAAGTGAATTGACTGTATATTTGTGGGCGAACGCGGCAGCCAATTGCGCACAGCAATGTCCCACAAACAGTCGTAGATTGAAAATGACCAATTTATTATTGTTTTTGGTTTTGGAGGGATTATTATTAGGTGTGTGGAGTAAGGAAACTTGCCCAAGGTTTTGCCCTCTGCCTGGAATTGAACTCAGGTCTCTCGCTTGCAAAGCGAGTGCTCTAACCACTGAGCTACAGGACTCCACAAGGAAGGAGCAACCTGCCAGAGAGATGTTTCCCCCTTCACTTTCCTCCACTCTCTTTCTCTCTGATACTCACAGTGCCCCCCGACACCAAACCTTTTGGTGGAAACCAAATTGAGTGAGCAATGATCCGGTGGCAATGAAAGATCTGATCTGCCCTCGAGATTTTTAAACGCAAACACAATTTAAAAACGGTGCAAATTGCTTGTCTGCTAACATAGGAATATTGTCTTTGGTCGTTTCCCCCCCCCCACCCCAGAAAGGACTGGATTCCGTCTGCGCCCTGTTGCAGGTTTGCTGAGTCCCAGCGACTTCCTCGCCAGTCTGGCATTCAGAGTCTTTCAGTGCACACAGTACATCCGCCACTCCTCAGCCCCAAAACACTCCCCCGAACCGTGAGTTTATTTATTACTATTTATCCCTTGTCTTCGTTTTTTTTTTGCACCTCCACTCTTAATTTATGCTTATTTTGTTTCTACCCTTTGTGTGTGTGTGTGTGTTTGATTATATCATTCATTCCTTCTCTCTCGTTTGCATCAGCTTCTTTATTCCTACCAGCTGTTGTCATAGTGGAGACGAGGATAATAATAATAATAATTAATAATAATAATAACATAACTCACTTTAGTTTGAAACTAGCAGCGAATGTTTAGATGAACTGCAACTTGCCTCATTGACAAGTAAAATGTCATGTAACCCTTTTAGAGCAAAATCGTTTTATAATTTCATTCTTCTTAGTTTTATCCTTTTCCCCCATTTATTTTGCCATCATTCTCTATCTTATTGTTTTTGCCCTTGTTCCCCTGTACTGTTGGTGCTCCACCAAAACAGATAACCTGAACCTGCAATAAAGACAAATGAAAATTCAGGACTGAAAGACAGTAAACCTCACATAAGTCGCATTAATTGATGACCATACATTTAATACGACTTGTGCAAAGTATGAGTTATGTCAAACTTTCATAGAATAAAAACTCTTGAACTGGACTTGGGCAGATGTACGACTTAGGTGATTATACGATTTATACGGTTCAGACTCATGCGATTTTTACTGCATACCGTTCAGTTTCTAATAGTAACGATGAAACACCAAACCTTTATGCGAAGCAAAATGGAGTCAGAAATGGTGGCAATAAGTCATCTGCCTCCAAAGGCTGCTTTGTATGTTAATAGCGAGAAATACGAATAATAATGATGTTTTGCCTTCCTTAAAGTGACTGCTGTCATGAATTGCTGGGACATATTCCTATGTTAGCAGACAAGCAATTTGCACAATTTTCCCAGGTACGGTAGTTTGTTATTTGGAAAAATGCTTCATCCCAGTGTTTGCGTTTAAAAAGATTTTCGCTCGCCATCATTTTCTGCAATAGCATTTTATTTTAGATATCCAGGGATTTTATGTTTATAAAATCGAGAAAATAATCGCTGATCATCTGTGTCTCTGAATAAGTTGAATAACAAATGGGATAGCTCATTGGTTCCGTCAGTTAACTGTCACTTACATTCCTGACAATAAGAAATCTAGCTCATCACATACACCAAAAGTGCAACAAAATATATTAGAATTGTGACTGTTATTATGTATAAACGTACTTGGTAGATAATTTGCGATAAAATCACAAGATTAGCAATTCTACTTCAAACAATTTCAAATTGAAATGAACTGATCCCTGAATGCAGTGATCCCCAAACATTTAATGAGACATATTTTTCCTTTTTATCTATTCTTTAGGAGCTTGGTCTTGCGTCTTTAGGGGCATCCGATGAAGATATTGAAAAATTGTCAACGGTGCGTAATAATAGGAACATTATTTACTGTGGTAGTACAATATATATTTAATAAATATTTAAGCAATCTTTTAAGCAGCTTAGTTCGTTAAGGCAATAATATCCATGTTAAATATTTAAGCATCCCTCTTTATTTTGTCTGTTTGCTAACAGTTCCAATATAGTTCTATAAATTTGACTGAAATACATTGTTGCATTGCTTGGCCGTGCTTTCATCTCACTCAAAATAATGAATATCTCTTCTGCCTTTTCACCCTCCCCAAACAAAATAAAAATGGCTTGTAATCCACTTACTGCAAGTACCAGCATTTAATTATAATATCAACTCATGTGTAACAGTGTGTTTTTTTTAAACAAGGGTGTATTTTGTTCTTTGTTAATGCAGCTTTACTGGTTTACAGTAGAGTTTGGTCTCTGTAAACAGAATGGAATTATTAAAGCCTATGGAGCTGGACTTCTTTCTTCATATGGGGAGCTCAAGGTAAGGAAAAATAATGACATTTCAATACGTTCAACACACACATACTCTACAACATATATGCATATACTGGCATACACACAAACACATCTATACTCGTACTCATTTGACCACAAATACACAGTCATTGCATTTCACAGTAAATTCTGTGAAGCATTTTGGGACGTCCTCCCAACATGAAAGGCACTATAATAATAATAATCATAGTACTTGTATTTGATATAGCGCCTTATCACATCTTCAAGACACCTCAAAGCGCTTCACATAATATACTGTAAAGCAAATTGTCTGTATATTTTGTGGGCACAGCTATACCAAATGCAAGTATTAATATTATTATACTCAAATACTTCAGCATTTATTTAATAAAATTCTGTATTTCAATTTGTAACATTTAAATCTTATCACAGTCGGCGCATAATTTTTCCCTCTTAATCATATGATCCACCAGTGATATGATATATAATTGGAACTTGCACTGTAACTGAATGTTCTTTCCCGTTGTGTACAGTATTCTTTATCCAATGAGCCAGAATACAAAGTATTTGATCCTGAGGTTGTTGCACTCCAGCCATATCAAGATGAGACCTTTCAACCAGTCTATTTTGTGTCTGAAAGTTTTGAGGACGCAAAATCCAAACTTCGGTAAGAAATATGAGTTGTTCAGACAATTCCATTATGAGTTCAATATATTTCACAAGTACAGGTCTATCACTAGTCATGGAAGGAGGAGCTTACGGTATTTTGGAATTCATGTCACGACAAGCAGATAACAGAAATAAACTTTCTTTGTAACCAATTGGAACATCTACTCGGTATTTAGATACTCACGTTAGAGTAATCTGGGATTATTAAACAAGCATAATAACACATTGTTTTAAAAATTGGAATTTAGGGGAATTGGATAGGAACTTAAAAACATAAAATGCAGGGCTCTGGGGTAAGAGCAGGGATGTTGGGACTAGTTGGTTAGTTCTTTCAAGGAGCTGGCAGGGGCCCGATGGGCCGAATGGTCTCCTTCTGTGGTGTAAGGTTCTATGGTTCTATGATTTAGAAAAGCAATTATAATTTGGATGAAATGAACATAGTGTTCAAGAGGTTAACATATAAAATAAACTGCATATAAAAGTTATAAAGGAATGAAGTCAGTATATGAGGGATGACAGAAGTATTTATTTTACAGAGTAAAAATATTTGTTTATTTTTTTAACAGGATTTACGCTTCTAAAATCAAGAAGCCTTTCTCGGTACACTATGATCCTTTCACCTGCAGTGTTGAGCTTCTGGACAAGCCTCAGAAAGTAAAGATTGCACTAAACCAGATGAACTAATGAGCTGAAGAGTTTTTGCTTTGCTCTTGATAAATGTTCTCAAGTAAAGGTTCTACATAAAACTCCTAGATCATTCTGCTCATTTACACCTCAACGTGAAAGAATTGTGATTTGGTTTGATCTGCTGCATGCTTAGCAATACACCAGATGGTATGGTACAAAAGTGTACAAATTGCTCTGTGTATGTCAATACAGCCTTAATCTATAATAAATAGAGAATTAGAAATAAACTGTGCAAAATGAGTTTCTTTTCTGAGATTGTGTGCCCAAAACTGAACAAAGTACTCAAAATGAAGCCTGAAGAGTGCTCCATATAAGAAGAGATGTATATTCCAGACTTCATGCAATAAAGGGCAGCATCCCACTTGTTTTTTTGCATCCCACTTTGTCTTTGCAGTGGTAAACTGCCACAGTTTTGTCTACTCGCTTAATCTATCTTTGTCTCTGCATTTCTTCACCGGTCCTCTTCATAAATTTACAACAGCTTCTAGCTTGGTATCATCCCCAAACTTAGAAACAGTTCCCTCTATTCCTATATCCAGGTCACTGATATATAAGATTAAAAAGCTCGGGCCCCAACAGAGATCCCTGGAGAACACCACTTGTCACTCTCAATCAATCAGAGAATGTCCATTTTATACCAACGCTTTGTCTCTTATTTCCCAACTAATTCCCTACCCATGGCACAATGTTGCTTTCAATTCCAGGGGCAGATTCTTTCTTTCGGCCGAGCTAAAAGGGAAGCATTTTCCACAGACAGGGAGAAAATCATTTGTAGGATGGCCTGAAGCAAGCCTATGGAGGCCAATTTAGCAGCAGCTAAATGTAAGCTACTGGTAGAATCATCACTCAGGGAAAAGAGAAAATAAAAATAACAACTGAGATGTGCCTCCCGTGCATTTCTTTACATTTCCTACATTTTCTTAAGCCAAGTGATCCTGTTGCTCCCGTTATAACTGTTATTCCTGCTTTAGGCACAAGGTGGCAACTGTGCATCATATTGTTTTATGCACATGATATTGCTTGACATGAGCTGCTGAGCAGATTTAATTTGTACGTTTGAGTTCAACTTTAAATACACAAAGCATGTTCCTACGGGCTTGTGGGGAATTGCAGAAGCTGTCCATGCAGGCTGGTAATTATAGTATTTCTTACAATACTCAAGTAGCACTTCTGTTTTCACACAGCGCAGAGGCTTTTCTCATAGCATATATGATGTTAAATGGGTTAGAAAATTAAATCTAATAACGATACTGTCAGATACAGTGCTTCAAAGCAATAAGGCTAAACGACACAGATTAATGACTGTGAAGGGCACTTTTAGAAGACGCGGAAGTTTTTTTTACACAAAGCAAACAGGTTACCAGAAATGATAATAGAGGTTACGAACTGTAGATTAAGTTATGAAACAGCTTCTTGCTTTCATGGGAAGATGGAAGGGCAGGTACTCTGGAAGGATAAATCAAATGGACTGAATCTAATAAAATTACATTTTAGTCACAAAATTCTTAGAAAACAATGAGATATTTAGGGATCGCAAGACACATTTAAACCACGTGGAAGCACAGCATGGAGCTTGAATATTTTCTAATTGACATAATCAGTGCTGATCGTGAGTGTGTACAGCTTCCTATCACACCAAATAAAATAACATCTCAACATATTGCATCAAATTACCCCTGAATAACACCAAAACACCCCATTTGTCAACAAAATACACAGTCACTTTGGAATAATCCTGTGAAGTGCTTTGCGACATTCTCCCAATGTGAAAAGGATTGTATGAAGTGTAAGGACTACTATTTTATTATTGTGTAAATCATTCCAAATTCACACCAAATCACATCGAACCACATATTGAACTCAAATACTATTTCAAAGTCATTTACATGTGACATTGTTACTAACAGTACCATACAATGAAAAATTAACTGAGTGATATTGATGACTGCACCCACATAGGCCTTTCAGTAAAGCCACAAGATTAATTGGGAAAGTTAAATAGGAGTAGTGGAATTATAAAAGTAGTAGATTGTGAGGAACACTGCTTGATATTGGCGGATATTGATGGAACAGGCTCGAGAGGCTGAATGGCCTACTCCTGTTCCTATGTTCCTATGTATGATCCTAAGATATTCAGGTACATGTTCCAGCCTACACTGCTATTTTTTTAATGCTGAGGAAGAATTTTTCCAAGCCGTTGCTTATGCGAGACAAACCTGCCATCAATGTACTACTTAGGTAATAAATGGTAATAATTTCTGAACATGTGCATAGTTCCTTCAAAAATGTACAGGTATAGTGCCCCTAGTTAAAGGGGCAGGCACAGGAATTGTGGCACTGAATGAACAGCGCTTCCACTTTGGTAGTGTGATCCATGCCACAGAAACCACAAAATTTGTAGTGGAAGAGCAATATGGAGTTCTGTAGCGTATTGATTAGATCGCTCACCTCACAAGCGAGGGACCGGGATTTGATTCCCTTCCTCCACACACCTCTGTTTAGCTCGCAGTAAGTAGGAACCCGGTTGCTAGTCGATGTTCTTTCCATGGGTAATAATCCTTTCCAAAAAAATTGAAATAATACTTTAGTCACTCAATCCACGACTTTATGTGGGATACTGCTGTGCACAATTGGCTGCTGAATTTCATCCACAATATATACAGTCAATTCTCTTTATAATATATTCTGTGACGCACTTTGAGATGTCTCAATGACGTGATAAGGCACTATATCAAATGCAATAATTATTATTATTATTATTATTGCTGTGATCACAAATCTTGTTTTGAATTTTTAAAACCGAGGTTTCTGACTCTGAATGTGACAAAGTTATTCATGAATGGCTCACACACAATGCAATACGTTCAGCAGCTCCCACAAACTTGTTTGTTTCATGAGAGAAACAATGATGGATTGTTAGCAGTAGAACTGGAATAAATATTCAGGGAGGAAGTTAAAACCCTGAAGGAACCCAAAGGGAGTTGAAAAGGAGGACAACCAGGAGATGGTAAACATATTAAATGACTACTCCGTGAAGGTTTTTGCCAGGGAAGACACCAACAATATTCTATCCAACATCCAACGTATTTTGTGTAAGCTTCGGGAGTTTGACATTTGGGAAGCAAAAGTTCTAGATAGACTCAAGGGCTGATAAATAAGAAATCCTCTGGGACGGTTGACATACCCACAGTACTTAAAGAGACAAGGGAGGAAAATTGCAAAGTAATGACAGACAGACAGACAGACAGCAAGACAGATACTCTAAGAGAATTGTTCAAAGCTGGAGAGATTCTGGCAAACCACGAAAAAACAAATGTGTCCCTTATGTTCAGCAAAGGAGACAGAGCTATACCTGGCAACTACAGAACACTTAGGCTGATCTCAATAATTAGGAGTCAATAATCCTACGCAAATTGGAAAAAGTACCTATCACGAATTTCACCTGATAAATTACAGCAAGGTATTTGCAGAGACACCAGGATATGAGGTACCTGCAGCATTATCATTTCTCTCTAAATCTCACAAGTACCATTACTACCCGTTGGGAAGAACCCATTGTTCTCTCATAAATATGTATGAAAGAACGATGGGTTCCTTCTCTGAGAAACATGTTGCTTCTCTGTAACTAACAGTGAGTAGGTGGGATGCATGGCAATCTCAGCTTGGTTTGGATACTCTTAAGCATGGTGATGGGTTTGTTTCCGCATGTGTCAGACACTCGGCTGACCCCAAAAAATAGGACAATGAAATCCCAGTAGAAAATCAGGCTTTTGATTCTTGGACAGTTTTGCCAATTTCAGCTATTCCCAGCGGTGCGTGTTACCGAAGACTGTAGGTTAGGATCTTCTGAAAACTTAGGAAGAACACAGTGAAAGAGGGGAGATTGAATCTGTGTCAACCTGTTATGATTCTTTATCTCTGAAGCTAAGTGTTGTTACAAGGTAGTTCTCAAAGGCGAAGATTCCACATACACCTTCTGTTGCTACGTTGTATGTTACCAAACGTTATCAGAACAGCTTATTCCCAAAGGAATATCAACAGAAACATGTCCATTCTGTGCTCATATAATGAAATATCCCCCATACACAGAGGGGTAGATATTCCATAATATATGGTACCTGTGTCAATTAAGCTATGTAGTTTTGCCCACAAAATATACAGTCAATTCACTTTACAGTATATTCTGAGAAGTGCTTTGAGATATCTCGAAGGCGTGATTAGGCGCTATACCAAATGCAAGGATTATTATTAGTAGTAGTAGTGCAATTTTGAAAATAAACTAGAATGACAATCATCAATTAACATCCGAAGTTCCGGGAGGCGTTAGCACAGGTTTGTTCACTATACAGTAGTTGTGTCGAGGAGAAATAAATATTTATCCTTTCTAGCACTTTCGGTATCATTTTGGTAACATCAACACTAAGCTTCAGAGATAATACATCATAACAGGTTGACACAGATTCAACCTCCCCTCTTTCATTGTGTCCTTTATAATTTTACGAAGACCTTTTGAGAGGGACATAAACCTCTACTAGGCTGCAAATTTCTATGGTTCCATGATCCGCGCCTTCTCAGACACCCTTGCCATAACAACTTGCATTTATACAACATCTTTCATGCCGGATAGTGTTTTGGAGTAACAGTAGCGGAGCTTGATCCCGAGCCAGAGAGAGAGCATTGGTGACTGCGGACAAGGAGGGGGCAAAGTGGAGGGATTGAGGCAAGGAGTTCCAGAGTTTCGGGATGTGATGGCTGAAAGCATGGCTGCCGATGATGGAATAGAGTGGATGAGCAACAGACTTGCAGAAGGCACCTTGTTGAGTTGTCATTGAAATGGGTGTGTATGAGAGACCCATTGAGCAGGTAATTCTCACCTCCTTATGCTTGTCAATCAGACTCAAAACCGAGAGGACCCAGGTTCAGATCCTGTGTGGGGTGAAACCTTAGACAAGTTTTCTTACTCCACACATCTCTGTTCATCGAGCAGTAAACAGGAACACGGTTGTCAGTTGCTTTCCTGGGGTAATAATTCTTTAAAGAAAAATGTGCTCACTCAATCCACGACTGTTTGTGGGACACTGCTGTGAGCAATTGGCTGCCGCATTTTGCCCACAAAATACAGTCACTACACATTACAATATATTCTGTGAAGCACTTTGACATGTCTCAATGACATGATAAGGCGTCATCAAATACAAGGATTATTATATTATAGGATTATTTTAATACAATTTCGATCCCATACCAGGAATGGGGATGGGGGGGGGGGGGGGGGTGCTGGAGACGAAGGAGTACACAGATATGCAAAATAGACACTATGCACACATGTAATTTAACAACAACAATAATAATAATCCTTGCATTTGACATCTCAAAGCGCATCCAGAATATATTGTGAGGTGTAGTGACTGTGCGTTTTTGTGGGGCGGGGGGGGGGGGGGGGGGGGGCTGAAAGGCAGCAGCCATTTGTGCACAGGAAGGGTGACACCCACAAACAGCGGCGGATCGAGTGACCAAATGATTGTTTTGTAAACGTATTTATAACACAAAGTTGCCCCATTCCATATTTTCATGACACTTAAACCCAACCCCATCTCTACTGCGAAATGGACCCAACACACATGTAAACTGAACAAGGCTGGTGGCTGGATGGATGGGGATGGATGGATGGGGATGGATTGGGATGGATGGATGGGGATGGATGGATGGATGGGTGGGGATGGATGGATGGGGATGGATGGATGGATGGATGGTGATGGATGGGGATGGATGGATGGGGATGGATGGATGGATGGATGGGGATGGATGGATGGATGGATGGGGATGGATGACTGGATGGATGGATGGATGGTTCCTATGCTGTGTGGATGCACTCGCTGTATCAGTGCTGATAACAGCACTTGCAGACAACATCAACACCTCCCCTGGATTGTTCAGTAGCATTTGCACCCCCCCACCCCCCCCCCAAAAAAAAAACCCTGATTCAAAAGATACTACAAAAAAGGACTTTGTTTTAATAAAACCTTTATGTCTCTCTGTGTGTGTTGTGTGGTGTGTTGTGTGGTGTGTGGTGTGGTGTGTGTTGTGTGTTGTGTGGTGTGGTGTGTGTTGTGTGGTGTGTGTGTGTTTGCAGAGACGTTGCTTGAAACAATGAGTGAAAAACTCCTTCACACACACACACACACACACAAAAAAAAATAACCCACGTACATACAAAGGAGTGAATGCCCCTGCAGCTGTTTCCTGTCTGGGAGGGTGTTTGATGGAGATAAAAAGGGATTTCTGTGAATCCCCTGTTGCTGGAATTTTCACTGTCCCTGAAAGCACATCAGATGCGTTTGCGCAATCGATCGAAAGTCCTCTGTTCCTGGTGTGAAATTGAGAGAAACGTGAGGAGTGCTCGACTGAACCTCTCTCTCTCTCTCTCTCTCACACACACACACACACATCCCCCTTTTTCTTTTTTTTTTCTTGCTCTTTTGCATTCGCAGGAACACACAAAACCAGGAGAGCATTTACTGGCCACAACTCTCCAGCTTCCAGCAAGAGGTGATGGAAGAGACCCAGACCCCGGTGGGAGAGTCCAAATGCATCTCCTGCGCCCTCTCAGAAGTCTTTAAGGTGACTTTTTTGTTTCCTCTGGTTATTGTGGAGTCTGCTTATATATGTGTTGATTTCACTCCAACCCCCTCCACACACACACACACACACACACACCACCACCACACACACACACACCCACACACCCCCAGTATCAGTCAGTCCCTGACTGTGAGGCTGTGCAGGTTTTATATACCTTCATCAGGATATGGGATTGTTTTGCTTTTATTTCCCACCCCAAGAAAAACCTAAACACCTGAAGCCGGATGACTTACACGAATGCAGGTAATTCAGGGGCTGGGAGTTTGTGCAGGTTTTGCTTTTACATATCAGGATATTGGTGGGAATAATAGGAACGTGTCCAGAAGATGGACTTCACAGTTATTGCAACAGGAAAATTCTGCTGTTTTAATGCTGACAGTGATCAACTTGCAACCCCCAACTAGAAAATAACCCCCCACTGGACTGCAAGACTGTATGCATGTGCATTAGAAGTTAACTGATTTAACTTTAAAGAGACACTGGTTATTTTCTTGCACTGTTAATCGTGATTCTTGACGTGCAATCGTGTGTTAAACCCTTCAAAAATGCAATTCCTCTCTTAACAGCTTCTCTCTTATTTTTTGGTTGGGTTGGTTGGTTGGTTGGGGGTGGAGGGGGGGGGGTTGGGGGGTTGGAATTGGCAACGTGTTATCACGCAGAGAATCCAGTTGAAAGTGCAGCATTAAATTATTTACTTTCTTATGTAAGTTTGCGCATTATTTGCCTGTTTGGACTAACCACTGGCAATCACTTTGCAGGATAGAAGTGGGTTGCATTATGAGCCTGGCTTTTCAGAGTCTGATGGTAAAAACGTTGGGGGAAAAAAGGCTGAAAAAAATATATATTCTTCTGTGCTGAGGGTTTTTGTTCCTTACAATGTTAAAGGAAGTTGGGAGCATCTGGGTTCATTGCAGAGAATGATGAGGCTGGTGTTCAGGGAATCACACAGTTATTCTTGTATGTGAGTCGTTTTGGGTTTGAAGACATTTGTAGCTTTTTTTTAAAAAGACTTTACTGTAGACCCCCCCCCCCCCCACTAAGCTGCCAAATAGTTCAGATCACACACATCTGGTCGAGGCTTCAACTTTGCTTCGAAAAAAAATTCTTTCAATTGCAGTTACTGCATAAGTTTCTTAGGGTGAATGGTTCTTCCCCAAGAAAGGGTTTTCATTGCAGTGTTTCGATGGGAGAAATGCAAGTGAAGCGCTTTATACGTGCTGTTTTCATGCAGAAGTGTTCGGTGACTGTTTTCACATGTGTTTGCAAACATGACACACACAGTAATTTGTCTTTAAAATGCACTGAGAGATGCCACATCTCCTGCGCTTGGTGTCACCTCTGAAAGTAACGTACGTTTTATTTTAGGGCTTTATTATTATTATTATTATTATTATTTCTCGCCTCCCAAAACCAACACAACTACTTTGCCAAACGCTTTGTGGTGGAAATACCCGTCTTCCTATATGGCAATCCCTTCAGTTTTCAGATCAGCCTTTGAAACCTCTCAGAAGTATTTTTAATGCAAGGTTTTTTTTTGCATTAAACTGCAGTGTAACCTTCTTTCAAATGTGTTCTGGAGGGATAGAATCAGAATATTTTATTTGGCGAGACCCAGAGAATAACATCACGAATGAAACTCCCTCTTGCATTTTTGCCTGCTTGGCTGATATATTGGAAATGTCCCAGGCATTTGGTGAAATAATTTGGCCTGTGATAGTTTCACATGGAAAGGATTTTTTCTTTTTACAGATAGTCAGAGTTGATTAAGAGTTTTTGGCTTTGCCACTCAATAAGGATTGCTAATATTTGCAAGCGTTTAAAATAAATGCTGCTTAAGTGTTGCAAACTCTGGTTGTGGAAGTAGCACTAAAGTCAGTATTTGCTGAGTTCATACTTCAGAGAAGAATGTCAAACCATTATCAAGCATGAACGTGTAAAACACAACTATTTGAGTTTTTATTGGGTCACTTTTTTTTATTATTTGTGTATTAGGTACTGTAATAACTCGCTTGTAGTCAGGGGCAACTGTAACAAGTACAGAATGCTCCTTTCACCCTGGTGGTTGCAGTTGAAGTACACAATGCTCTGGCAAGTTTATGCTGGGGCCCCAATGGGCAAGTCATAGATTGCTCAGAACTTCATGCTCGCACAGTCCATCCAACAAACCCTGTTCAGCAAATGATGGAGAACTTGTACGTTTGAAGTTTTGCAAATAAAGGAACAGAGTCGAAATCCTACGGTCACTTCCCCCCACCACCCACCCACCCACCCACCCATCCCACCCTCTCCCTCCACCCCCCCCCCCCCGCCCCCGGCTTGGCATCTTGCTCCACCACTGCCAAACGCTCTGGGAAGCTACCGCGCACGGGTGGCGCTAATTAAACGCAAGTTGTTGTTGTTGTTGAAATTGATAATACTGGCTGAAAGCAGGTTACACGTGGAGGCAGACGCAAGGTTTTAAGCTTCACTGTGGATTGATGCAGAACGTTGAGGGAGCTTGAGGGGCACAGAGCACAATCACGTGAATCTGATGATAGCGGCAGATTACAGTCAGTAAGTGGTGTGATTAAATTTCAAGGTTGCTAAGCGCAAGGTATGCAGTTGATTTTTTTTAAAAAAGCACTAGATGACAGGGCAGGAAAGCCAGTCATTGAGTAGTTTTGTTGAAGTTTACAGCTGGACAGCTGATTGTTAATCGGTTCATCCATCATTTAATCAATTATGAATTAGCTGGCCAAACCCAGTCATGTATTAGCCAGTTATTGGTTCCTTGTAAACCAGATATAGTTTGGACTGTGAGCAATGCAAGACATTTTTTACCTGAAATAACTTACAAGAAATAGCACAGGCAAAAGGCCAGCCAGCTTGACAGGAATCAAGCAAATTTGCCAAGAGTGCAAATGAGGTGGTGAGTGAAAATTTGCCTTACCTCTTAAGTAAATCACTAAAGTAAGTGCATGTTTGTCTATGTTGAACTTTAGCAAGGAATCCGTTTAGTTTGGAGGGTTAGCTAATGCCTGTGTTGTGTGTAATTTTGGAATTCCTGCACGTTTTATATGGCAGGGATGACCACACATGTAGGTGGTGCCTTTCAATTGCTTGTTTTAGTTCAACGTTTATGAGCTTGAGCAGCAGTTAGGAACACTTTGTCATATATGAGAGGTCGAAAGGCTATTTCAAACATATATTTCAGCCAGTGGCCAACACACAGGCAGATATAATTGATAACAACAACAAATTATATTTGTATAGCGCCTTTCATGTCAGGAGGACATCCTGAGGTGCTGGACAGTCAGGGATTTAGATCCTAGCTGGGGGGCAGGGAAGGTAGGGCTAGGAAGGTTACTGAAGTTGTGGTTGAAGAGGTCTTGAGGGAAGGGGGTAACTGGACATAGATTTGGAAGGAGCAGGCAGGAGGTATTGCAAGTACTGATTTATCAAATCGGTATGTAGTACTGAATACCTGTGACAAAGATGACAACGCAAGACGAATATATCCATGAGCAAAGTAACTGCCCTGTGGAGTAAATAAGGGAGGAAGTACAGAAATGCTATCAGTAGGAATTTCTAGCAGTGATAGAAAGGCCAGTCATGAGAATGTAGAGGTAGAACCGTAAGCCTCTCGGCTGGCAGGCAGGGTAATCGACATAATAGATTATGTTACAGAAGATTATGGAGTAGAGATGGAGGGGAAAAAAGTTAGATGTTATGGTTCATGTTGGAACTAATGACTAATAAAGATTTCAGCAATTAAGAGTTAAGTTCTCAAGGTGGTATTCTCGTGATTACTACCAATGCCACCTGCTGATTAGTGCACAGGATTAGGGAAATAAATATGCTGGAGAGATGGCATTAGGATGGGAAAAATTTACATTCCTACGGCACTGGGACTGTTTTTTTGGGTCTGGAGTGACTCGTGCAGGACAGGTGGGCTTAACCAGAAGAGCGCTGGGCTGGGACCCATGTCCTTGGTGAAAGAATAACTGATGCTCTTGGGGATCATCCAAACTAATATATATGGCAAAGGGAGGGGAAAACAAGCCAATCAAACAGAGGAAAGCAAGGTGGGGGAAAGGTTTAAGGAATTTAAGAAAGACAAAAGGAAAAAACAAGGAACAGGGGAAGGATTATTATTATTATCAAATGCATAGATTATTATATAGGGTACCAACTAAACAACTAAAAAGGACAAATTAGAGACAGAGAGTTGGCACAATAATGATTGATCAAGTGGCCTTCTCTGCTGTCAAATTCTAGGTGTAACTGTAGTAGATCTTGGTTCCTAGAATAGTGAAATGATCGATCTTTGAAAGGTTTTTTATATATCCACTCCACACTACAGAGAACAGACTCAATCTTGGAGAAGGCTGTTTTCACTCAGTTCCCTGGTATTAATAGCTTCCAACTGTTTGGAATTGAGGAACAAGTTAGACATTTGTGGTTTGATTGTGTGTTTTGTGGGTGAAATACACCATAAAGGTGTCTTTATTGACGTTTATGTTTAAGGGATTTCCAAAGTGATACCCAACCAGTTTTGAAGAGAGATGAAAGTCCTTTCACAAAACTAGAGAGAGTATTACAATACCATCTGCAAATATAAAAGCCCCCAATAATGTTCAACAGAAAACAAATGTTTATTTTCAACTGATGCAGTGAACTGAAACCGAGAGAACAATGAAATGCCATATTTATTCTACAGGAGGAAGATATTCTTCATCATTTGAGGCATTACGATTCATTCAGTCTTGCTTGTTCACAAGTTAACTACTGAATTCCACATTTCACCACTGAATATCTAGTACTGCATGTGCTTCTCTTATGTTTATTGCTATTATCATACTACACCATCCATATATATGTGTGTATATATATATATAATATATATGTGTGTGTGTATGTATATATATATACACACACACACAAATAAGAGTATGTACCTCTTGGGTACTCTGCACCAAGGCCATCCAAGATAGTGGAGTAACACGTCTGCTCCTGTGTAACACTTGGAGGCAACACAATACTGCAAAAGCCAATCTATGTTCCCCAACTTCAATGTTTAAAATAATCATCAGTAACATTTCCAAGCACGGTAGTTTTTACAAACACTAACATCAGAATGAAACCTGCAGTGAAATTGGTTCAATGGTCAATCTAAGATCAATATAGATACTTTACATTATTGCCAGGTGAAATGTAATTTTTATATTGGTTCAATGTACAATGTCTTTGTGATATGCTCGTGTTTTACAGGTAGTTTTCTTTGATCAATAGAGTTAGCATCAACACCAAACTAAGGTTAAAGGTATCTTAAGTCACTTGTCAGCTCACTGACATGGCAGCAATCTGCTTTTGCTGATAAATCAGTGTAATTCTCTCTAGAAATCTGATTTACTGGGGGGGTGGGGGCAACAGCAGACTCTTATATTTATCTCTGTGGCAATCAAATCAATTGTTTTGTTAGAACTTGTCCTACAGTAATCTGCATGATATTAAGAAGAGATCTACATACGCAGCTCATTGTTTACGTATAAACAATACAGGAGTATAAACAAAACAGGAGTCCTGTAGCTCAGTGGTTAGAGCACCCGCTTTGCAAGTGAGAGACCTGAGTTCAATTCCAGGCAGAGGGCGAAACCTTGGGCAAGTTTCCTTACTCCACACAGAGCCTAATAATAATCCCTCCAAAAACAAAAACAATAATAAATTGGTCATTTTCAATCTACGACTGTTTGTGGGACATTGCTGTGCGCAATTGGCTGCCACGTTCGCCCACAAATATACAGTCAATTCACTTTACAGTATGTTCTGTGAAGCGCTTTGGGACGTCCTCCCGACGTGAAAAGCGTTATATCAAATGCAAGGATTATTATTATTATTTTATAAGCAGTGTATTCGTTGTGCCTTTAGTTAAAGACATGTTATTTTTGATTCAATTCTAGTGTTAATATCAGAAGGACGAGAGGATTCTCTTATTTTTTTAAATCTGCCAAACGTAATAATGCCCCCCAAAATAATAGTAATACTAATTTTGGTCACTGAATCCACGACTGTTTGTGGGACATTGCTGAGTGCAATTGGCTGCCACATTTTGCCCACGAAATATACAATTTACTTGACATTATATTCTGTGAAGCAGTTTTGAGACTTCTCAACAATGTGATAAGGTATTATATCAAATGCAAGTATTATTATTATATTTTAAATGTCAAATAGTCCATTGAGATTTAAATGCTTAACTTATTCTGTTATTTTTGCAGGTTAGGATGGCTTTTGCGTCCTACCCTCATCTCTTCTACCTGACGCTCTGTGTACTAATCCTGAGTGGAGCGGAAGCCAATCCAGAGACTCTTTGCGGTTCAGATTTGGTGGATACTCTCCAATTTGTGTGTGGTAATCGAGGCTTTTATTTCAGTAGGTTTACTTTCTTTATTGCTTGGGATAAAACCATTTTGCATGAAGCTAGTCCATATGATAACACTGCAAGTTCTACAATGGATAATGAATGTAAACTGATAGTTTCCTGTTTCCTTGGAACAGGAACCACTGTTTCCTCAACAGCCACCAAACATGTCAAAGGCACATGATATCATGCTGAACAGGTTTATAACAAGAGAATGAAATTAATCTTCAAATCTCCACATCATTCTAACAATATTTTCCTACCCTAAATGAGGCATTAGTTCCTGGGTTTGGTTCCCGGGCAGGGCAAAGCCTTGAGCAAGATTCCTTGCTCCACACACACATGCCTCTGTTTGCCTGGTGGTGAGTTGGAAACTGGTTGTAGGTCAATTGGAGAATTCTTCAAAAGAAAAAGGAAAAAATAATAATTTGGTCACTCAATCCACGACCGTTTGTGGACACTTTTGTGCACAATTGGCTGCCACGTTTTGCCCACAAAATATACAGTCACTCCTCTTTACAGTATATCGTGAAGTGCTTTGGTACATCTCAAAGACGTGAGAAGGTGCTAAATCAAATGCAAGGATTATTATTGTTATTATTACTATTGCAGACTACTGTACCCGTTTCAGCCTTCGCTTGCAACCAAAGGATTCAATATGGAATGTAGATTGACACAGACAAACACACAACAGACATTTCATCTTTATAGCCATCTGGGAGGTCTCCTGTGGGAGGACTTCTTTTGGGATGACTCAATGGGAGGACTTGGCGCTTTAAAAATATAATTTTGTGGTTGCTGTGGCTTAGCTTCGTCTGTGTTCTTTGTTTTGTTCCCGCTGCTTGGCTTCGTGCGTGCTCTGTGATGCAGGATGCCACAGCACCACAGTCAGCCGACGTAGCCACCAGATGTAACTGCAGTTGTATGCGTACATCCGTAGGTACTCAGTGACCCATGATGCCACTACTAACATTATATTTCACATTGTCCTGCATCTAAATACAATTTTGAATTCTGAAGCTGATTTTCTTTTAAGAACGACAGAGAACAAGCTTCAAAGTTAAACCTGAATTCAACAATCTGCCACATTCTGAACAAAAGCCATGTTAATAGAATAAATATAGACCCAAGTGTATTTCTGCCTCACAATGTTTAAAAAGTGCAGTCAATAAACTAATGGCACCCAACTTTTGGTTACTAAAGCACCCAGAACCTGACAGAAACACTTTCTGCCTCATTGCGCACTCTTGCACAATAGACCTATCTTTAATAATTTAGTACAGCCTCTCAGTAATACATGACTGAACTAAACATCACAACTTCAGCCAATATCAATATTGATTTGTTTTTGAAGTTTTATTGGGTGAAAATGTTGACAGCACTTTATCTAGGTTTGATGGAATCAGCAAAGTTGAATGTGGTAAAGGCAGCAAGTATTAAAATGGTAAGATGCTTTTGTGAAGTTTTGCTAACAGTACAAATTGAGACTGAGATGTAGAAAATGAAAGTGAATCATGCTGGAGTCTAAATGCAAAGCTGCTTTAGGAGAGTTATAGCAGCATTTGCACCAGTTTAAATGCAGGTGGTGTAAAGTGATTAACTCCACGCAGATGTAGGAACAAAATATTTTACCCACAAAATACACAGTCAATTCACTTTACAATATATTCTGTGAAGTGCTTTGAGATGTCTTGAAGATGCATTAGGGTGCAATATCAAATGCAAGTATTATTATTCCTTCCTACATATGTATCCACAGTATCTCTCTTTAAATATCACAATTTATTCTCAATAGTCTTCTGGGATAGTGAATTCTACATTCTCACAACCATTTCAGCTCTAAGATTGTATCCTTTGGTCTAACTGTCACCTTAAAAACCTTTTAATTGATCATTTTAAATGGCACTGTAATAACTTCATAAAACTAACACTAGTGAGCAAAGCCAAGTGCACGCATAACATTCTCCCAAGAGATGTATTTAAGAGAAGTAAAAAAATCATACATCCAGCTCCCAATCATTTTGCTGTTGGAAGCAATATTGCTTTGCTTCCAAAAGTACAAACATGGTGTAATAACACTACAAGTGAATACATTTATAAGAATTTTTGTTCAGTTCATCAATTAGTTATAGTTGTTAAAAATCCGCTATCTGCAGTTTAACATAGTCTTGCACGAGTTTTCTTTAAGTCGGGGCATCCAAAGCAGTGGGGAAGTAGATTGTTGAGAGGGAGGAAGGGAAGGAAAGTTGCAGGGCAAGTCCATTCCAACTGTTGTTACACATCTGAGTATTTGGATCAAGAGTAGCATTGGCAAACGCTCATAAGTAGGTCTCCCCACCCACCAGCTGCATCCTCTTGGCTGAAGAATAATGCATGGCATTGGAGGAATAAAGGAAAAAAAAGAACAAACTTGCGTTTTTATAGCGCCTTATCACATTGAAATGTCTCAAAGCATTTCTCAGGTAATTACTGTCAAGTATAATGATTGTTTTTGTAGGCAAACATGCCAACCGATTGCGCCAATAAATTTGTCCAAACAGCTATGAGGTGAACAACCAGTTAATCTGGAGGACTATTGGCCTGGACTTTAGGAGAAACTCCCTTCTTTTTTCGCGTGGTGTCGTGGGATGTTTAACATAGGAACATAGGAGTAGGCCATTCAGGCCCTCGATCCTGTTCCGCCATTCTACTAGATCATGGCTGATCTGTACCTCAGCTAAACAAGCAGATAGGACCTTGGTTTAAATTTCAGGAAAGTTCCCAGTTTGCGCACCTCCTTGCAAGTAGCTTCAGAGCAAGTGGCATTGACAAACCAGGAGCAGGTTGACCCCGTGCACCCTTGGTGGATGACAGCAAATGGCCTGTAGAATTCAAAAATTGTTTGTTTGAGGTTAACTTTTATTTCTGTTTGAATCTTCCATGGCAAAGGCAAGACAGCCGTGCCTCCATTGAGAGGGCGAGTGAGCAACATGCTTTCAATTTCAGTGCTGCTCTAGAACCAGTTGCTGAAGAACATACACGCGTGACCATAATTGACACTTTTATATTTTGGGGGAATCTCTTTTTAGTCTCCGTCCTGATATCTGAACTGCTAGCTCACTTGGGTCGATTTTACTCTGATCGCTAAAAATAGCGATCGTTTAGCTATGGCTTTATAATAAAATTCCATTGTAAAAACATAGCGGAAAAATCGCTATTTTTAGCAAGCAGCCTAAGACCCCAGTGTATGAAGAACTACAGGCACAAAACCACACCCACTGGTTTCTTCTAATGTGGGTCAGACCGCAGGTCAAATCGTGTGACGTTAATGCCGTGACGTCAGTTTTTTTTTTCCTACCACTTTATTTGTGAAATTTTAAGTCTATGGAAGACAAGCTATCTTATCTGAAACCTTGGCAATGGCAGACTTTTTCATTCCAAAAATTATTCTGTGCAGCAGAGCATTTGTCCTGCCAAATGTATTATATTTTTGGCAGTCACCACCATACTCAGGGCTTCAGTTCTGACCTGTGCCTGCAGATTGTGCTGTGTTAGCAAGGTTCATGGCCTCCAGAGTACTGTGTGGGTCTCAGATGATGTATCAAATCATACAAGTATTGTTAGGTTTTTAACTGCCGACAAGTCAGAAGTATTTTTCAGTTCTGCGTGTATTTTTTTTTCACAGACAAACCGACAGGCTACAGGCCTACTATAAGGCGGGCAAACAGAGGGATTGTGGATGAATGTTGCTTCCAGAGCTGTGATCTCAAGTTGCTGGAGATGTATTGTGCAAAACCAGCAAAGCAAGAGGCTTCTGCACGCACACAGCCCCACGCTGATAAAGGACAAAGGGTAAGGAAGAAACAGACCTGATTTCATCCTGTATTAGATAAAGAAAACAAAATTACTATTTTTTAAAAATAACACACCTTTGAACTATACCATCCTCCAATATCTCATGGTTACCCATTAAACACATTTTATATTATTTTGTGGAAGAGAATTGTAATCTTGAGATGATGATGCTCTGTGAAATGTTCCAATAGGTAAAATCTCAAGCTTATAAATCCACCAGATGTATTGTATTATTCATATTATTGATCTTTAACCCATTTACACAGAAGGCCACACTCGCATTTTTCCAGGAACCAGTGGGAGTCTATTCCATAGAAATGTATAAAGTAATGTTTATTAATGGATAATTATGAAATAACACATGGAGTCAGCAATTTTCTTGACCAATTTCCCCCTTTCTTCCTGCCCTGAAGCCATTTAACTTTCTCCCCCACCCCCTGTACTGCAATATGGATCCACAAGAGGCAAATAATGAATGAATAATGAAATAGCCACTGTCCCAAACTCATTAGCATAGTTGTGAGACGGAGATGAAAATCATAACATTAGCTTCTCAGACATATTGATATCTTGAAGAAAATAGATGTCTAAGTGTCTCTATTGGCTTTGCCTACTGTTTAATTGATAAACAAGCCACTTTGGGAATACATTAGTAGATTTGTCCATTGTCTAAATTCATCATTTTGAAATATCCTCTTTCTGAAAATCTTGTGCTTTCCCCTGTCTCTAGTTATCTTGATACTATATGTTGGTTAGCTCCAAGATCTTTCTATGTTCAGTCATCAGCCAGTGTAATACTCCATTTCAAGATTACGGGCCATTTTTACTGACAGGAGAAAAATTACCCCATCAATTATTGCCTCATATCTGAAAAGCCTTAAGGGTTCTCGCAGTTAATTTTGAGATTCTCTGTTTTCAGAATATAAAGCAATTAGTTGGCAGAAAAACAAAGAGGTGAGCAACTGCACTGTTATTAACATTTTGTTTTCGCCCCAGTATTAATTGAGATCATTGTGTTCCACTTATCTGCTAAAATATACAATGTGCTTACATTAATGTGCAAACCTATATCAAACTATGATAATAGCCTGTATGGATGTAATGTCCCCTTCATTTTTCTTTCTGAAAGATGTCAAACGCACTAAGTGACTGTTGTTGAGAGCAAAGTAAAATGTTTTAATTGAATTTATGCAAAAACAAATAACCCTCAATTAGTAGGTAGTTTAGTTTGCATTGTGGGTGAGGCTGTCTCTTTTTCTGAAGTGCTTTTCTCCAGCTCTTTCCTTGGTCTTTGTATCGTTCACAAGCAGGAGACAACCTGCTGCAAGGACAGTCTGATGCCGCTGTGAATGTGGCCTCTAGAACATGTGTAAAAGCAGTCGAGGCCTGACTGTCAGTATCTTTCCCTCTACCTGTGAGATGTGCCTGGCCTCTGCTTGCTTCCTCTCCATGGTGGGATCTCATCTGAGAGGGGATGGCTACAATGCGTTGGTGTTCTAATGACATACCAAAGCACTTCTAATGGGAGAGCTTTCACATCCGTGTGAAATTCTGAATCATACTGGAATTGTCTATTTCTTATGATGAGTCTTATGTTATGTGGCACACAGGTATAAAGAAGAACTATGATCCAATTCACTTCGGATTTCATATTATGTTCCTTAACATCATTCCTCTGATTATTATAGGAGACTGTCTTGAAGAACTCTAGCCGAGGTAATACCAGTAGTGTCAACAGAAATTACAGAATATGAAATACAAGAGAAATGAACAATGGGATGGCTACCACAACATGCCTAATGTAGCTGAAGTGTCTGTTCACCACTGAATCGTTCTATAAGACAGTCATTTCTACAGTCAGAATTGCCTTGATGACCACAACAGACATTATGGAACGATACCTTTGTTAGATCAGCCATTTTGTAGAATACACATGTTTTCAAGACCTTTGAGATCTTCTTGGAGGAGAGCAAGTGAAGTTTACAGCACCCTGGTGTAAAATGTCGATCTAACAAAGAGTTTCACATTCACCTGCAAGGAGCCTATGTAACAATTAGCAGCTCAATATATGTGGACTACTTTAAGGGCCAGTGACAACGAAACAGAATCATTTTTCATTGTGATTACCATACATTTACTTGTTAATATTATTATGTTAATCATGCTTCTGCAATAATATACTTTTGAGGGTGATGAAGTCTTTATTGATGTTGATTATTTTATGAAGGCAGATTAAGTAGATGACACACAGATCAATGTCAGACTACATTTCAATATTTGCACTCTTGTGTGTTCTGTCGTTTGTCGCTGCAAGTAATATAAATCTAGCTGTCTGCAGTTTAAAAGGTTTTGAACAGATAGTCATAAATTTAATGATAATCATCAATCTACATGGTACACTTTAAATGCATTACCCTATCTTGAATACTTCATTAACATTATCAAGATGCTATAATTCTCTCAATATGAAGTTTGCATATAAATGTCAACACTCTTATCATTACAATAAATATTTGCCCAGCTAATTTAATATGAATGAAATTGGATTCTCACCCGTTTCATTTCGCCCCATCCCCAGTTTTTCTTTCATTAAACCTTTCACTGTCAGAGAACTTCCAACTGCACGTATTCATGCTGTAGACAAGTCATTACTCCAGGTAGTGTTGTTTGGACAATTTTAAGATGGAGTTTGTATAAAGCAAAATGGAAACGATTAGTCTTCAGGAAGTTCGGAGGTGGAAATTTGCAATGTTTCAAATAAAAACGTCATGAGACACCACAATTTTTCCCAAGATTACTCCAGATTTGCACAAAGCTTCACACTGGCTGAGAACCGACCAAGTGAAGTGTATGCCAGCAGTAGAAAGGTATTATAGAGCACAGGTAATCCTATTGCTCAGCACTGGGATCATTGTTGAGCTGTCAAAATGATAAGCACGAGTTCCAAACTGCAAATCTGGAATTTGATTTTGCCCAATACAGATTAATTTGAGGGCATATGTAACTGGCCCTATTCAATACTATAAAGTGTTGCACATGAGCACAGAGGTATTTGTGCTGTAGTATTTTCTTTCTTCTAATTTCAAATCATTCTATTGGCAGCTGGAGAAGGGGAGGAGACAGTAATGTGTCCAAATCAAGTTCTGTTATAGAGGTGTATTCAATCAGTTATCTCATGGGGCAATATGCTTGTTTCTGGTGTTGTAGAGGAGTAAGATACATGTGAAGTACATGGTGGATTTAAATCCAGGTTAAATGCTGTATGTAGTATCACCTGTGTGATTTAATTCTTGTTGGAGATGCGACTGATAGGAATGCACTATATCAATCACTGGATATCCAGTGTACCTGTATTCGTATGAATGCATATCTGTGTGGGTAAGGGGAAATTACATCATAATAATTTAATAATAATTTGGTCACTCAATCCATGACCGTTTGTGGGGCACTACTGTGAGCAATTGGCTGCCACATTTTGGCCACAAAATAGTCAATTCACTTTGCAATATATTTTACAGCACTTTGAAATGTGAAGCGCTTTGAGATGTCTCAACGATGTGATAAGGCGCTGTATCAAATGCAAGTATTATTATGATTCAGACCTTGGGATTTTTTTAAAAAAATGTAAATTCCCATGGCAGTGATAAATTGCCAACCCTGGTAGGTAACATATTGGGGTGGGATAAGAACCAGCTCAGATTTTAACTTTTAAACAGAGTGTAAGTCACGTTCAAAGTCCGGTTGTAAGCCCATCTCCTCCAAAGTTCACAATATCAAGTAGCAAATGGGATTGTACCTAGCCATAAAGATCATGATATTTCTAATGGTTGATCTACTGCTGTGTCAGTTAATATACTAACGAGTGATTATTCTCCTGGGAGAGAGGTGGTGGGGGGGGGGGGGGGGGGGGTGTGAGGGTCTCCTCAGAACTGAGCTGCCTCAAAGTCACATATTTGGCAATAGAATGTCAGAATCAAGTTAATGTTCTGTGGTGTGGCAATCTAGGCTGTCCAGTTCCTGAACCAGATGAGTCTGCAGTACTCAAGAGCCAGCCTGGTTCATTAGCTTGGAAGGATTAACCAGCCCACTTGGCTTCTGTTAATGCTGCAAGCCAAAGCCCTTAGGGGCAGAGTAGTCCTAGCTGGACAAGCAGCAGGAAACTTGCCAGATAGTGCACTCAATGATAAGATGTGTTTTAGCTGGTTAAACTCCAGCAGTACTCCTATACTCTGGGATCTCCAAGCCTTGGCTCTTGCCAACCTGCACCTAGTAGTTTCTGGAATTAGAAAGCAGTGGGTAGGTCCTTCCAGGAGAGATGTGCATCTCATTCCAGACACAAGGAAAATCCTGTGTAGCTGGCATACATACGTGAAAGTCAGTCTCCTCTAGTATGGATACTCTTAAGTACTGTGATGGTTTTCCACATGTTTGTTCACCCAGCTGACCAAAAAAAAAGTTTGTTGATCTCATCGAGGGAGGCGGTAGGGGGAACAGCAGTCTCAGTATTTCTGGAATAGAAACGGAAAAACTGGCTAGGATTCTGACTTCCTGTGTGTGTGGGTGTGTGCATTTGTGTGTGTGTGGGTCAGATTAGGACAGGATTATCTTTGGCTATGAAGTCCCCTGCAGTCGATTGGCTCACTGACCAGGCTCACAGTTAAAGGAAAGCCAGTTGGGTGGGGTACTGTTAGGCTGCTGCTGCTTTCAAAATATACCCAAGCATAGACTTCACGATGGATAAGGCTAGAAAACAGCAAGAAGGAAAAAGAAACTGGTATAAATCAATTGGCTTTTAAGAAACAATTGGTTTATTCATGTCTTTTTCCCTGCACTCTAAAGATGTCATTGGAAATTCCTCTGACAAAAATGTGTTTTGTGAGAAAGTAAGCTGTTTCTATAACTGAACTTCAACATGTGAAACAGCAGTCCACCTCTTAATGCTTTTTAAAATAACAAAGCACAATACTGTTGTAATAACTATTAGACTTAAAAGGCCCATAAAACAGAAATGCAGGTAGGTTGTACCTAAAAACATTAACCTTAACTTTCAAATTGATCTGTGAATTTCCAATACTGAGATTTTATTTCAGATTTCCAGTATCTGCTGTGTTTCTTTATAGTCCCATTAGAATATCAGCTTCCAGACCAGATAGATATATGTTCCTCTTCAATGTTTGTAAAATGTTGGGCTAAATGGAGCTACTTAACCTCTCATTAGTAACAATGACATTCCATTTGCAAATAATTTTCTTATGTATTAATGCATTCAATAAAATTGTAACCTTTCTAAATAGAAACCATATTCATTGCTTAAACATTACATTGTTAATTTTGAAAAAAATGAATGCTGCATATTTTCTTTTTTCTACTTTAGTGCAATTTGGAAAACATGCATTTTAAAGATTTTGCTACAAATCTGTAATTACAATATAACCCTCAACCAGCTTCTCGCTATGATTTGCACCCTAAATTCAATATACAGGCTGAAACGGTACACTTAAGCAATACTTATAATCTATTCAATACCATGGTGCTATTTTTTTATTATTGTAAAAATACTTGATGTTAGGGAAAATAAGGAATACAAAAAAAACTGTTAAACAAAATAGCCTGATTTCTGGTAAGATTTTCATATGCACATAGAGCAGATGTAGATTTAAGCTTTTTATTTTGCTGTGGTTTTCAGCTATTGTATTTGAATGTTGTGTTTAAATTCCCGGCATGGGCAGAGCAGCATAGTATGTAGTATAGTATGATGTACTTTACTTTCTCAAAACTCTTAATTATGTTGTACCATTGTCTTCCGTATACACTTTCTCAAACAATTCAAAATGTGTTTTAAAATAAATCCCACTTTTATTTTTGTACCTATGATCTGTTATGAAAGTGTCTTAGCATTTCAAAACTAGCCTTTTTAATTTTTCCAACTTTTTTGTGAAACTATATAAGTATATTAAGCAAAGTAATGTTATCCCTAGAACTATAGCCATGTACAGTTGCACCATATTTTGTTGCATTTAGTTAAGTTAGCAACCCTGGATCCTACAAGAGGATTAAAATATTCCATATGTAATTTCTGTTTTGATTGTTGAAAATGAGTAAGTTCAAATAGATGACTTTCATCTGTTATAAGTTTTAGGTAAATGTCAGGACAAACCGTGACAAAGTGTTGGAAAAAAAATATCAGTGCAGTAAATGTAATTTTTTTCTAAGTGACTTTTGATACTTGCATCGTGCAAATTAAAACAGGATATTATACAGAGAGGGACTGCTGTTTATTTATTAATTTTGTAAATAGCCAATATGAAAGTAATTTTGCAAAGTCTATTGCATCTTTTGTTATTTTAAGGTTAGAGTGTTGGATGGAATATTGTTTTGTAGAAAAACTTGTTTTGAAACAATATTGATTCAATATTTTTGATATGCAGAACATATGGAGCTAGTAATGTAATATGATAATGTCATATCAAAATAATTGACACGCACCTGGAATGCCTCATATTTCAAGATCAATCGAAGGACAGCATGGTATTTACCATTTTCGTTCACTGCTATCTCTTAAGGATTATGTATCTGCAAATTACAAACAGATTTACCATTTTTATTTATTTAGGTATTGTGACAAAATGTAAAGACTGTTTTTCAGTTCCATTGCAGTTGGAAATGTTAAATTTGATATAGTGTCTTATCACATTAAAGCACATTATGCAATGACTGTTATGCAGACAAGCACAACAGCTTCTCTATTCCAGCAACATCTCAAAAAACAGTGAGATGAATGACCAAAGTTAATCTATTTTTCTTGAATTTTGATTGAGGGAAGAATATTGGCCAAGGCACTATGGGAACTTCCTGTTTCAAAATTATATATTGGATCTTTAGTCTACTTGAACCAGAAGACATTATTTTGGGTTGACATTTCATCCAAAGGACAACACTTCCAATAATCCAGCATACCCATATTACTATGCACCCATAATACTGAATTGTCATCTCAGATTAGGAATTCAAGTCCTGGTGTGGGGCTTGAACCTACAATCTTCTAATCCAAAACAAGAGTGCTACCAACTGAGCCACACTGGCACTTTGTTAATAATTTGTAGTATTGCTGAGAAAATAATTTTAAATTGTTACTAACTTCATGAATTTGTGATTCCTTTTAATTGCCCAATAAATGAATGTCAGAACAATATTTTGTTTAAGAATCCAGTGTCAGCTTTAAGCACTCCAAGGTCAGGTAATGGCAGCATCAGATGCAGAGTAAATCTCCCTCTCATCTACCCCAATTTAACTGCAAAAGAGCATCCCTACGACATCACCTCAATTTTTATTTCTTACAACTGCAGCCTTTGTAGTTTTGTTTGAGTGATATTGGGATATTGAGACTTGCAAAAGGATTAGTAAATAGCGAATCCCAGATGTGTCGCAGGTCATTGCTTGAACAATCTTAGCTCCAACTTCCGTGAAGACAGGCTACTTCAATCCTGTTGCAAAATTACAAACAATACTATGCTGGGAATCAATGGCTATTGGGCAAACTCATTTCATATACATTTATATGTGGTAGAGAGGAGAGAGTGGCATTACTTCATTCTGGGCTGTATTCTAACAGAGACCTGGAGGTGAAAGCATAGTGTACCAACTCACTGTAACAACCAGTCCCACTCTGGACAATTTAGAAAATAAATTTTACCATAAGATCACTAAAATAAAAATTGAAGCTGTAATTAAACACTCCATTAAAATTTATTTTTTCCCCCTTCTTTGTGTTGCCGGTTTACATTCAATGGGCAAATTACAACAGAATTTTACAGTACTGAAAGCAGGTAGGGAAAAAAAAGTTTAAAAATAAGTTTTAAGATTGTTGTAATGCTATATCTCAATTTGTGTGAACACTGAAAAAAAAACTTTAACCTGAATACTCTAGTTCTGCATACTTTGATGGTATCGGTTTTCAAATGAGCAATATTACGTATAGAATCTTCAGTGTACATCTGTATCTTTTGCCTGTTTTCAAATGAGAAATATTACTTATAGTATCTTTAGTGTATGTGTATCTTTGCCTCTGTGAGGTTTCTAAATAAAACTTTCACAATTACCTTACCTGTGTTGGTGTATTGATTGTTGCAAATAAATATAGCATATCACTTCGTTCTACAGATATGCCACATTCGTAAAAGCAATGCATGGGTAAAAATTCCATTCAGCATTATAATAATTTTGCATTTGGTAGAGTGCCGTTCACATCAGGAGACGTCTCAAATGGCGTTACAGGATATTACTGTATTTGTAGGTGAATATGGCAATGCATTTGTACCAAATGGTATCCCACAAGAAGCCATGAAGGAAAATATCAGTTTTATTTCTGGTATTGTTGACCGGGATACCAGAAGAAATTCCCTTCTTTTTTCAAATAGTACCATGGAATCTTTAACGTCCACCCGAACAGGTAGATGGGAGCTTGGTCTGAAGAATGATACCTCCAACAATGCAACCAATTGAATGAGCCTGACGCACCTTTGGCAACGTCAGCCTTATTGGTATTTTTCATTATAGTTACACATCATACAATGCTAGACAGAAATTTTAACCCTAAAATGCTCAATATCCCTTGTGTCCATGCTTCAAATGGATGACTCGAAGGACCTTCTTCATCCAGACCAATCTTGTAATGATCGATATTACCTTGAATTCAAATCACAATCCAACAAAAAAAAAAGTTTTTGATGCACATAAAATCCATAATTTAAAACCAATGCAAGTGAAATGACATTAAAACATCAACAAAAATTGAAAAGCTTGACATTCAATGGTGGCACAGGTAAAGCAGGGGACCTGTAGTAAGTACGAGTTAGCTGATCAGAGGGTACAGGGAGAGGAATGAGCTAGGAGATTGACGCGAGGACCTTGAAATCGATTTTGAGATAAATGGTTTAATTAAAGTGCTCAAATGTTCCTTAAAATTGAATTCAAACAAATTTCTCATTGCTCAACAACAAAAACTTGAATTTATGTAGCCCCTTTGTCTTGGAGCACTGTATAGTGGTGGGGTGTGACACTGAGCATGGGAGAAGTGGGAAGTGACCATGTGCAAGTTCAAAGAGATTAGAATCTACATAGATCTTACATAGATCTGTGCACAATTGGCTGATGCGTTTCGTCCACAAAATATAGTCAATCCATTTTACAGTATATTCTGTGAAGTGCTTTGAAAGGTCTCAAAGACGTCATGAGGTGCTACATCAAATGTAAGGATTATTATTATATAAAGAGTTCACACAGGGCAAAAAAATGTTTTTTGTTTTATATTTTAGATTGTTTCACAAGCTGATGTGTAGGAGAACTAGCCACTAATACCCATGACCGCACCCTTCCTCGTTGAGCTGGCTTGGCCTCATGCAAGATAGATTTTCCTCCTGTCAACTTTGGCTACTGTGTGGGGATTGGCTAAAGACATATAAAAGGAAAAATAACATTTAAATCACGGCGTAAGTCCAAGCACAATGTGTGTATGTGCATGCGGAGGCTGCATGCTTGGGCATATGTAATATTCTCTAATTGTCTTTTTAGATTTACTTCAACTAGTCCACTGGCAGATAATTTGGGGATTGACAGCTTTTTTTTTTGTTACCTTTTAAGACTCTGTTCTGAAGGTGGTATTTTCCTTTCCTACTCGAGTTTTTGAATTTGTGAAGCTAGAACCAAAGTTTGCCCTGGCCAAATCAAAGGCTGGGAGTGTGTCATCTTTACCTTTCAGAACAGACACTAAATTCATCCACATCTGTAAATGAACGCAACATTCCTTTCAAGCAGTGGACAAGCTATTTAGCATGCTTTGCCTTCGATAATCCCATTTTCATTACATATTTGAAGAGCCACCCAGATTGGCGTGCAACAAGCCGCTAGAAAATCATTACTGTCTTTTTCCGAAAATGGTTCTCATCGCTTCATTTCCAGCATTTATCAGCCATCAGAAATATTTTATTCACAATAATCATTCCTGTCCAATCTGTCCTTCATGACAGTACATTCGGAATTGATAATGCTAAGTATTTTCTTCTGCCAAAACATTTTCTGAAATTCACCATCATTCCTAAATTACACACAATGTAAATGTCACCCTTACCTAGTCTGGTCTATATGCAACTCCAGCCCTGTACTACTTGATTGATTCTGGCTGTCCTCTGCATGGGTCAAGCAAGTCACTGAGAAAATCACTGCAGAAAAATTCAGTTGGAAAGAAGGCCCATCACCACCATTTTAGAGAATCCATTGATGTGTAATAAATGGCAGTTTTGCCTACATAATAATCCTTACATTTGATATGGCGTCTTTCACTTCAGAAGGACTTCTCAAAAGGCATCACATGATAAAATGTAAAGCGATAACCAATTTCCACACAGTAATGATCCACAATCAGCAATAACATCTTGATATTTCAAGAAGTCAATCCCAATCGACCATTTGGAGACACAAACTTTGATTAATCCCAAAATGTAATGCACCCTAAAAACAATTTTCATGTAAGAAAATTATTACATAAGTTAGATCTCAATTCATTGGTATCGAAGTTTTTCAATATCCAATAAACTGCAATTCAAATACTAGCTACAGAGTGTTACTTTATGAAGAATGATTATTTTTTCCTAATTTGATTTATGTCTAGGTCAACATCATGCAAAAATGTTTTCGGTAAGAAAGGATCTTCCTATCAGGATACACATTCCGCAGAGATTAGCAATTCTTTGTTGTAAAAGATTCCTTTCATCTCCTCTTGGTTTTTAGTAATAAAACCATAATTTCCACTTCCCATTCAGCACATCTAATACAAAGTGCAGAGAATAGTTTTAAAGCTTACCTTCTTAAATCAGATCCATTAATGCATTATTCTTCAGATGAATGAAGTAACCATCCATCATTTTGACATCTAAGATGTATTATTCATTATGCAGATAAAAATACATTAGACATGCTGTTCCTAATGTTAGGAGAGTCACCGTGGAATGAAATCCCTTGAAACGTTAATTAAAATGTAGATCAGGCAATACCTCTTGGTACGATGAATCAGACTATACATTCATTTTAGGTCACAACTGGTAATAAACCCTTCAAGTAGACTCACCGGGAAGTCATTCCATTGTGTTGAAGTATATAAAGGCATTGCTACATGTACCTTCAAAGAAAGCATCTCTTGATCATCATTGGTTTCTGTGCAAACCTTGCTCTTGAGAGAACTTACAGCCAGTGTGAGAATGACTGTGTCAGTGTACACTGTCCTCTTCATCTCGGTTTTGGTCATCACAAAGTTATCTGCTTCTGCAAAATCTGTGGAATGGTTGCAAGAAAACAAGGTGCAACCAAATAATTTTAACCCAAAGAAGCCTGACCTACCAGTAAAAGCAATGGCTTCACTGTTATTCAATCATTACCCACTTTTGGATGACAAATTAAACCCAGAAGTCTTCGTCATAACGGTAAGTTATTTTTTCATCATGTCAATTTCACGTTGTCATTTATAAGAAAATGCAAACTCCAAAATCTTTAATCAAAAGAAGTTGGTAAAATGTCAAAAAAATTGGGAGTGTTACATACAGTAATTCTCAATTTGAGTCAGTTATAGTGACTTAGTCACAAATAGTTAACTCCTGCTGATGGTTTAATGTACATCACAAAATCTGCTTCTGGGCATGTTGGACTGTTGTTCTTGCAGGTTGTCATGACAGAATCCCTGCTACTGGAAGGAGTTGTTATTTATGATTCAGAGTGGCTAATACCAACTCCAACTCTGAATCATCGCGTGCTAGACTTTGATAAATAATAATTCGGTCAGAAGAAAAAATAAGCCTAGATCTCCTGAGGCAGCTTCTCATGCTGTAGTGTAATTTCATTAATGCTCACAGTCATATCCTGTTCCTCAGCCAAAATGTCACTCTTGATGTGTGAGCTTCGAATGGCCATTCTACTATGAGGAACATTGGAGCCAATCTTGATTCTATTCTCATCCAATGTTGACATAGCCATTCTCCAAAGAAACATTAGATGATCGGGAGTGTGAATATTGGCTATTTTCCCTCTCTCCCACCCAGAATACTGAAGCCATTTGTAATGCTCCTAATATTGTCCTGACTGGCTTTTTATTAAAAGAAAATGATGAACAGAAATTTGTTGGAGCGGTTTCTTTATATGTGCTCCCAAATTTTAAATCAATTTCATCAATCTTGGGTTTAAGAGCAAAGTATAGAGTGTCTTACATAGAACATTTAAACTACAAATATCTTTTTAAAAAATCCCATGATAATTTTTTTTGCAATGCATGTAATTAAATGTTGTCCAATAAAAGGGTAATACTAACTAGAAGCAGCACATTAGCCCGAACAGAGAAACAATTAAAAGATGGATTAATCTTTCTGAAAGGTTAAATGATTGTTTTGCATCCCTATCTTTGTTTCAGTCTCCTCGCTTCGCTTACTATTCCCCTGCTAAAAGGTAAACCAGCTTGTATCACAAGCATCTCATGCTCTGCTTGCCAGCAAGTGGACAACAACCATCCAATTATTTTGGGGAGGCAGAGAATGTAGGGGAGAAGAGAAACAGCAACTACGTTTGCACAACGATTTGGTAAAAGTTCTTCCACAAAGTTCCTGCCTCTGAAATACCGACATGTTACAACATCAGTAAAAGCTACTACAATTATCACAAAATGCTTTCAGAGTGACACTACATTAATAATACTGTTTTATGCATCCATTCTTCTTTTCAGGATTTGGGTTATAAATCAGACTGGAAAATCATTCAAGATCATCTAAATTTTGCCAACCAAAGTCTGCTCAAATCCACTCCACCATTGAAAGCCACAGTGAAACAGCCACCTTATTTTGTAATCAAAGGTGCGGGCAAATCAGAATTATCTGACAATATACAGCAGACTGAGACAACAGAGGCTCGAAGAGGTTCTGGTGATATGGAAGGTATAAGCAAATTTCCTGTAACCAGGAGAGATTTTGACAGTAAGTACTTTGCATTCTGTCGACCAGTCATGCTGAAATACCAGTCGAGTAGGGACATGGAATGACAGAAGGGTGGGCTGCAACAAAAACGATCAATTTATTCGTTTATTTTATTTATTAATTTACTTATTCTAGGCTTCAACATTTGCCACAAGAATGTTCTTCCCCATGCAAGATGAGTGCCAACTTTTTAAGATGAGTCTTTGCCTTTTTTTCAAGGTGTTGTGTTGGAATTACTTCACCTCTGTGTGGCAACTTGTCAGACAATCTGTCCACGATAAGGAACTCCAATTTTTTTCCCACACAAACAACAACATTACATTTGTGTAGCGCCTTTAGAAGGGAGGGCAGGGGAAGGGGGGTGACCGATGGCATGGCTGAAAAGGAGGATCTTGAGGCGGGACTTGAAGGAGGCTAAGTTGGGGGCAGAATGGCTGAAGGCTCTCCTGCCAATGGTGGGGCGGGTGGCTCGAGAGACGTGGAGCAGGCCAGAGCCGGCTGAGCGGAGGGAACAGGCGGGTTGGTAGGGGGTTAGGAGGTCGCAGAGGTAGGGTGGGGTGAGGCCATGGAGGGCTTTGTAGGTGAGGACCAGGATCTTGAACTGGATCCTCTGAAGGATAGGAATTTTGAAAAAAAAAATTTAAAAAAAGTTTGAAAGCAAGGAATTCACTGCTGCTCAAGGCTGTGAATGAAAAATGTATTGTGATGTTTAAAAGATGGAGATACTCGGGAAGTATGATTAAGAGATTCGGAGAAAAAAAGTTTGGAAATAGGATTAAAAGATCTGCCATAATCCAATAAAATAGAATAGACTTAATGTCTTCCAGTGCCAGGCCAATAATGCAGGGATAGTGCCAATGTAATATTAATATTACAATCCTGGTGGATGCAAAACAGACACATATTTTCTCATTCAAAGTATCCAAAACTACATTTCAGAATTATGACTCGCAGTAGTGGATGGGTCTGTACTGTGTAAAAAGAGAAGCCAACTGATGATTTTGTCTACTAGTTATTGAATACATTTCTATGCGGTTGTCTGGATAATAGCCCTCTTGCAAATATGTAAATATTAGAAAATAAGAAAATATTTATTTTTGTTATTTGGAGGCAAATTTTCTTTACAGCTAGTAGGGTTACCACATTCTGTTACATGTAAGGATTATTATATAGCTAACAGGATTACAATATTCTTTGAAATTATCCTTGTATTAATATTGTTTTTGCATTACTGTTGATTTAATTGCTAGCCTCCACCTAAAATTCCCCATTCTCTTCCTCCTTGCACATCCCCTAACCTCCTGCATATCCCCTAAACCCCAGCATAATCCAGTTTATGATCTGTCCAGAGTTGCTTAAGAGCTCGAAATACACAATTGACTCACAACCTTGTAATCATATTTTCATTCGCATCCAGAAACACACAAGTTACATGATGCAGGACGGTTGTATAAAACTCGATTGCACTGAACATAGTGACAATTTGGCTCAGTTTTGAGAGCACACTCACCTTCAAGTCAGAAGGCTGTGGGTTTAAACCTCTCATTGGGATCTTGAACTACATAGTCCAGGCTGTGACTGGAATGCAGTCCTCCTGATGTGAAAAGCACTATATCAAATGCAAAGATGACGATCTGATTATTTGTATAAATTAACATCCCTTTTCTATTTTGTCCCACAGTGCTCAGATGTATGCTGGGAAGAGTATATAGGCCCTGCTGGCAAATCTAAAGGCTGGCTGGTATATACAGAATATTGTTTGGAACTTTATCAATGATGTTTAGAAAAAGGTATTCTCCTTGTATCAAATGATAGTGAAAAATGCATGCTTAAATGTCAATCTACTTTATTGTTCGTACTTTAATAGCCAAAGTCATGATGTGAAACTGCATTTTGTTACTGAGCGATCAATGGAATCATTATATTAATAAAGTATTACAAATTGTGCATGCCTGATTACATTGCTGCAAGGAAACATTATTCACATAGTTTTGATTAAAAAACAATTTCAGAATGAATCACTTCAAGTTAATAACAAGGTCAATATTTAAAAAGTATACCCAATAGTCTTTTAAACAAACAGAAGAAATCCTGACAATTTTACATTCTAAAAAAGTGCGTTAACTTTCCTTGTCCAGGAATTAACTTATTCTTGGCTGCATTTTTGCCTCTCTTTGATGACATTGGCATTTTCATATCTATTTTACCCTTCAATGGGATGCACTTCACATCATTCGTTTTACCAGACTTCTGCCGTGGCTCACTTGCATCATTGCATTCCGAAAGAGAGTTCAGCTCGGTCAGTTTCCGCTTGGTCACTTTCCTGCTGCCCTTCAGATTCACGCTTTGCTTATGTTGAGTGTTCCCAGCCTTCATCCCAAGTCCATGTTTCTTCACTGCACATTCTTTACTGACTGGTGAGTGAGCTGCTGATGTTCTAGGTTCACATTCATCTAGTTCGAGGGGGAGATCAGGTGGATAGAAAGGAGAGAAAGTTTTCTGGTTTAACAATGGTGAAATTCTAATGTAGCATACTTGCATTTGATAGAACACCTTATAATATCAAAAAGCTTCAAAGCCCCTTTCATAATAAGTGTATTTGCAATTATGCAGGCAAACAGACCCAACTGGAGAAAGTTAGCTCTCATCCAGGACTTGATGTCCTGTTATCGAGGGCGGAGGCAGAGAGATAGAGTCGTGTGTCACCCGCATACATGTGGAAATTGCCCTCATCTCTGCGGTTCATGTCACTGAGCGGGAGCATATGGAAGTTGAAAAGGAGAGGACCAAGGACAGAGCCCTGAGAAAAGATACAACAGGCTGACCAGACCGTAGGGCAGGGGATTCCAGGATCTACAAATACACATTAATACACTTTCTGTAAAGTGCTTTGAGATGTTTCAGTGTAATAATAAATGCCAGCATTACTATCTGGCAAGAGACAGATCTCATTTAATGTGGGCAAAAGTAGAGATTCAAAGAAAAAGAGAGAATATAATCTAAACAATGTTAGTGTGCAGAAATGAATACACTACAAAGGAGAACAAGTTGGGGTACTGGTGGAGAGATCACAAAAAAAGACAAATGTTAGCAACAGTAAAGAAGGTGAGCAACATGTTAGGGGTGTATACAAGGAGGAGTAGAACACAAGAGTGATACTGAGTTTGTAAAGAGCACATGTCAGCCCTATCTGGGGTATTGCATGTAATTCTGGTCATCACATTGAAGTAAGGACATCTTGAACAGACAGTTCAGATTGAATTACTTTCCACAGAGAGTGATGGATATGAGAAATAGACTGCCCAAGGAGGTGGGGTGGGTGGATTGCATCAGCAAATTCAAAGGGGAATTAATTCGCTATTTGGCAGAGAAATCCATCAAAGCTTACGAGGTAGACTAGTGTAAGCATTTTATATTTGTTGTTTACTTAACATATGAAGCACACAGTTTTTTCAGGTCTTGTATGGTCAAAACTCTAAACGCCCCATTTGCCTTTTGAGTGTTCCCCGAACATTCTCAGATATTGAAAGATCAGATCGAGAGCAACGAGCTGTAATCTAGTAACCAAACAGTTAACATCAACAGCAAGCCAAGAAAAAAAAAAATCTTTTGTTTCCTTTTGTTTTGAATTATATTTCAAGGTATGAGTGATAGATGTTAACCGGAGGAAAATGAGACTGCAATATTGGCATTCCCTCTTTGCACCAAGAACTCCATGTAGTTTTACCTTCAGTGGATGTACTGTCACAGTATATATCTGGAACACGTTTTGGTCCTGGGTGAACGCATGTTGGAGCTTGGCTGAGGCTTCGATAGTTCTGAAGATTGTTGGTCACTACATCATCCTCTTTGTATGTGCACGAAAACTGGGATTTAATCAGATTGTGCTTCACCTATGGTAACAGACATGTAAAGTGAAATACCTCGTTACCGATGCTCAGCACAAAATAATTTATCTTGAATTCACATCGGCGTGAAACCAGTCTAGTTCTAAAAATGTAAAAGCAAATCCTGATTTTATACAATTTGGTCAAGTACATTTTTTCTTCGGTAATGGAGAATAATTTTAATTTAATAGCTTTACAGGAGTTAAAATAATAATGTATATTCTTGGAAATCATTACCAGTTGGATTTTTTTTTATAAAAAGCAGCATTTGAAGATTGTATTACCTAGCTTAATGCAGATGTTGCAGATCACATAGCACACATCTGGGATTCAACTCTAAAAGCTGAATTGCAACATGACCCTTCACAGAACAAATTGCTGTGGTACAGCAGTTGTTTTGAAGCCAATAATAATCTAGTCTATGTGTGGAGTTCACCAATGCAATGAACAAAACAGATGCTTTGAACCTAATTCCAACAATTTGTATCAAGGAGTTGTAAACACATCAGACTTAATATTTTATGAAACAAATTTACCCCCAAAAAAGTTTTAAAGATGTGCTAACAAAACTAACTCAGACCTTTGGAAGGAAATCAGTTCAATCTATAGTGGAGTTAAAGGAGGCCAGACAATTGAGATGGCTTTTACAGGTGGAAAAGGGCTTTTCTCACGAAGCTTAAAATTCTAAAATCATACATTTCTGTCCATATAAAAAGTCAAAGAGTGATCTCTGTGAGCTTGGAACAATTTTTGGTGGACAAATTGACACAAATCTACTTCATAAATCTTACATCGAAACAGTTTCAATGTACAATACTAACTCAAATCTAAACAAGTTGGGGATTTATGAATGCATATTTTTTTTTAAAAAAACAGGAAAATTATTTGATTAGATTAGAATATTGTTGAGGTACTGAGGAACTCCAAATAAAATAAATTGTATTACCCGGAACTTTGTAAGAGTTACCATCATGATACAGATTATGGATTAATCGTTATACAAATAATAAGGATAGCAATTTTACATTTATATAATGCATTTCACGTCAGGGGGAACGTCTTAAAGTGTTTCATAGAAACATCTGGGTGGGTGAAGTTGAGATGAGAGGAATGTAAGACGTCAATACTAATGAAGAGATCAGTGTGAAAAGATCTTAGTTTTACATGATTTTAATAATTCACAAAAGTTAAGCATTTCTAACTGTAGAACCTGGTTTAGGGACCTTTGTAAAAACTCGCAGCAGACGCAGAAGCTAGCTGCCATTCGTGCAACAACAAGGTACTACAAAAATGTAAAACAAACACCTGATTGTGTGATATTGCCATATAAATAGTCTGCCACTAATTGTTATGTAAAGAAAGTACACAAGAATGGCGAACAGTTGAACATTCAGTGATAGTGGAACCACATCCCAGTACTCTTCACTGTTTTTTTTCCCCCTGTCATTTGTGTAAGTAACTAAAACGTTAATCTGGAAAACAGAAACCTTACCCTGATAGCAATCAGTCTCTTTGGATCACTACTTACTGCAGCACATTAAGAATTTATTAAAGTTAAATCCAATATTTTCATAAAATAAACCTGCTGAGAGTCACCTTAACAGTACCTCTGGCAACAGCACTAACGCCATTAAAACGCTTTCTTTTTTGGCACAGAATATCCGCAACATTGACAAAGTCTATTGGAACAACTTCCATTTTCTTCCCCTATGGGGATAANTTTTTTCTAAATAAATAACTGTTTCAGAAAAACTCCAGGAAGCACTTTAAGATGTTTTGAGGTGATAAAATGTTGCATCTAATTATAAGCATTATTATTATTTAGCAAATCTCCAAATGACTGTCAAGAGCGGAAAGTCCCAGTGCACAATAGTATGGTACCTTAATGGCTTTTCCTTCACGGACTCGACTTTGAACACGATTGCGCAAAGGCTTTGGAGATGAGCCACTTGGCTGCTCTGGAGATCTACAATTAAAATAACATTATTGAAAATGTTTTACTTAAAGTGGAAACATAGTACAATAGTACCTTGAATTATGGAAAGATCAATTGAATTGATCCTCACACTGGTCTACAAAATCCCTTTATGCCCCAGTACCTCCCTACTTCTGATATGCTTATTCCCCACGCCACCGCCACTCTGCTGTGTTTCATACCCCTTGCATTCCACCTTTTAGCCCGCTACACCCCGCAACTCTAACTCTCTCCCTCAACCTTTCCATCTTGCCCCCATTTTCAGATCACTCCTTAAGACCCTCCTCTTTGATCGTGCTTCCAGTCACCTCCCCACTCCCCTCGGCGGCTCTATTGTGTATCATTATTACATCTTATAGGTTTCACAAGTTGTTCTTCAGCAACTCAATATTGAAACGCTTTGAATCAATACCTGAAGAGAGTTAACATACAAGGCAATCCTAAGACGTTATGGTGTTCTGCTCCGTGCAGCAGCTCAGCTTTGTTTCTGCTTGGAAGATTTGCTGCCTCCTCATCCATCAGAGCGAGGAATGCTTTCACAGTATCCCTGCCACCGTATGCTGAGGCATGGTTGATAGCATAAACTCGAGGCTAACAATTTAAAAACATAGACATCATCATAAATCCCTCCAGAAGAACAAAATTTGGTTACTCGGTCCACAACTGTTTGTGGGACACTGCTGTGAGCAATTGGCTGCTGCGTTTCTCCCACAAAATACAGTTGTTCCACTTTATAATATATTGTGTGAAGTGCTTTGAGATGTCTCGACAAAGTGATCAGATGCTATATTAAATGTAAGGATTATTATCATCATCATCATCATATGAAACTACATTGCTGAATGGCTTTAAAAGTACGAGAGTAAGAACACCCTTTTTCACATTATGTTCAATTTTACATTATGTAAAATATTAATACCTACATTTGATATAGCACCTTTTATATCACAAGAATGTCTCAAAGTGCTTCACAGGATATACAATAAAGGAGAGTGGCTATATTTTATGGGTGAAATTTTCTAAAAGCTAATCTAAAAAATGTCTTTAGTGTAAAATCACATAAGCATTGCAGGACAGCAGAGCAAATGGATGCCTTTCCATCTGTACCAAAACAATTTGATGCCAGAGAGAAGAAGAAAAAACTGGCAGATACACAATGCGCAAGTTGCAATCAGAATAGATATCTCAGCAAGTTACGCAAATGGTAGAGTCAGTTGTAACTAATTAAAGAAAATTAAATTACAATTAAAAGAAATGAAGATTGCAACTTCAAAACAATCCAGGTCAATTATATATTTCAAGGCTAACATTAGCTAACACGAAGGCTAGCATTGACCATTAAGAAACATAGTTGAAAACAGTTTAGTTGCATCCTTTGAGGCTTCAAGAGAATTGCTGCATCAAATTTGAGCCTAGTTGGTATTGAAATACATTTCTAACGCTACTTTTATCCTGCATTCCCAAATCATTACTTTCAAAGATTTTAGATTGTCAATCCAAAGCCTGTAGAACTATTTAAAAAGGAAAAACAAACTAATTATGAGCAGAAATGAGGCAGGATGATGTCACTTAAAATGCAAAAAAAAAATCAAGATTACAGCTACCATAGAAAATGTGCCTGGGGTGAAAAGAGAAATTTAGCATTTGGTTTGAACTCGACATGAAATTAAGTTTGCATGAGTAATTTAAGTGAATACATTTTTTGGATAGAATTAGGGAGACTCCAACTGGGAATCTGAAATTCAATACTGCAATTTATGCCCAGAGCTATGTCAGTCACTAAGTGAAGATCCTTTTGTTGCATTACAAATAGAAACAACATTACCAGTACCTCTTGCCTTTTGCTTTAATCAGGGGATTAACTCTAATCTCTAGCACACAAATATCAAATGCAGATGAAAGATTGGTCATCATCTAAAGCAAATCAGCGTGAGATTGAAGATCTATTTACCCGTGCTGGACTGATGCCTGTAGCTGCTCCGTCTCTGGCTTCACGCTGGCAATTGATAATATTGTTAATCCTCATTCTTAGCTCTCGTGTGGCTTCCTCTGCAGCGAGGTAAAGTGGGCTCTCACAGCCATGGCCTTTTAGCAGCCGCGTCTTGATCACAGTGAGAATTCGACCCCCTGCAATACTGCCAACAAACATAGTTACCCGTTTGTTGTTCCTCAGCAACTGACTGTCACTTTGTACAGGATTGAACTCATTTTCAGAGCAATTGTTATGCATCACTTGCATGGTCATCTACTATTTTGAAAGATTTGGACAGAAGTTCCACCTGTGTCCAGATTTACTTTAACTAGATAGTACAGTTGGTCAACCTGTGGCCCGTGAAGAAGAAGCATTCCACTCACCCCTCCATCCCCAAACATGATTTATGGTATAAATCAAGAAATACTGAATCAAGAAAAACTTATGTTGTTGGCTAACCGTAAAGGTCAAACATTTTGGGTGTGTGGAGTGGGGAAAGGAGGTTTAAAAAACACTCTGAGCACATTCAGTATTATTTGGGAAGGGATTTAAACTATCCAAATTGATTAGAATGTCTCTGGCCCTCAAAATATGTCAAATTGTGACCAAATGACAAATCGTAAAGATAAAACTTGCTGAATGAGAAACAGATGAGTTTTCACCCCCCACACCCCCCAAACATGTTACTGGGAACTTGGGTCAGAGCACCAGTTCCCAGATAAATTGATTTGACATTTTAAAGAAAAACACAAATTTAACCAAACACTCTTGGGAACAGTTTTAAAAGAAAAGGATGGCCAAAAACACAGTGAAAGTGGCAGAACCACTTAGCCACTGAGACTTCTTGGAGGAGAAACTGGAATTAACAATGATTGAAAATTATGTAATGTTATATTTATTAAAAGAACTGTTTGAGCAGAGAGATAAGAGTAGTATTTGATGGCTCTAAACTGCTGAGTGTTTTCTCCCATGAGGAAAGTTTGTGGAATGAGAAAACTAAGAGGATATAAGCAAACCTTGCATTTCATATGGTGGTCTCATCACATCAATGTGTCTCAAAGTGCTTCAGAGTCTACGATATAGATTGAAGATGCAATGGCAAAGATATATAACTGAGCAATTCTAAAGAATATAATTCACTGTAAATGCAACTCATTACCAATTATTTCCACGTTAGTTGCCATGAATTTAATCATGTGATACAGCTGATTGGTTAAACATATGTAGTCTTATGATTTTCAGGAAATTAAGGAACATGAATTAAATTCAGCAGCTGCTAAATTTTCATTCCAAGAACAAGCGACTTCTTCAATTTCTAGTTAATAGCAAGATCAGCATTTTCAGATTGGCAACTTGCCCATAAAAATCCCACGTTTTTTTGTTTCTAGTTCTCATAGGTACAACTAAGGCTGTAGGCTATAGTTAAAGATTTTTAAGAAATTGTCTACTTTTTATCTGAAATACTTTCCCATTCTCACACTTCAGAATTGAGAAAACTTCATCCATTAAGATTATTTTCATTATAAGTTAAACTAATTTTATTTTAGTTCAGTTGAAATAATAAGTTACAAAGTTACAAAGTGGTTCACTTGAAATTTCTAATAAAATGTTATAGATTTAGGAATTAAATAACTTACATTCCTTTATTTCAACCTAAATTTGTGATAGTTTTCTTCCTGGTGCTAATTGTTACTATAACTCATTCACTCTGAAGTTTTATTGTAGAATAAAAAAGTGCATTCACACAAAGGAAAATAACTATTTTCCATATAATGGCATCCTACATTTCTAAGCTAGTTTTACAATTAAGCTTTTTAAAGCTCCAATACATTTGCCAAAGTTACCATCATGTATTTACTTTCTTGTTAAAAATGTAAGTCAGTTCTTATTCGTTACATGCACAAAAGAAAGTAGTTACCTGGAGTCTGCGGTTTCTCCCAGTATTTCTTGTAATGCATCTGTGAAATGCACAAATTCTAAAAGTCCTTTAACGTGCTGTTTAAGTGGATCTCCTTCTGAAGGAGCATAGCTTTTTCCTCCCAGCTCTAGACTTCTAATAAAGGATGTTGCAGCCTAGAGAGTAAAGTAAAACATAAATTAAATGACAGTAGTCATAGCCTTCCTCATTCTTTGAAAGAAATTCAACCTTGTATCCTTAGCAGTCGAGATATTTCCCCGCTCAGCCCTTACTTTGTAGCTGTGCACTTAGACTTTCCCCGGAGGAGGCAGAATTGAGACCTAAATCGGTAGGAAGAAAACTGAAATACGGCAATAAACAAAATGCATCTCCAATCACAAATGGTCCAATCTGATGAGGGCATCAGGGGATATAGGGCAAAAGCGTATAATTAGATTTGAGGTACAGATCAGCCATGATCTAATAGAATGCCGGAACAGGCTTCAGGGGCTGAATGACCAACTCCTGTTCCTATGTTCCAGAGGACGCATGAGAAACACAAGAAAAAACATTAACAGTAGACAGCAAAACAAATTTCCAATTTATTCAACCTCTGTATACAAGTAAGAGAAACTTTGGTTTCTCTAAACCTAGCACCTTCAGGTGTGTGTGGAGCACAGCAGCTCTCAAGTATATACTGAACTGCCAAGACAATATTTGATATTTAATAATAGTTTGTATGGCTCTGTCCATTATGATGATCTTGGTCACGGCAGTTTTGTCTGTAGCTTAACCACCATCTGAGACAATCATGGAGTTGTGCTTCAATGAATGCTGTATCAGTATTGTATGTGTGCTTAAAAGGAAAGTTCCCCAGGTTAATTCATCCCCGGTATGATGACAAATCTTGTTGTACCCAGAGGCTGAATATGGCATAGTGTAGACCAGAGTGGTCCAACTGGCGGCCCGTGGGTCAATTTCATCCAGGTCCTTCCCCACCTTCCATCTGGCCCACCCGCTCCCTCCATAACCCGTAAATGTTATGTTTCTGGAAGGGAAAAGCAAAAATATTGCTAATGTTGCCTGCAGACGTGTCTCAAATAGGGCCTCTGGCACACAATGACACTAGTTAATTGGCAATCGAAGCATAGTTACATAGATCATTCAAAATTTATAGCTGAAAAATATTTTGCATCTGACAATTATATCAATATTTTAAGTTCCATTGCAGTAAATGCTGCATAAATAAATAATTAAAATCCATTTCTCTTTTCTACACTTGGTCCACTAAATCATGTTGGGATTATTTTTAGCTCCAAACTCATAATAAAGAAATGCCTCAAGAGGTTCATGAAAAATTATATTTGTAAGCCTTTCCTTCTGATCTCTCAAGACGCAGAAATTCAAAAAAATTAATGTTAAAATTGCTTTTTTTTAAAAATATAAAGTTGTCCTGTTTCGTGGAACTTTCTGAGCTCATTACTCCAGGGCTCTCTCGTGCTACAAAATGAAGCCTGATGATGTAAGAGTGCTGGCTGCCAAATCCAGCACTCCCCAACATCAGTGCTTAGTGACATTAACATTCTACTATACAAACATACTATTCTCCCACTGAACAGCACTTCTAAACTTTTCAGAAGACGAAAAGCGTCACCCACTGGAAGGGTAAAGCATTAGAGTAATAAAAAATTAATCCCATTCTGTGCTTGTGCCACCTCCAAAGTTTGGGATTGCTCGACTTGGTGCTATGCATGTTATTACAGTATTCCACATTACTCTGAAAATAGCATAGGTTTGTGATAGTTGTTGGGCACGGTGGAAGATAATGTTATTTAACAAAAAAAGCGCAGAAAATCTGGGATTCACATGGAGTATTTGGCAAATTCCTACAGTCTTTGCAGCTTTAATTAGAGCTGTGTCAATTTAACTGGTTAAGATTGTGAAAGAGTTCCAACTTGCTCGTTTACCAAGAATAGAGAGGTCTGTTTGCTTTGTGCCGCATGTCGGAGATCAGTGAAGGCATTCCTTCCAAGTCCTCGATCAGGGCTGTTGAACACACATGCCAAAGCTAGATCACTCTTTGAGTTCACCAGTAAGTTCAAATAATCACAGAGGAGCTTCTTCACCATCAGGGCCAACTGCAGCAAAAAAAATAATGTAACACAAAAATATTAATGCAGGATTCAGCTATTACATAGTCAAATCAGCCATTTAATTTTTCAGATTTACCAATCTAAACCAGAACCTTTTTTTTCTTTTCTGGACAATGTTATCAAGAAAAGGAGAAAGTTTATATTATTACTAAGTGTAACCTCAAGGATTACGTATGAGAAGAGATCATTTATGTTCACGTCTCCAACAACAACAAATTACATTTGTTATAGCACCTTCCACATCAGGAGAAAGTCCCAAGGTGCTGGACGGTCGAGGAACCACACCCGAGCTGGTGGTTAGGATCAGGAGGGCTGGAAGGATAGGAGGGTAATTGAAGATGCGGTCAAAGAGGAGGCTCTTGAGACAGGCCTTAGAGGAAAGGGAGGGTGTGAGGTGAAAGGACTATGGGGTGGACTTTCAAAGGGTGGTGACAAGAAGGCTGAGGGCCCAACCAGTGTTGAAGGCCAAGGTTCCAGACTGGCTCATCCTTGGATGGTGATGCTGTCAGCGCCTGAGGTTTGGAGGTGCTGATGGGAGCTAAGCAGGAGGGCCTCAGCCTTGTCGATGGTCAACTGGGGAATGTTAGCTCTCACCCAGGACTTGATGTCTGATAGACAATCCATCAGGACAGTTGTGGTCTTGGAGTCGAGGGTGAAGGCAGAGATGGGTGTCATCTGCATATATGTGGAAATTAACCCCATGTCTGCGAATGATGTCACCGAGGGCGAGCATATAGATATTGAAGAGGAAAGGACCAAGGACAGAGCCCTGAGGAATGTTGCATATGACGTTGCAGGGACTGGAAGAGAAGCCGTCAAGTAGGGCTTATAGGGGCATGAACTATGGAGCAGGTGACTATTTCCCTTTAGCTATCGCTGATTTAATCGTAAGCAGTTGCTGAAATGAACTGAACAGCAGTTGGTAATTATGCATTACTGAAACTGTGATGGAATCTGAAGACTCCATATTTGCTGGTCCAGATGGGCAAACCAGGGAGAGTTCAGTAAGTGGAACACCACCCTGTACACTTTGCCAGTCCAATATTATCAAGCTTTCCTTGTTCCAGTCACGAGAAGTCTCAACTCCAGAACTATATTTTTTGTTAACAACATATTTGCAATGGCAGCATAAGCAGACACCACCAGAACGCTGATAGTTCTGCCCAACTAGATTTCAGATACTCTTTAATAGGTTAAGAGCAATTGTATTTGAGCTTCAATTCTGTACTTTCTGACTAGTTAAGAAAATAAAACCAAATCAACCAATTTGTATTTAAAAAACAAAACAAAAAACAATTTGGATATCCCTTTCTCCCAGTTTTCTTTCTCAGATTTAGATGATCAGATACTGATGTTCTTTTTTTTAATGTTAACCAGATTTGGATGTAGTTCATCATAGAAAAGTGGTGCCCTTTGAGGGGATAATGGTTAGTGTGAATACATTCTAAATGGGGAGGAGGGAGGGGTATATTAACAAAGATATTTAGGGATTTAAGTAGAGAGCATGAAAGGCTGCCTCACAGGTGCCGAGAGCAATCAAACCATTAATGGGATGCCATGATTTATAACAAGTGGTCTGGACTAGGAAAGGAAAATTGCTGTTGCACTACTGGTTGAACCTCATTTAGAGTATTATATTCAGTTTTGGACACCCAACCTTAGGAAGAATAAGGGAGTGTTTGTAGCAACTATTCACTAGGTTAATATCCAGATGAAGGGCCTTAGCTAATATGAGAGTCTGGATAAATTTCACTAGATTTAGAAGGTTAAGGGGCGATTTGAATGAGGCAAAGGACAACTCTTACCTCTGGTTGAGATATCCAAAACAAGGAGACATGAATATAAAGTTAGAGTTCAGCTGGTTTGAAGTTAGATGAGAAAACATTTCTTCACACAAAGAGTTGCTTCACTTTCCTGAAGCCGCAAATGCAGCATTGTCTAAAAAGGAGATAGTTTAAAAGGCCCATTGCATGCATCTTTATCGTAAGGTTAGAGGTGTGAAATCCCCCCACAAACACACAGCTGGCAATACAAGATCTGGAAGTCAGCCATTTTTAGCTAAAGTGAAAATAAAATGGCCAACTTCTCAGGTTTTCTCTGGCATCACCTCCAGTGAAATGGCATGGGTAGTGACCCAAAGGCAGATCATTTTAGTGTGACATCTTGATGGTACATTGGAGGTCAATGAGACTGCTACCTGCATGTTTAGTGAACGGGGTAACCTAACTTAATCACCATTGTAAAGAAACATCGTCTAACAGGGCTTCTCTATTTTACAAGATCGCCATTCAAAAAAATTATATAAAGTTATCATTTCCCAAAATATTTTGAGCTCACCTTAGAATTGATTGGATACCCATTGGATGGGGAAGTGGGAACTGAGATCAAGGAGTTATCCAAAGTTTCAGATGATCCCGACAGGAAGTCGAACAGTTGCACCTGGCAGTAACAGTCCAGTTAGTTATTCTATTACACACCACTCCGCAACATCATACAAGACCCAATAATTTGCAACAGAAGATCAAATTCACCTTTAGATACAAATCCTATATGCATTGTTATTTCTCACAGACTAGCATGAACAGAAAAACCTAATGGATTTAGATTATGTTAAGCAGAAAAATACAAGCAGGCTAGCAGATTAAATCTAAATTACACATGAATATAGATATATATATTTATGTGTTTGTGCAAAATGATTCATACCGTCAACATACCACAGATAACATTTCTCGAAGTCCATTTTCAGGTTTTAACTCAATACAAATCCTGTACACATCAATCAGGTCAACAGAGTTACTTCTGGTCAGGAAAGCATCATAAGCTTTTCGAACTTTAACGTATCCTTCTGGTGCTTCTTCACCTTCACTCAGCAGGTTTAGTTTCTCCTGAAGTAAGTGCCTCCATGACACAAGCACATCACTTAAGGCAATGCTGAATTCTCCACAGGACTGAGGATTAAATGCAGAAAAGCAATATTCAAGAGAAAAGGTTCATATAGTGAGACAGTGGTTCACAAAGTAAGGAAGAAGAAAAAAAAACACACTCCCAACTCTAACGATAATACTGAAACTTAACTCACATTCAGTGCTGCTTTTCAGTTTGCACATACACTTAGTGCACACAGTCTTTACTGGACTGACCTAAGAGCAAGAGTGACTCAGAGCTAAGAGTATAACATGTGACTGTAATTTCAATTGGTATCTGTAATATATCTGTCACATAAATGTAATGCTCATCACAAATGAAATGGATCTGGATCTGCACCTCTCTTGTGCAAACATGCAACTGTATAAAATACATTTTATACCAGAAAAAAATATCTTGTCACTGTTGGCTCTCTGTTGAAAGTTTTGTTTTTGCCGAAGCAAAACAACTCTTTAAAGCTATTCATCCTCGTGTGGAACCGTAATTTTTTCAGAGCTTAGGACAATTAGATAGAAATTCTGTGATATTTGAGATGTATGCGTTTGCATACTTGTGTGTGGTGGGAGAGATGGACTAGAGTAATGTGCTGGAAAGTCTGGCATACAACAGGTTTAGTCAATCAGGCAGTTCTATCCAGCTGATAAATTAGTGACCTTCAATCTCTTACAACGGAATGGATGCCAAAGTCTTATATGTCAATATTTGGAAATAAGATCCATGTTTAAACTTGGGTTGGAATCTAAATAGGCTAAGTCCTGTTTATCAATACTGGATTGAGATTCCAGAGGTAGGAATAGGAAGGTTTATAGCTAAATACTATAAATCAGTGGAAGACCAACTGGATATATAGTTGTTGAAATGGGATCCCATAGTTGTTGAACTGGGAGCCAATTTAGGATTGGAATTCTCCACAGTGTGATGTGGAGATATCCATGTGACATTTAATAGAATTCCAAATAATGCACATCTATTTTCAGACCACGGTGGTCCTAGCTGATGGTTGAGACTGGCAGTCCAGAACCATTGACAGGACAGCATGCGGTTTTATCTCTTGAGCAGCTGCCCCATGGTAGCAGTCATCTGGAAAGATGAAGAGAGATTTACTAGGAATGCACCAAATGGCTGTATCCCTATAAATCCACATTTGTAAAGCATCTTTCATTTGTGCATCAGCTTACATTATTTAGATGGGATTTACATTTGCTCACAGATTATTCAGTGCTGATGGGAGAATATGTTACATACTAGATTGATGAAATGGCTTTCGGACACAAATGTCCTTTTGAATAACATAGGCTTAGAAAGAAAGGGAAGCAAACTACAGAACAAATTTAGGCTGCAGGTGGCAAAGCGCATAGTATCCTATAGTCTAAAGCTACAAAGACTAAAAAAAATTCTAAAATGGCAATGTATTCTATGCTAGAGACCTTCAAAGAGATTTGAGCAGTTAATTTGTCCTCTATGTGTCATGAAATCTTTAATAACATTGAAAAGTTAAACAGCATTTGATGCTGGCAAGTGGAACTCCTTGCAGGTGCAAATGTTCCTCAAAGCCTGACAAACGCAATTTTGGATCAGGAAATCGAAAGCAAGTTAAGCAAACCTACTAGATAAGATTAGTTTATTCGCTTTTTTTAAGATTTTAGTGAACCAGCATGACCATACAAAAACAACAAATTACATGTATAATAGCACCTAGCATAGGAGAACATCCTAACAGGGAACTCTATCCCCCAGTGCCTTCGCCGCTTTCTCGCTTTCCTCCTCCAAGGCTGGTCTCAAGACCTTTCTCTTTGACCGTGCCTTCAGCTCCCCTCTCGACTCTCTACCCCCTCCTCGCTCCCTCCCCTCACCCTGACCATTTCCCCCCAATGCTCGGGTCCTGACCCAACTGTACAGCGCCTTGGGACATCCTACCGACATGAAAGGCGCTCTATAAATGGAATCTTGTTGTTGTTGTAAGGCACTGGACAATCAGGGATCCACACCTGAGCATAAAAAGGTCGAGTTGGAAAAAGTTATAGCTCATTGACATCTCCATTGGCATTGAAGGGCAAGGCATTAACTCACGTGATGGTCTTACCCACTTCTACAACGGTACAAACTCTTCCAAAACATTTAGAATAAACTCCAGAAAATGGTTATTATTTCAAATGTTCTGCATTTACAATGTTAACACCTGCAAGCAACAACAGCACCTACAGCACTTTGGGGAGAGGGCACCAGGATGGGAGTCATGGTCCCACAGAGCCCGGTGCAAGAGAGGATAATGGGCTGCAGAGTTTTGTGTGGACTGGAAATTGTGGAGGGCAGTGAGTAGTTGAATAACAACAACAACAAGATTCCATTTATAAAGCGCCTTTCACGTCAGGAGGACTTGAGAGGTCATAAAGGTACAGATCAGGGTTTATACTGCATTAGATGACAAGGTAATGGCAGAGCCAGGAGATTTTGCGGACGAGGATGAAAGGTAGCTTGGTCAGATCCCAAGTGAAAGGTTTGAAGGAAAGTGAAATCTTTGTTCTGCACAGGCTCTGTGATTTGGACTGAGCAACTGGGGAGATGAATATGATGAAAACATTAGGCGAGGAGGCGCAAATGGGAGACAAGGAGGCACTAATGGGAGACAAGCAAGATTGTCTCAGGTTTGTTGACATTGAGTTGGAGAATATTACAGCTCATCCAGGACTTGAGGTCTGACAAGCAGTATTTCAGAACAGCGGTGTTACAGAAATCGAGGGAAGAAGCAGAAAAATAGAGTTGTGTGTCATCTGTGTATGGAAATAGATCCATGCCTGAAAATGTCACCAAGGGAGAACATGTAGATGAAGTGGAGAGGACTGAGGGTAAAGCCCTACTGAACTCCCCATGTAACCCTGCAGGGACAAGTAAAGACACCATTGAATGAGATGAAGTGAAGACACCGGAACAGGTAGGAGTGAATGACACCAGAAAAATAGAGCAACAGATGTGAACAGAGATAGTGGAGAAGGCACATACCTCTTTATTTATTTCTGCCATAGCAAGCTGCAAGACCATGAGCATGCTATCTGCACCGCATACTGTGGTTCTTTCAGATTCAGACAATTTATAACGCTCTTTTCTGAATGTTTTTACCAGCTGCAATACTTTCAACTGAACGCAATCCATGTTCCTAAAAGAAAAATTGCCATTTATATTTTTTCCAAAAGAGATTGGATCTTTATGATGCAAGAACAAACAATACATATAAGGCCAAGATTCCATTACATTCTCAACACTAGTCAGTAAAAGCCAACAAATGGGAAGTTTCTGTCAGGAAGCACAACACTGCTGGCTTCACCCAGCACAGGTAGAGAGTTGGAGTAGCCATCCAACCAACTCTCTCAATACAGAAGGTAGGAAACATTAATTGAAATATTTGACAATGGTTTGCAGAGTTGGCAGGTAACTGGCAGGTGGAATTCAATGAAAACATCCTAAAAGTAATGTGCTGTTTTTTGAGAGAGAGAGAAAGAAAGAAACAGAAACATACTGTAAATAATAAGAAGTCTTTATGGATTGGAGAAACAAAAAACTTGAGCAGATACACACAGGTATTTAAAATCAGGTGTGAAAGTAGAACATAACAATTGGAAACAGCATTCTAAATTTGATACACAGGAGTGCTGGATACAAAGCAACAAGTTACAAAACATTGGCTAAGAGAAAGAGAGCTAATTTCCATTCCAAGTACAAGAGCATTTCGAAATCTGAGTCACATCTACACGAAATAGAGAGCAGTTATGTCAGTTGCAACAGGACTCGAATCGCTCAATAATTCCCCAAATAAAGTAGCAAAAAAAAAGTCAAGTTTAACTTCAGAACTATTTGCGCTTAGAAGAGTGGTGTGTGGTGGTTGGGGGGGAAGGGGGGGGTTTAAAGATAGGATAAGCTGGAAAATCCGTACCTGCTGTCAGGGAAAACTACTCCCAACTCGTCCCCTTTTCACGGTTTCGTAATTTAAATCTCCCGCACCAGTGAGCGAGCGACCAATCAGCGAGAGAGCGGATGGAACGCGAGCGATCGGACCAACGGGAGCGCGGAGGCGGGGCGGGACCAGGGATGGTCCAATCGGAGCCCCGGATTAGCCGGGCAGCAGCCAATGGCCAGCGCCGCGGGGGCTGCGAAACTGACCAATGGGCGGAGGAGGCGGGGGCGGGGCTCGGAGACCATGAAGGACGCGGCGGCCGCGGCCCGAACCGCCACCTACACGGCCCAGTGCGAGGAGTGCGTTCACGTGGCCGAGTTCAGCCCCTTCGGGAGCGGCCTGGCCGGGGGCCTCCTCGCCTACGGAGGCCGCAACTATGTGGTTGTTGGGACGTGCAGCTTCCAGGTTTGTCGCCCAATCTAACCCACTCCCTTCCCTGGTCCGCCCTTGCCTGGCCCGCCCTGCCCTGGCCTGGCCCGCCTGCCCTGGTCTGCCCTGGTCTGGTCTGGCCTGGCCTGCCCTTCTCTGGCCTGCCCTTCCCTGGCCTGGCCTGCCCTGGCCCGCCCCGCCCTGGTCTGGCCTGGTCCGCCCTGCCCTGGTCTGGCCTGCCCTTCCCTGGCCTGCCCTGGCCCGCCCTGGCCTGGCCCGCCCTGCCCTGGCCCGCCCTGGTCTGGCCTGGCCCGCCCTGCCCTGGTCTGGCCCGCCCTGCCCTGGTCTGGCCTGCCCTTCCCTGGCCTGCCCTGGCCCGCCCTGCCCTGGTCTGGCCCGCCCTGCCCTGGTCTGGCCTGCCCTGCCCTGGTCTGGCCCGCCCTGCCCTGGCCCACCCTGGCCTGGCCCGCCCCGCCCTGCCCTGGCCCGCCCCGCCCTGCCCTGGCCCGCCCCGCCCTGGCCTGGCCCGCCCTGCCCTGGCCTGGCCCGCCCTGGCCCGCCCGCCCTGGCCTGGCCCGCCCTGGCCCGCCCCGCCCTGGCCCGCCCTGCCCTGGTCTGGCCCGCCCTGGCCTGCCCTGGCCTGCCCTGCCCTGCCCTGGCCCGCCCTGCCCTGGCCCGCCCTGCCCTGGTCTGGCCTGCCCTGGCCCGCCCTGCCCTGCCCTGCCCTGGCCTGCCCTTCCCTGGCCCTGGTCTGGCCCGCCCTGCCCTGCCCTGGCCTGCCCTTCCCTGGCCCTGGTCTGGCCCGCCCTGCCCTGGCCTGGCAGCCACACTAGCAATGGATGGCATGTAAATTAGTGGATTGCCCCCTCCCCCCTCTCTCTCTCTCTCTCATGGCTCTCTATTCCCACTTCACGTTAAAGGTTTCTATGTATTAAGGAGCTCCAGGTTTTTTTGTAGTTGTAAATAAGACAATAGATTAATCCCAATAAATTCTGGAAAACCCACAAACAGGATCCTGTGCTGAACGCCCCAGACACGTGCAATAATAATAATAATAATTTAATATGAATTATAATCCTTGCATTTGATACTTACACCACTGTACTTGGGTGACGGACATGTGGAGTCCTGTAGCTCAGTGGTTAGAGCACTCGCTTTGCAAGTGAGAGACCTGAGTTCAATTCCAGGCAGAGGGCGAAACCTTGGGCAAGTTTCCTTACTCCACACAGAGCCTAATAATAATCCCTCCAAAACCAAAAACAATAATAAATTGGTCATTTTCAATCTACGACTGTTTGTGGGACATTGCTGTGCGCAATTGGCTGCCGCGTTCGCCCACAAATATACAGTCAATTCACTTTACAGTGCGTTCTGTGAAGGGCTTTGGGACGTCCTCCCGACGTGAAAAGCGCTATATCAAATGCAAGGATTATTATTATAATTATGTAACTTGTCCGATGCATCTAATTCTGGAAACGGTCCCAACAGATGAAACACATGTATCTGTCAAATCCGTTCTAAAATGAATCATGAATCTCAGTTTAAATATGTTATCAGCTTAACATTTCTTCACCTCCCCACCACCCTCCCCACCCCACCACCCTGTTTTTTTAAACAGTTATTTTAGGTTCACAGACCAACAGTCACAAGTATCATTCAGTCTTTATACTGTACACTTTGGAGTAATTCTGTAGAAATTTGCATAACTTCAATTTTGCCCATAATAGTATAACCAGAGCTCTACACATGTGCTTAGGTGTGCGTTCCCATCATTCTACTTAACTGCTGACTACCCCCCCACCCACAAATAGACCTGGTAGTTATCTATACCTGCAATGCACTGACCCTCATTTCTGTATTAAAACACTGCATAAAATTCATGGCTGAAATATGACTAAGGATTGGAGTTTTGATTCACAGTGATTTTTGAAGTCCATTGATAGGTTTGTCTAACAGCGTTGAAAAGCTTCTATTAAACTTCCCAGTGATTTAACTTTTTGGCATCTCGTTAGTAATCCCATGAAGCATTCTCCAATTCAGTTGTAGAATTCAGCCAGTGAAGGGAGAAGACTTTAATCTTTGTTCAAGCTGTATTCAAACCAGGTCTCTTAACCCACTGTGCCATCATCTCACATACATACTATCAAATACTATCAAACTGTTCAAAATCTTTGAATATATTCTGTCTATATAATGAACAATGCTCCTTGAGACCTAACCTCAAGTATGATCTGTATGATCTTTTTCTTTTCCCACACTAGCTTTCATTAATCAGCAAAAGGGGAAGACTTGTATTTCTTCAGTCCAAGCTGCATTCAAATGCAAGTCCCTGTTCTCAGTCCTTTCCAAGTTTCAATCCCATCTGTTTGAGCAACTATATACATTCTTATCTTCTCCAAATGGCTTCTCCTCCAGACCTACACTGACGCATGTGACATTGTGAGCATGCCAATGAGCGTTGGTGTATGGTCAAGCTCAGAGTAATGTGTGAAAAATAAGGTGACAGGTTTTCACATTCTCACATACAAGTTATAAATGAGTAAGAGGTGTTAACTATTCTGAATCCAGTGGAGGATGAATATTCTAAATCCTATTTTTCAATATATTTTAGGAAGAAGACACTGAAATTAAAGGTGTAGAATACAATACACTGAAGACTTTTCATCGTGGTATTCGTGTAGATGCAATCGCTTGGAGTCCAGAAACTAAACTTGACACAGTGCCACAGGTACTCAGGTAGGAAAGCACTCGTGTTCATTAAATATGTTAAACAATGTTTCAGTTTTGAAACCATTTTAGCTTGAAACTAAATTCAGTGGTGAAATAACGCTAGTATAGATCCATTAATTTTGAAACAAAATTTCAGAATTTTAGTGCAAGGGTAAACAAGCTTAATTGTGGCTTCTTTTAGCCTCAATAATAGGATAATTAATAACCCAATACTGTATTTCACTCCAGGATAATACTCATACTTCGTTTCTACTTTTCATGAAATTGAATTACATTTGCTAATATGTTGAATGAAACACTGAACATTAACATTACCACAAGAATGCAAACCAGTTTGGATTCTAATTAGGATCAGGAATTTGTATCTTTCATGAAGCTTAAGTTGGAAATTTGGGAGTGATTATGAATATAAGAAAACCTGGAACAAAAAAGATTAGCCATCCCATCAGCCTGTTCCTTATATTACTTGCATGTTACTCTTATCACTGCCTCTTCCCTCCCCATTGGTCCCTAACTTCAAGATTCCTAATACCTTGCCCGATTCCCATGGTAATTAATTAGAGCCAAGTTCCAAATAAATGTTAGTAATACAGATCGGAAGGTGTATTTTCTTGGAGAAAACAGCTAGACTGTAAAAGTTTTGACCCAAACCGTTTGCACCACCGAACTTTGTTTAGTTAATTATTTGTAAATAACAAATATAACAATTCCAAGTAAAATAAAAGTTTCAGCATCTGAAAGCCAAATTCTTTATATATCTCTGCCTGTGTCATCATTCTGCAATGGAACAAGTAGCTCCTCCTATCATTTCTGTTCTTGACAACTAACCACCCATTGTACCCTGACAGCTGCTGCTTTCCAACATGTTTATCCTACTTGTTCCCTCTTGGTTTCTGCCCTTATCCGAGGTGGTGGTCTGATCCCATGTGTAGAGGCAGGAGATCAGCTGATGTATAAAAAGAGGAAGCCATGGCTGAAACATTTAAGACATTTTGAAGCCATTATATTGAAGCTATTGGAGAAAAAAGGCTTTGTAAGACATTTCATGACTTTTGCAACTGCTTTACTGCTTAAACAGCCATTGTGGTGGTCGACAGATGATTAATATATTCATCTATCAAGCTTCCGGAAAGGGAAATAGCTTGTAGTAATTTATTAAGTCCTCAACAATTTTATATTTGCCCTACATGTATGTGCATTAAGTGTAAATTTTTACTTTTTTTAAAAAAAAATGAAAGCTTTGAGTAATCCTTACTGCAGTTGTGTGTTGAGAATCAGCCTCCCCTATGTAATCAGCATCCTAATCTCCTGATTAGAGGGATTAAGAGCCGGTGGCTCCATATGTTTGGAGACCATACTTTTAGATAATGGGATTTACTTTGGCTGAAGAGTTTTTTTTATCCTTAATTCTGTCTCCACACATGTACAGCTGGCAGATGCAGATTTGGCAGTCTAATGGGAGAGGATTTCAAATGGAAACTGATTGCTATAGTGTTTTAATCAAACCAATGGAAAAAATACAGTAAAAATGGAATAGGGCTTAAATGAAAGAAGTAGAAACTTTTGTAACTTGGAGTTTAGATCTAGAGCATGTTATTAATAATAATAAACTTTGCATTTGATATAGTACCTAATCACATTATTCAGACATTTCAAAGCGCTTCACAGACTATATTGTAAAGTGGGGTGTCTGTACTTTGTGGGTGAAACATGGTACTCAATTGTCTTGCAATAATATTCAGTAAATAGAAAACCCTTCAGTACCTACTGATTGCATTGACTCTGGAGGAAATAATATAAAGGATTTGCTATGGAAGAGAAAGTTAATCTTTAGAAGAGAGCAACTCAGCCAGAAAGGAACAGGAACTACATTATTACAAAAAAATGTACGCTATACCTGAAACCAGCAGCTCTAATATCTCACTCAAATTTGAGAAGCACAGGGAAAAAAAGATTCTTTGCCTTAATACTAATTATATTTCATGTCCAACTAAAATCAACGGAAACGCCCAACTTTTATTTTTGGTTTGATTTGCTGTTATTGCTTGTTTTCTTTTTAACTATCTCTCAACTTTTGCAGATTGTGCACAGCAGATGCTGATAATAAGTTGAGACTTCTCACATCTGACCTCAAAGATGAAAATGGATGGAAGGTAACTTTGTTAACGTTAGTTTTCTAAGATAAAGACACAGTTTTCCTATTTGTAGATGAAATGGTGTCCCCGTGTAGGTAGTTGGGACCTGAGTTTGAAATCTGTGATCTGATATATGGCATTGAGTTTTTTGGTGTATTTGATACGAGACACTATTGTTCAAGACAATTACTGCCCTGAGTTCAACTTAGTCTTCAATTCAGTTGATGAGTGAGCCACATAGTTTTGCATTTGCACACAGTATCTATCTATCTCAGTTTGTTTTAAGGACTTGAGTATCAATATAATGTTACATCAGACAGCCTGGTTTAAAATAGTGCCATTGTTCCAGTCAGAGTCCACAGTCCATCCACTAAGTGTCCTGATTTGTTATTTCACGTAGGTAATCGAAGGTCATGCAGATTACATCAATGACCTAGTATTTGAACCCAACGATGGAAAGCAAATTGCAAGTGTTAGTGACGATCACACGTGTCGGTAAGTACATGTGCCAACATGCATTTTTACTTCTATAGGCTGTAAGTGTTATTTACTGCAATTTAGCTGTGCTAAGTTAACTTCATATCTGGATCAGATATAAAAATGACAACACCAGTTCCTGTTTCTTTTTGCTCTGCTTTTTAATAATCATTAGCAAATTTACCTTGCCAAATCAAATGTTTAGTTTTCTTGTTCTTAACAAACTGAATTGGCTGAAAAGTCACCCCTAGGTTATACGCAGGGTATACGTGCACCAGTTCAGGAGATTGAACTTTAGTTGGTATTATTGTATCATTGAATACAAAATACTTCTTCAGGTTGATGTTAAGCATTCCATGATACTATTTTGAAAATAGGGTTAAGGTTTGAAAATAAGTAAGGCATTCTCCTGACATTCTGCCAAATATTCTTCTCTTACAAAAATAGATGAAATTTGGTCATTCGTCTTGTCCCCGCTGTGAGGCTTTGCTGGCGCATATTAGCTGCCGTGTTTTCCTACATTACACTCAACACATTTCAGAGTAGCTTAGATGTTTCCAGAGTGATAACGTTTTTTGAAGCTCAATTCCACAAATTCCTTAAACATGGTGCTATGTTCAATTCCTATTTTCCAACATCACAATATTCAGCGTGTTCCTGCATATAGGAAAAACAATATGGTCACAGAATCAGTTCTTTTGCTTTCAGCCTGAGAGTTCTAAGTTATTTATTAGAATTAAGCTTTTTATTCCAGTTAAATATATCACGTTTGACCTATTCACAGTGTTTTATATTACCTTGCAGAATCTGGGACCTTGAGGGGAACCAAAAAGCATCTTTTCTTCTTCATTCTCCAGGCATGAGTGTGTGCTGGCACCCAGAAGAGAGTTTCAAAGTTAGTTTGCACCACTTTCTAGTTGTTTGACATGTTTTTTGGTTGTGTCTCTTTGACCGTGTTGTGGTGAATAAAGCTGGAATTTAGCTTAATTCTTCAGCTAGAACTAAAAAACAATTAAAAAAATTTGGGGAACCCAATGATGTGCTTACTGAAAAAAGATCAGTGTCTTTAATGATGATGATAAGCTAACCTTCAATCTCTGAATGCAGAGATTGAAGGTCTACAAGTGCCAGTTACTCTTTTGGTGCCAAGCCTAATGGCTTTTCTTACCTGAAGGGTCATTTCAATGTAGCCTGTTCCTGTCCTTACCAGATATTCACACAAGCTTTCCAGTAGGGCTTTCAAGATTGCACATCACCCAGTCTTTTTGTCTTTTGCTACATCAAATATTGCTGTGAATATTTTTGACCAGTTTATATTGTTGAGCGATTCATTATTATTTTCTCTTTCTCCAGTTGATGGTGGCAGAAAAGAATGGAATCATAAGGTTTTATGACCTGGTCACTCTGCAGGCTATTCTCTCTCTGGATTGTGGACAGATGCCACTAATGTCAGCAGACTGGTGTTTAGGAAACACTATAAAAGTTGGTGCAGTGTCAGGAAAGGACTGGTTTATCTGGGATATCACTCGCTCCAGGTGCAGTTGATTTTAACTTTCATCTACATTTTAATCACAGCATCGTTCAATCACATTTCTGTGCATCTTATCGCTCCAAATAACTGAACGTTTGAATTCTCAATTTAATTAGCTCAGTGGTGTTATTCATGCTGTAGGGCAGTAACAACATTTTTTTCTTTTGTTGGTTACGATGATGATAGCTGAAGGGACAGATGTTCGCCTACAAAACACACAGTTGCTGTACTTTACAGTATATGCTGTGAAATGCTTTGGGACACTCTCCTGAAGTAACAACAACAACTTGCACTTATATAGCGCACTCCATACAGGGTAGCGTCTCAGAGTGCTTCTGTAAAGGGCACTACACCAAATGTAATGATTATTGTAATAATGTTCAAATTACTGATTGCAACATATGGTTTGGGGCTTGCGGAGTGGACTAAGGGCTATGTCTGCAGAGAAGGCAAAGGGTTGTGGAAATGACCTCCTGGTGACCGGGCAGACATTTAATTCATGGCTGTTAGTGGGACATTGCCGTGGTACAATAGCTGCTGTGTTTACGTACAGAATACACAGTCAATGCTTTTTATAGAAAATCCTGTTAAGCACTTTGAGGCATCCTCCTGATGTGAAAGGCGCTATTTCAAATGCAAGGATTATTATCTTCAGTTATTAAAATTGTGTTGATTGCATCCTGTATATCATCCAAGAGACTAGGAACAGAACTTATGCCTATATTCTATTTCCAGATCTTAAAAGCTGAATTAAGGTGTGGTTTGTGTACCAGATTTTATAATATTATACTGAGATATCAACTAAAAATAAGTTTAGAATCAGGGATATTAAACAATTTGTTTGTAAAAGCACTAAGAATCAAGTATTTTTATAGTAAGCTGATCTTTGAAAGTGTGTGTGTATATACTGTGTATGATTTAACTATTACTATTCCTGTTTTACAGTTACCCCCAAGATAAGAGACCATCACACTTGGATGGAGCGAGACGATTCCGGTAATAAAAATAGATAGAAATAGAGCAGTTAGATAAATAGAGGCATCTCCCTGTGAAGTGGAAGTTGGTGATTATGAATATTGGGGGGAACTCTTCACTTATGCATTTATTTTTACTCTGACTTGAATGACCAGCATGAAATTCCTTTTAAATCTGAGTACCAACAATCTACTGGATTAAGTGCTTAACTGTCCAGCGCCTTGGGATGTCCTTCTGATGTGAAAGGCATTATACAAATGTAATTTTGTTGTAGGTTGTGGATCTGAACACCAAGCTTTTTTTTCTTAACTCTATCCAATCCAAATTTGTCCTAAGACTGACACAAATAAATGTTGATGATATGCTTCTATGAAAAAAAATTGCTTATTAAAACAGATACAAAATGCTTCTATGATTATCCCCTTATACCATCTATTAATCACTAATCACACAGACTAGAAGTGTTCAAAGCTCCAATTACCAGCATAATAGAACAGTTTGTAAAAATTGCAGTTAATACTGTAGTATAGGAATTTTATTGGGAAATGTTCACTACTTGACTATTTCTTCTCTTCCATTTTGGTTATTTAGGTGGTCAAGAGCCAGTGAAAATCTTTTTGCAACTACTGGTTGTCCAGGAAAGATAAACAGCCAACTGCTGGTTCATCACTTGGGCCATCCCCAGGTAATAGAACAAAATATACACTGTCATTCCCGGTGATCAGCTGTGGATTGTTACTCAATGAAATGTGTAATTATTGATTTATTCTGTTAAATCTTCAGCGTAAATGTCATGGTGCGTCAAGCGTAAGGAATGCATTAACTGGCAGAATATACAATGACAAAGTTCTCAGTTTCTGACGTTTGTACCAATTCAATGAGTTTATTGCATTTTAATCGCTGCCGGTTATTTGATATTCTTCATTTAAAATACAGAATTTTTAAATTCATTTAAAAACAGAGGCTCCTGTAAAACAAAGCCATTTAATAGCTATTGAGACATATTATTTGTAGAGTGTATACAACGTTCCAGAACTCAACCTTTTAGACTTTTGGCATCCTAAACATTTGAGACAATTTTGCCACATGTTCTGGCTTCAAAATATGGCAATTCTGTAGTATATTTTGCATTCTCAATTTTTTTAATTGAATGATATATAATATACTAGCTGTAAACGTTGTATATCTGTGCACTTGACAGCCTTATTGTTTCTGCATTTTATATTTTAAAACTTCTCAGAAGTAATGTTGGAAGAGAGATTTGTGTGTCATCCCCTTAATTTTGCCTTCATGACTTGGGGAGGCCATCTCGTGCTTATATTCAGGAAACTGCACTCAAAGTGTATTGCATTTGAAATAATGCCTGCAATGTTGAGAACATCCCAAAGCATTTCACAAATTTCTCTGAGGTTTAGTGACTGTATTTGTAGGCAAATGTGGTAACCAATTTTGCACAGTAATGTCCCACATACTGCCGCATAGTGAACAATTTTATCTGAAGAGCACCAGGAAAAACACATTTTGAGTAATGCCATGGCATTTTGTTTTAACATCTATGAACTTTATGAGCTCTAAGTCCCAAAGTGAAGCTTGAACTCACAACTATATCCAATCATCAATTTTCTAAGCTTGTTTTCAAGATCCCCAAGGGGAGTTTTCCTGAACAAATTAAATTTCAATCCTTTATATGGTCCTACAGATTTAAGTGTATTCTCAGAGTAACATTGTGGAATTAGCACTTGAAAACCTGTGAGATCGATGGTCTGCAGGGATGATTGATAGTCAGTTAGGACTGACTCATGTAATATGACTTGTTCTGTTATTTTCACAGGCAATTATGATTGGTTCTGCATCTGTGGCTTCAGGACTGAGCTGGCACAGGACCCTTCCATTATGTGTGATCGGAGGCGATCACAAGCTATTATTTTGGATGACTGAAATGTAGAGCCAATGCATTTTACTATTCAGTTAAGTTGTAAAATATTTAAAGTGCTTTGAATGTTTAATACAACTCTCTTAATTCTGTTTTCAAAGTGGCATCAGTATTAAATGACTCCATATTTTCTTTATTTGTAAATGAATACAAATTGAAAAATAAAGCACCATTCTGTTTATTCTGTTCTTGCAACTCTGGATATGGATAAGACATAAACTATTGGTTCCTGCCAATGTCTCCTCACTTTGGGCTCTGACCTCCTCAATCTCCCTCCCTAGCTTATTAATGAAGCTAACTGAGCCAGGGCTCAACTTTGGTATCTTGTTCAATACTTGGCTCTCCTTTCTCCCTCACATTGGTCCCTAACCAGACTGCTTTTCTTCACCTCCAACACATCAGCTACTTCCATTAACCTATCTAGCACTAAATGCTGTCACTTCAGTTACTTCCCACAAGGACTTTTCAAATGATTTCCTAGCTAATCTCCCTAGCTGAACCATCCATAAACTCGGTTTATCCAAACTTTTTGCGTCCTGCTCCTTGAGGCAGAGCTGACTTTAAGGTGACGTGCTTGGCAACCGAATGTCGGGATGGAGTCAATCCTCTGTGGCAGTCTCGGTATTTGTGGAGTCCTGTGGTTAGAGCACTCGCTTTGCCAGCGAGAGACCTGGGTTCAATTCCTGGCAGGGTGAAACCTTGAGGAAGTTTCCCTACTCCACACACCTGATAATAATTCCTAAAGAAAAAAATAAATAAATTGGTCATTTCAATCCACGACTGTTGTGGGACACTGCTGTGCGCAATTGACTGCCGCATTTTGCCCACAAATATACAGTCAATTTGCTTTACAATATATTCTGTGAAGCGCTTTGAGATGTCTAGAAGGCGTGAGAAGCACTATATCAAATGCAAGGATTATTATTATTCCAGTACTGTTGACAGACCAGCCAGCCTGGCTCATCAGGAGGATGTGGAGGGAATGACTAATCATTGGGGAGCAGGGAATCTTCCCATTTAGTTGCTTTTAACCCTGCAAGCCAAAAGGAGTAATAATAATAATAATCATCCTTGCATTTGATATACCACTTTTCACATCTTCTAAACGTCTCAAAGTGCTTCACAGAATATACTGTAAAGTGAATTGACTGTATACTTTTGGATGAGACGCAGCAGCCAATTGTGCACAACAGTGTCCCACAGTCATGGATTGAGTGACCAAATTATTATTGTTTTTTTTCTTGAGGGATTACTATCAGGCATGTGGAGTAAGGAAACTTGCCCAAGATTTCGCCCTGCCGGGAATCAAACCCAAGTCTCGCTGGCGAGGTGGTTGCTCTAACTACTAAGCTACAGGCCTAATGAGTAGGGTTGGCTAATGACTAGCTGGACAAGCAGCAGAAAGCTTCCCAGACAGTGCTCTCGATGGAGGTTTTAGCTGGTTAAATGCCACCAATGACATTCAATGGAATTAGGTAAGCAGGATAGGTTCCTCCAGGGAAAGAGTGCACCATATAGTCAAACGCAATCAAGCAACCCCCTCTATTCAGCGGCCATACTCTCAATCTCTAATACTGTACTGGAGAAAACTCCCTACTCAAAATAATGCTCTGATCGCAACTTCAGGCTGCAAGTGAAATGCAGACACAATTTTAGGTGCAGTTCTATCCTGATGAATGCGTGGCTAGTTTTGAAATAATGTATGTTTTAGCAATCAGTAAGTACCAGTTCACAAGGCGATATATGTACCCCAATAAAACTTTAAGTGACCATTAAAATGATATGTATTTATATATACTGAATTGTTTTAAATGTTTTGCCAGGGATTGAAGTGCAGCAGATTGTTTCCCACCAGACATTATCAGTCTGTTCCAGAAGTTGAGTCTGTCTGCAAATCTTTGCCAACTAAGAAGACAATAGAGCTTTAATCATGCTTCAACTGAATGTGAATTAAGAGTTTATTGTGAAATTCTATGGTAGGTAAGTCAAAACACTTTAGAGGAACAGGATGTGGGTTGTATGGAAATATTAAGTGTGCTAAGCGTTGTTCATGCAAATAATTGCATTAAGTTTTATGACTGATTCCGATCATAGAGTTTAAATGTTATGCCAGGATTAGGAGTTCTGTTTAAAGCGTGTGCGCAGGATCTATGATGTAATCTCACAACTGGGATTTATTTCAATTGTTAGAACAGCAGAAACTGTTCTACTTCCTACGCAAATAAATTGTCACAAATCCCGCATCATTTAAATTTTTTTTAAAAATACCTAAATGTTTCCTACGTACAATGTATCAGTCCTGTTTGTGGTACTGGGGTATCTATTCAGGAAGCCCATCTCCTTAACACACTTCCTACAAATATATAATCACTATACATCAGAGCAAAAAAATACCTGTGAAGGATATAGTGACTAGAGACTATATTGGGGGGGTGGGGGGAGAGATATGTCTTTATTTCATATACCATCATGCAATTTCCAATATAGAAGATAATTGAGATTCCAATGTGCATATAATCTCTTTGACCAGACTAACAACCAGACATTTCTACTGGTTGTTAATAATAGATGTAATAAAACAAGAAGGAGATTTCAAACAAATAAAAATTAGAATAAGAATATTTGATTGAAATTTCCAAGTGTGCAGAAACACCATCAGTAAGCAAAGTCAACTCAAAGCTGTTAAATACTGAGCAAATACTAGGCTGCATCTTGATTGTATTTGGTCAGAAGTGAAAATTAGATATTCTAACTTATGAATCTCTGATGAGGCCTCATTTTGAATATTATATTCCTTTTGGCACCCTACCTTCAAAAGGACAATTGGAGAGGGCTCAGGGAAAAGCAACAAAGATGATTTCAGTTATATCCTCTTGACCTGGATTCCCCAAATAGAATTAAGAGTAGTTGCCAATTTACTTTGTCAACACCTTTCATTATATTGAAGATCTCAACAAGATAGTTGAGATAGTTGACCTCCTGACTTCCAAAGAATACCATTGACCACTCTATCCTCCTCCACCACCTCTCCTCTCACCTCAATCTTCATGGTTTTTTCCATGAATGGTTCAGATCCTACCTCTCACACCATCTCCACTTCATCTCCACAAACAGCTTCTCCTCTAGCCCCCACACTGTCTTGTGTAGAATTTCTCAGTTCTCTGTCCTTGATCCCCTCCTTTTCAATACCTATATGCTCCCATTTGGTGACGTCATCTGCAGACATGGGGTCAATTTCCACATGTATTCGGAGGACACCAAACTATCTCTCTGCCTCCACCCTCGACTTCTGACAGAATGTCTCCCTGCTTGTCGGCCTCCCCAACTCCTCCCTCCATAGGGTGCAGATCATCCAGAGCTCTGCAGCCCATGTCCACTCACGCACCAGGCTCCGAGGCCCTATCAACCCTATCCTCGCTCGACTTCATTGGCTTCCAATCGCACAAAGGATACAGTTCAAGGTCCTGGTCCTCACCTTCAAAGCCATCCATGGTCTTGGTCCCCCCTACCTCTGCGACCTTCTAACCCCTTACCAACCTGCTCGCTTCCTTCTCTCAGTGGGCTCCGGCCTGCTTCATATCCCCGCCTCACTCGCCCCACCATTGGCAGGCAGGCCTCCTGCCACTCTGCCCCCACCCTCTGGAACTCCATCCCGCAGCCCTCTGCCTCACCCCTCCCTTGCCTCCTTCAAGACCCGTCTCAAGACCCTCCTCTTTGACCATGCCTTCGGTCACCCTCCTTCCCCCACTGCTCTCCACCCTCCCCAATCCTGAAACCCCCAGCTCGGGTCCGAAACACTGATTGTCCAGCTCCTTGGGACGTCCTCCCGACGTAAAAGGCATTATACAATGTAATTTTGTTGTTGTTATTAACCCGAGTTTATTCAGCCCCTCAACAGATAGTAACTGATTTAAATAAAGTAGTAACAAAATGAATCACTTTTCCATCTCACATTTCCTAGAGGCAGTTCATGAAGTCACAGAGCAGCAATGTCTGGAAGTTAGCCATTGAATATTGCTCAACATTGACTTGTTTTGTGATGTGATCATGATAATTATTGCCAGCATTTCAGTTTGGAATATAGACCAATGCATTGTAAATGCCACTTGCAATTAAGGTTTGATTATATAGCCCAGGTTTTGAGGTTGAATGTTAGTGAGCAAAATGCCTTCAACGTAAGGCTGTTTTACAAACCATAATTTTTGTTTTATTACTGACAATTATTTGCTTAGTACTTTCTTTAGTAAGTCTTATTGAAAACTATAGGTTAGATTATGGATATGTATAGTATAGTGTCCAAAGGTCTAATCTGGGTCTAGTAAAATACAATTGAGTTCATGAGCTGTAGTAACAGAATTGTAGGCTTTTCATAGGAAGAGCCAATACTAAGTAAAACGCATCAAATTTCCAGAAATGACAGAAGATATCATCCCAATATAAAAGGCTTAAATACAGAAATAATGAGTGCTCTGACCAAAAGAATAATAAACAGCTAAAAAGCACAGTAAAATCTTCATAAACAAACAAAAGGAAATGTGATGTACTAAAGCAGGGTGACTGAATAGGACTTCAGTTTATGTTTCAAGAGTAATGAAGTATATAATTATCATTTGTGCTTTTGTGTTTGTTATTGTCTAATTTGTTTATAAGCAAGAGCTCACTTAATCACTGGGAGAATTGACTGGTACAGGTTGATGAAACTAACATATATATGTTGCTTTACATCTATGTTAATTCAGCTTCACTACGCTAGGAAACTCTTCTAAAACACTTCTCCATGACATGCTTAATGTCATCAACACGAAGACTTTTAATTACAATGCATGATTATCTTTAGGATTATTTTGGATTAATTTAAATTTAGTTATTTTAATTATTTTTTACTTAAATGATTTATTCCCCTTCGCCTACTTAACAAATTCTACTTGTGTCATACATTTTTTCCAAGTTGCAGAATTCTAAAGTTGCATTACATGAGTAAGATCAAATGGAGTGATCATACAATTTTAGTGATAATGATTAGGCTAGAGTTTTTATGGCAACAGATAATTTCAGTTTTTAAGTGTATTGTAAGATTAAGAGCAGGGGGAAAACCTTACTCTTAATGGTTTAGACTCATTAAAAAGCCAGGTATGATTGGCAGAATTTGTACAAAATACAGCACAATAGTGGGATATGAAAAATAAAAGTAGTTTCAGCTTTAAATAAATGTTATTGTTTATTCTGGGCCATCTCAGGTTGTCGCTTACATTGCAAAACAAAAATGCAGCGAGTGACATGATCTCTGTGCTTTTGGGAAAATGCCTGTATACACAGTCAGGGGGTGATAAGGGAATTCATGGAACTAAAGAACTGGTGCCATAAATTGAGATTATCATCAGAAAAGCCAAACTATGTCCAGAAATATCACCAATTGCACCTCCTCTTCTATAAATTCTCACCGTCACTAGTCACCTAATTATTCGGTGATCTTCCAGTAGTCGGCATTATTGAGAATGGCCTAACAAGTGGAAAATGTAATATTACGATGTTGGGTTCCAGTCAGTTCTCATTCCTCTTTCCAAGATAAATGTAATATGGTAGCTTGTGGGCTATTAAAAAATATATATTTTTGTGGGTAATTCCAATAAATTTTACGCCCACACTTTATATGACATACACATGTAGAGGTATAAATTACACTCGAAATAATAATAACATTTTAGACGTCTCACAGACATAAGGCGCTATATCAAATGAAAGGATCATTACACTGCACTCTTAAATCTATGTCTTCTTGTTCGACTGTCTTGGTGCATCCTAAAATATTGCTCTGGGTTTACTGTTTCAATCCCATTTGAAATGGGAATACGCGCCGCGCGTAGGGTCTCGTCTGGCTCAAGACTGAAGAGCCGTAGCTTGTTGTCCAACTGTTGCTCGTGGCTCAGTTGCCCAACACTGGGCGACTGAGGGGTGCGAGACGGATCGCATGCGCGAAGGGCGCTGTGTAAATAACAGTTGTTGTTGAGCGGTGGGGTGGGGGTTCACCCTTGTCGCTCTCCTCTGCGCCGCCTCTCGGGGCTTGTGCGCCCTCCCAACCCTCCCCATATGTAGCCCGGACCTGAACTGCACGCAGTTAATTCACCAATCGGGGTCCTTGCGGACGGGCCTCAGCCTGGGGTCTTCCTCTCGCAGCCTCCAGCTGGTTCCTTGAACGCTCTGGGGGTGGGGGGGGGGTGGGGGGGGGTCGGTGTTCAGGAGTCTGTCTGATGTCTTGATGTCTGATGATGACCTGCTTTCATTCCCTCCCCCCCACCCCCACCCGTGGCCAAGAACTACAACTCCCACAATGCTCCTGGCCAACTCCAGGCTGTTGCATTTAAGTCGATTTAAACCCGGTGCCTTTTTTTTTTCTCCTTCCTCCCCCCCACTCCCACTCCCTCCCTTCTTTATGTCTGAGGAAGAGTGGAGTGTGTGGAGAGAGAGTGAGCGAGTGGCAATGAGGGATGGAGCGGCTGGGGCCGTTGCTATGGCCGTTGCTAGGGCGCGGCGGCCCAGCCCCAGCCGCTCTGCTCTGCTTCCGGGTCAGAGGTCGGCGGCGGCGGCGGTTGCCATCACCCGCAAGCGATGGACGCGGACGGTTTGCCGTTGGTCGGCTCCGGCATAGACTTGACCAAAGTAAGTCAGTTCCCTCCCCCCCCCTCCCCGCCCCTTCCACACCGCCCCGGCCCGCGGGCCACGTCAGGCCCGTGGGGCGGGGGTCAGGGAGCTGCCAAACTGACCGCAGGCTGCCCGGAGCTGCAGCAACATGGGGGCCTTGATGGCCTCCGGTGCCGGTCAGTGCTCCTGTGGCTGCGGGTCTCGGTCTCTGGCCCCTGGTCCCTGATGCTGGGTAACCGCTGTGAGAAACTAGTGTCGCATCGCAATATTAATAATAATAATAGTAATAATAATAACATGTGGTATAGTCGGATAATTTCAGTCCTTGCATTTTTGATTGCTTGGGGCTTGGACCGATGGTCTTAATAATAATAATAATAATAATAATAATAATCCTTGCATTTGAGGCAGCGCCTCAATCACGTCTTCTCAACGTCTCAAAGCGCTTCGCGGAATAGGCTGTGAAGCGTCGTGACCGCACATCCGAGGGCGAAACGCGGCGGCAGCGTCCCGCGAGCCGCCGTGGATCGAAGTGACCGGTTTATTATTGTTCCATTTTCTGGAGGGGTTATTATCTTGGTCGGTGTTCTTGGTGCCCCGGTCTTGGTCCTCGTTCCTGGGACCTTCTCCCATCAAGAATGGGTTCGATGGTGGCCGCCTACGTTGAAATGTCCATACGCTGTGGAGCGGGGAAGGCTCTGCCATTCTGCTCCAGCCTTGGGGTGACGGGGTTGTATACTCACCGTTGACCCGGTGGCATGGGTTGGGGATGCCTACGTTCATATGAAAGTTTATAAATGTACAGTTCATTCGTTTAGTTTTTTTTTTAAACTGGCTTGTAATTTTCTTTTCGGGGTTAGTAGACCCTTCAAAAAAAAAAATAGTAATTTGCTCACCCATTCCTCGGCTGCTTGTGGGACACTGCCGTGTGCAATTGGCTGCCGTGGTCTCGCCAACAAAACGTACATTTTTTTGTTACAACGTAGTTCCTGCTCCTTTCTGGCTGAGGGACTCTCTTCTAAAGATCAGTTTTTTCTTCCGTAGCGAAACTTTATATTATTTTCTCCAGAGGCAATACGGTGGGTATTGTATGGTTTTCTATGGAGTGAATATTATTGCAAGACAATTGGCTGCCGTGTTTCAGCCACAAAATAGACAGTAACTCCACTTTACAATATATTCTGTGAAGCGCTTTGAGACAGCTCTGAAGCCGTGATAAGGCGCTATATGAAATGCAAGGATCATTATAATTTAAGTGGATATTATGTCAGCCTACAAAACAAAAACACAAGTCGCTGGAACATTCAGCAGGTCAGGCAGCATCTATGGAGAAAGGAAAGTGAGTCAACGTTTCGGGTCCATGACTCTTCGTCAGAACTGGGGCATGTTGGGAATCAATTCTGATGAAAAGTCATGGACCCGAAACATTGACTCTCTTTCCTTTCTCCATAGAGGCTGCCTGACCTGCTGAGTTTTCCCAGCGACTTCTGTTTTCGTTTTCAGATTTCCAGCGTCGGCAGTATTTTGTGTTTTGATTATGTCAGCCTAGCTCAGTTGGTAGTACTCTCGTTCAGAGACCCTCAAGACAATCGGCCACCCTGGGCAAAACATCAGTGTGCTGCTTCTTTCCAACTGCCTGTCTACCTCATGAAACAGTTTATGACCCGCACCACATTAAAAAGCTTCCGCCACCAAACTGCATCCTCACAAACCTTGGATGTATTGTCAGTGGCACCTTGCCTGACCAACTGCTTCTCTTTGTTGCCACTTTCATGCATCTGAAGCTTTTTATTTCACTACCTTTAATCCAGGCACTTTACTGAAGTTTGCTTGATGGTGACCTAGCCCAATCCCGAGTTAAACTGACATCCGCTATCGTCTTGGAGTCAAGATTTGGAGTTCAAGCTCCACAGTGTAGGTTGGCACTCCAGTGCACTGCAATGAGACCTATACCCAGGTCCCATCGGTCTGTTCAGTTGGATGATAAAGATCTCATTGCACTATTTGAAAAAAGTGAGTTTCTCCCAGATTAAATTGTTATTCACTTTCATGACTATTTGTGGAACATTGCTCTATGCACAAATTGCCCACCACATTTGGCCACAAAACACATAGTCACACTATCTTTCAGTGTTTTGCGTTTCACCCACAAAATATACAGTCAATTTGAGACAGCTTGAAGATAAGGCAAGAATTATTATTATTATCCTGTGAAACGCTATGAGAAGGCTCGACAATGAGATAAGATGCTATGTCAAGTAATATGGTTAAAAACATTTAAGAGAAGTAATATGTTGTTGGTTTCAAATAATATGTTATACTTGAAATTGCTGGATTACTTTGCTGTCCTGTAATCACTTGCAGGTCAGTGATATTCTTTCACCACCTGTTTATATTTTGATCACTAGTCCGACATCTGAGTCCTGTAGCTCAGTGGTTAGAGCACTCGCTTTGCAAGCGAGAGACCTGAGTTCAATTCCAGACAGAGGGCAAAACCTTGGGCAAGTTTCCTTACTCCACACAGAGCCTAATACTAATCCCTCCAAAACCCAAAACAATAATAAATTGGTCATTTTCAATCTACGACTGTTTGTGGGACATTGCTGTGCGCAATTGGCTGCCGCGTTCACCCACAAATATACAGTCAATTCACTTTGCAGTGTGTTCTGTGAAGCGCTTTGGGACGTCCTCCCGACGTGAAAAGCGCTATGTAAAATGCAAGGATTATTATTATTACCTATTATATCAAATTTGCATTGGATGATGCCAACAGTAGCTATGATCTTGGATTCGAGTTTCCTTTCACAATATAGCAAATGTCTTATGCATAAACTATTAATGTACTGTTAAAACAATTCTGCTATACTGAAAAGTTTTAACATGTTACAGTGGTATGATTTACAAAAACATATTGGAATACTATATGATGTTTCACTTTTTATTGCAGGTACCAGCCATACAGCAGAAGAGGACCGTGGCGTTTCTTAATCAGTTTATTGCACATACAGTCCGTTTTTTGAATCGATTTTCAACAGTTTGTGAAGAGGTACAATACAATACAAATGCATTTATATAGTCATTTTCACTTTGGGAGGACGTCCGAAGGGCTGAACAGTCCAGGCTAGAGGTAGGGGCCAATTGCCTGGTGGTATTGTATAAAATGCATCGTAATGTGCTTTCGATGTGTTCAGCCATTAGGTAGAAAATCCTTCCATTCATAGCTGTTCTAGAGGGAATACTAGACAATTGCTGTTAATATGGCACTAAACTTGTAGATGCATTTCTTACAAATCCTGTATAAAGTTTCTCCTGTCACACTCGAAGCTGTTTAATATGTCGTCTTCATAAGCTAATCAGTGATGTGATTTGTAATGTTCAGCAATTTTGTTTCTATTTCAGAAATTGGCCAGTCTTTCTCTCCGTATCCAGCAGATTGAAACTACCCTTAATATCTTAGAGGCAAAGGTAGGTAAAGTTGGGATCTCAGCAATCGCTTGGTATATCACTATTCTCAAGTTTCACACTAGCTCAATTCGTAGCACTCTTGCCTCTTGAGTCAATCGTTTGTGGGTTCAAGTCCCACATCAGCCCCAAGCTGCGACATTTGCCTACAAATGCCTTAAAGGCAGGCTGATATCCAAACATTGAAGTCAACATTTGTTATTGCGGATAGCAGAAAGAAAGTGTAATTATAGGCACTTCCTGCACATATGTACAACATGTCCTGTACACGTGTGTTGCACATCTGTGCAACATATATGGAGTCCTGTAGCTCAGTGGTTAGAGCACTCTAACCAGAGTTTGATTCCTGGCACGGCGAATTTTTGGGCAAGTTTCCTTACCCTACATGCCTTTGTTTACCTAGCAATAAGTAGGAACAAGGTTGGTAATCGATTGGCAGATCGCGTTTCTGAGGATAATAATCCCTCAAACAAAAAAAAAATTCGGTCAATCAATCCATGACTGTTTGTGGGACGCTGCTGTGTGCAATTGGCTGCCACGTTTTGCTCACAAATATATAGTCAATTCACTTTACAGTATATTCTGTGAAGCGCTTTGTGACGTCTCGAAGACGTGAAAAGTGCTATATCAAATGCAAGCATTATTATTTATTATTATGTCAGAGATGTCCTCATTAACCCAGAAGTCAGCTTTTTTTTTAAACACTTTGCTTATAACCTGATCTTGTTGGACATTGGACTCAAAATGACCACTTTACATTTTGTTTGAACATTGCATTACTTGCATCTGTTTGGAGGTTTTTTTTTAGTGAGTGCCATTTTATTCATTCAGAATTTTTTTTATATTTTGTGAAATCTAATTACACTGGGCTTGTTCAGGATTAAATTCTGATCACAGCAAAGCACCTATTTGAGAAATTTGCCTGTCCACAAAAGTCAGTGCTGAGGATATAGATAATGTACTTTCATTATTGGAACTGTTTCATTCTTCAAATGCCATCTGTTTTTAGATAGAGAGATAGAGGAGATAGAGAGATAGATGCAGACACAAAGAAAGAAAGCACACAAAGGAAAACAAAGGGAAAACAAAATAGTTAAAGATTGATCAATCTTTCAATCTGAACTATTTTGTTTGCCTGTGATGTTTCAAAGAGGGAATCTCATAATTTAAGTCCATCTCCAAAATTAAATCATTGAAAAGATTTGCTTTCTATTTCTGTTGATTTGTGGAAATGTACTTTTTGTTTAAGCTGTGTGCCAGTGACCTTATTTGGTTTGGATGAGTTACTGAATGTGACTTGTGAAGGAGCTGAACTAATATTAACAGACATAGTAATTAACCTGTTGATTTTACCAATTTTTCATTCCAACTGTTGGCTGTTACATCCTTAGTTCACTAATTCCCCCAAACTGGTGTCACAGTCAGCCCTGCAGTTTCAATTGGAAATATTTTAAGAATCAGCCAAATTGGATAGAGTAAAATAATAATAATCCGGTATTTTGACTTGCCTTATCAGGTCATCGAGACATCTCAAAGCGCTTCACAGAATATACTGTAAAGTTATGTGACTGTATTTTGTGGGGAACAAAAATTGTTAAAGATAATTTTAATATTCTTAAATGGTTTACTTTTAAAACAAAGTGTGCTGTTAGTAATTTTTTTAAAAAAAACTACTACATTTGTCACCTGTGAGTCCAGGAGTGTTCATTGCCATCAAAATAAGATTGAAACTGTCTGTCTCAAACTTATGATAGTTCAGCTGCAAAAAGAATATGAACACACACTGGAAAATAGAAGCAAATGATTTTGTGTAGCCAAGGAAAATCTGTCTTGCACAAAATCTGCCTCACACAATTATGGGAAATGTGTTGGCAACTATTACGGAAACGTTAGAACTCCTTTCAGTGGCAGAAAGTGAGTATTACACTGCCACAATACAGTATTGGATTTACATCAGTCTCAATGGGCATTATAGTGATGATTTCTGCAGGTCGAGAACCCATGAAATATTGTGCAGTATGGGTGAATTGAAGAAAGAAAAATAACTTCTGTCTGTGATGTGAAAATGTCATGGAATACCTTATTTGAACCATGAAGTTTTCACAATGATGTTCTATTTATTATTTATTTTGAAATAGATTCTTATGTTCAAACAAACTGCACACATGAATACTATGTCTTGCCAAATTATGACTACTTTGTTGAATTCCTTCTTTTGTGAGGGAAATTTTCTAAGCATTTCAGTCTTTGTTTTTAATTGTGATCATTACTCATTCGTGTTTCTCCATAATTTAAGTAAATTATTCTTGTTCTATTATTGGTCATGATTGTTTTGATTTTATAGAATTTGAAAATTGACAGCAGTCCGATTCCAGCTAAGTAGGAGTCTACTTATTTAAAAATCTTAAAGTGTTTTGTGAGTAAATATTGTGCAATGATTGGTTTCATAGGCAAACGTGACAGTCATTTGTGTTCGCAAAGTCCCATGAAAACAGCCATGTAGTTAATGACGAGAGTCGCTACCCTGCATGGGGGGCACTATATAAGTGGTTGTTGTTGTTCTTCTTTTCAGTATGTTGTGTGATCTCTAACCTCCATCTGAATAGACAGATTGCCCTTTTGGGGTTACATCTCATTTGAAAGATGACATTTCTGATAACACAATCCTACCCCAATACTGCACAGCTGAAGTCCCAGTGTGTGGTTTGAACCTAGAACCATCTGACCTAGAGACAAGAGTGCTACTAACTGAGCCAGACTGAATGGCACTGTTCTGTACAAAAAAGATATACAGATAAAGTGCAGTCATCTGTATCTAGTCACATTTGATTTCTGGGCAGTGGATTTTATTTTTGGCTGTCTGAGTGAGTTGTCTGAGTGAGTTGTCTGAGTGGTGGGTCTGTGAATCTAATAAAGAGAGTGGCTTTGTGCCCAAGTGAGAAATAACATGAAACAACTGGGCATTTATTGACTAATTTATGGGACATATTAGTCAAGGATAAAATTGAGTTGACAGATTGGCAGGTTACCACTTTCGGGAGCCAATTAGCATGTGCCATAAAGGACTTGCTAAATTTTTAATGTTCTGCAATTCATGGTGGAATTTAGTATAGCATTGTTGACAAGCCGATGCTTCATTGCTTTCAACTTTTATTATACCAACGTTTGTATGATTTGATTGGAGCATACCAATCAAAGAGGGATATAATTGCACAGCTTAAGAAGAGTTTTTGTGGTATACAGCTCTCCTCAATTCCTGGGTTGGAAGATGTTAAGGTGGAAACATCAAATCAGAGTCAGACTATAACAAACGGTCCATCCTCTGTGAGCGAAACAACCCAACAACAGCAAGCATCTGGATCTCTGCCTCATGAGGTAAGCAGCTGCTTAGTCATTGGATAAAGGAACCTGAAAGAGGTCAGGAATTTCAGACGTTGAGTGATTAAACATTTGTGAAAAATAACACAATGTTGAATGGAAAAATGTAGTCTGTGATACAGCAGCTTCTGAAACAGCACATTTGAGTCTTTGAGTAGTGCAGTTGGGATTAACTATTAAAGTCCTACATTGATAGAATTTCTATGGCATTTCAAAAGTAATGCCTCATTGACTGCTCTCAATTACAATGTTTGTATACACATTTTATTCTATAGTAGATTGCAAAATAATTCAGGGTCATAACAATTTAGGGTACATAACCTTTTAGCCACTAGCCTGTCAGTGATGAGCTTTCACTGTGTATTCAAAAGGATTTCAAGCAAACTAAATGTTAATGTCCTTGCTTCAGCCCTTGAATCCTGTTGCACTGAGGCACCATAAAGTGTTCCATAAAATGCCTTTGTGGTAAAGAATTCATATTCAAGGTATATACATCAGAACATAAAACCGGTTACTGTTTTAGGGATGCTTATCATTCCCAAAGAGTATTACCATCAATGGCTGTAATGGTATTCATACTACAACCAGTAGCACCTTTCATATCTAGAGGATATTTCAAAGTGATTCACACATTGATATAGAAATAATATTTCCTTGTGCTTTTTTTAACTTTTTTTAAACGTTCATTCCCTTGATACTAATAGAGTTGTCTAAAATGTGTTTGAAATGGAAATCACATTAGAATGCAGTTTTGAGGCCACGGTTAATGTCTATTGTTGAGGCAGAGTAGAGGATCTGGAAGTACTTGATGCTGTGACTTGGTGCCAAAAGTGCAACAGTTTTCTGTTTCTCAACACTGACATTTCCTGCAATTAAGCATAACAACTCACAAAAAAACTTTTAATAAAATTAAGTGACCAGAAGTGTCTGTTTTTTTAGTAGTAAAGTTTTAAAATTAAAATATATGGTCATGTTGATGTGTATGGCTGGCTTCACTTAGGGGGGAGGGCAGGGCTGATTTTCCATTTTCTGGACTATAATTTAATGCTAAGTAAAAGGCAAACAAATCAATTTCTATTGTTTGTTTAAGTGACTGTATTTACTTGGTTAGACATAGGATTTTAGAAAGTTAGGGTTTGGTACACTTTGAGAAATTTCAGTGTAAAATTCAAAAGGTCTAATACGAAGAACTAAATGCATTTTGACCTGGAACATCTTTTTCATTCAGAGTTGAATGTTGACAGCTGGAATTTTGACTCCAACCTATTCACTGTACACTTCAAAGTTTGAGTTATGTTTTGTGGTTTAGTCTATATTTCTTTGTTTACATAAAATAATTTTATTTTAGACACAACAGAATAACACTGAATCTTCAACCCAGCACAAAGCAGACATACCTGCTGAGAATATTGTTACAGTAGCCAAAGACCCTCGATACGCAAGATACCTGAAAATGGTGCAAGTGGTGAGTATTCGTCTGATGGAAACTATTGTTTTGCTTTAACTGTTGTGTAATTTGTAACACTTGTTACATTTTGTGGGTGTAATCAAGTCGTATGCTATCTTTTTGAAGTTGAAATATGAATTTGATATTTATTTTACAATGACATACTTTTTCAAGTAAATCCCAGCCGTAATCATCCTGTACTATCACAAGTTTAATATCATTTTTGCTCCTTTCATGCTGTTCAGTTCGTGACATTATAATGTCTATACAAAAAAGAAGCCACTAAATCTTTGTATTTTCTGTTGCAGGGTGTTCCTGTAATGGCAATCAGGAACAAAATGATTTCTGAAGGACTTAACCCTGATTTATTGGAGTGAGTGTATACTAATCAATACTGCTTCAGTTTTTATTGGTTCATTTAATTGTCTTCAGCCAGGTGATTTAATAGGACTAGACTATGATGCCCTCTTGAATTTCTATTGTGTCTGTATGCACAATGTTTTTTGCCTCACAACAATAGAATATATCCTGATCTTTAAGGGGTTGAATAGTCAAGTTCTAATGCAATCTAATACAAAATTACATTTGTAAAGCACCTTTCACATCGGGAGGATGTCCCAAGGCACTGAACAGTCAGGGATTATGACCCGAGCAGGGGGTGGGGTTGGGATCAGGAAGAGTGGAGGGCAGAGAGGGTAGGAAGGTGGCTGAACTCACGGTTGAAAATAATATTATGATATAAATTGTTTTGTTCATGTAACAAAAAAATTGGATTATGATTTACATTGCATGTATATACATACAATTAATTACTTTCTGTGGAGTTTTCAGTCTTTGTTTACATATGTTGAGATTAACTTTAAACCTTGAATTTATATTTAAAATTATTCCTGTCATTTTAAAATGGCTTCAGGTTTTGCAGCCACATTTAGTTTGATAATTGAATTTCTTGCCAAGGATGAGAATATGTTCTCTGGATATCCCTTGTATCATCTGCTCTTCTCTCTATCTCCGTTTAGGACTCCAGACGCTCCTGTTCCTGATGGAGTTAAAGAGGATGAAGAAGCCAACAATTCTGGCAGTGAGTCCTCATTCAGTGACTGAAAAAGGAGCTGGAAGAATATCATTGAATTTTAGTCATTCTGGGGGAGGAAAGTTGTTCATCAAATGGGATCTTATGTCACTTCTATTTTTATGCATAAATGCAGTGTGGACAGCTCCAACTAAAATTGTGGCACAAATCTACTCGTAACAAAATTTCAAGATGTGCAAACCTTGAGAGCACTGAGAGTTGTGCTGAATGGGGCATACTCTGCCCTTCCATTTTTCTCTTCCTGCACTTTGCTCTTCCTCCCCCGGCTCCCTTTCTAATTTTTGACTGATTTGTGGCCCCTGATTCTAACCTCAGTATTTCAAATGTGGCTTCAACGATTTGTGTTGACAAAACAAGTAGGTGCTGCAAAGCTACTGTGAGGATCAAATTCTTTTTAAAGGTTTTTCTTCAAATGTTCCTGCATTGTATTTTTTTCTTTCCAAATTGGAGTACAAAGAGTAACCATGGATAATATTCTAGATTCTGAGCAGTTTGTTCAGATTCTGTTTGGGCCAATACTGTTTGAAGTTGATATTTTGATAAACAGTTGCAGGAATGGTAAAACTGCTATGTGACCTAATCTTACCCAATAGCCTGGAATGATTCGCTTGGCACTAAGTACTTTTCTCAACCAAAGGAGAAGCATCAGACTTCTGCTCACTGCTTCCCTTTGATAATCCAAATGATACAAGGAAATGGTGTACCATCCCCTTTGTTATAAATGTCACATCAAAACTATTTCATTCTTGGATGATGCATATAAATTTAAATAGAACAAATGAACCATTTCAATCTGTGAAGTTGAACAGGTTGACCCGTTACACTTTATCGGGCACATTTTTAATATGGCTTTGCTAAAGTTGGTGCTAATCCTTAATACAACTGCAGATGCTGAACATTGACTAGTTAACATTTCTGATGTACTTTAATTGCGTTTAACTTCTACATAAATCAGTCTGAAGAACTGCAGTATTAATGGAAAACAAAGTTGAAAGATATTCATTAATTTTTTTAAAAAATTCCTTCATTTGAAATCGTTGAATGAACAGTTTAATTTTAAATCCTTTCAAAAAATTATGTGTAGTAGACTAAGTGAAAATGCTAACATTTGTTTGCTGGGATAAACATTACAAATTCTGCAATTTACTTGCCTAATGTGTCAACTTCTGTTGGAAACTGTCTTGCAATTTAATTTTTTAACTTGTACTTAACAAACCTCATAACCAATTATGAAAGCGGCACAGAAGTGGGCTACAGCATTATTCTTTATCTTGTTTCCTGGATCCGAATTAAATTAGTTCAGCTGGATTGATGTCTTTTCACTTTGCTGGCTGCAGTAGCCCTAAATAGAGTTAGCTAACATCAGTCTGTCTTGTTTCTAGCGGGCATAGATGCATAGCAAAATACTCATTCAATGCTTAAACAGCAATTCGGTTGAAGAAACCCAGAAATAACTACTGTGGGAAATGATAAAATTAACACTTTTGTTTGGTAGGATGTGTTCTCATCTTGAGTTTGGGAAACAATGGAGGGAACATTATTCTACAACTCACTATGGAGGAAAGTGGGTGCCTGCAATGGCACAGGTGTTCTTTCTGTTCCCCAGTACTAATGTCCCTCGCTGTAATGAACGTGAACATTCACTAAAAGCTCTGTTTCCGTATTCCAAACAAAGTCTCTTTTGGTTTTAATTCCTGAAATGGATTTTGTGCAGTTCTCTTTTCAGCACTGCTGCACTTATTACGAAGCATGACAAAAGGCAATATACTTAACACCTCAGATGTGGGAAAATCTGTCAGCAGTGAATAGACATTCATGGTTCAGTCCTTTCATTTGAATATTGAATGTTGGTTGGTTGAAAGGCATCCAGTTGCACTTGATTTGATGAGACCTTGATGAATTCACTTTAGAACTGCGATGCAGTGTCACTGATCACAGATAGTCGGGACATCCAGCACTTGTCGGAGAGTATGAGCTGTATTACTGTACACAGTATTATAACCTTACCTGGTGCATGTGCTTGAGGGAGCAGAAGAGAATATTTCAAGATTCAAGGCTCTCGTCACTCGTTTTGAGTTTAACGAACTTCTTTTTTTTTTCTGATATACTTCACCTTTACCACGTCCTGCACTTTCGTCCCTCTTCTGCAGTAAGTATTTTGGTTTTGTGTATATTAGAAGGATTTCAAAAAAATACTGTGAAGCATTGTGGAGTTCAGATGGAATTAAACTGCTCGTTTTATTCTTGCTGTTTGTGATATCTCGAATTCTTGCTGCATTGAGACTCCCAACACATTCCTAGTTTTTCTTCAAGTGTATATAATGAATGTAAGCTATTCTTGGAGTATTATCCCTCCTACTGCTTTTCATGTTCTCAGGGAGTTGCCTTTGGAGGGATCTTCTGTTTTTTAATTAATAGAAAAAATTGACTGGCAGCAATGTAAAAGTATTAAGGTATACTTCACTAACACTAGCAGATTTGGTTTGAACTTTCTTACCAAGATTAGGATTGGCAGGACTATTGATGGGACAGATCATAAATTTAATCTTCAGGATTTATTGCTTTGCCCAACTGAATTGATATTTGTATCACTCAGAAAACCCTAACTTCTTATTTTATTTTTGTCGGAAAAAAGTACATCTTCGCTGAACATGCAACATGTATTCCCCTTGGCTGGATGCCAGAACTGTTGAAACTACTGAATTTTATTTATAAAAAGGATACCTGCTGATTTACCTCTTATAAAATTACTTTATCTGTTTTAGTTTCATTGCTCCCGTGTCAAGTCTTGATATTAGTTTTTTACTTGCCCAGATTCTAACATTTCAATCTGGCCAACAATTGAGAGATGCCAATAGTTGAGTAAACCATTCTCACAAGAAGAAAGAGTTTATGTTGGTGCACTGACTTAGAGAACTGCATTCCTGCACCATTTATTCTGTGTTTGATCTGAACTTGGCTACAACCTGGAGAGACACTTGTAAGTACTTTGTTGAAGAAAAGGAGGGAAAATGTAATTCACACGTTGAAAAATGTTAGGAAAAGGTAAAAGGAATTTTAATACTGGTTAAATTTTAATTGCATAGTTCAAAAGGAGGCATTCACTTTAATAAAAGACTTTAATTTGGAACTTTTAAAATGGAAAATTCTGGTATTTTGTAATTTATTTATTCAAATGGATTACCCCATTTTTCAGTTGTTTGCATAAAAGGAACACAAGCAGAATTTATTTTGAGCTAACTATTGACCAAATAATAATGTGTACCAAAAGTGCACAAGATTGTCCTTGTAAAAAGTGTGAGAATAAGTACTGGTCATAGGGGAGTTTGGGTTCCCTTATATTCAGGTTGCACAATACCAGCAAGTGACTGGATGGATACACTTCAGAATAAACTATAAAAGCATTTTAAGATGTACGGAAACAGCAGAAAATGAGGAAACAGATTTTGGGTTGGAAATGACAAACGCGCCAGGGTATTTCTTTACAAAGAGGTAATTAATAACGGAACAGTTTGCCAGGAAGGATGGTTGAGGTCAGGACACTGGATTCATTTAAAAACATGGTTTGATACTGTGATGAGAGGATCTTCTGGAGACGAGATAAAGGGACCGAAGAGATTTCTTCATTAACTGATCTCAGCAGCTGAGCAAATATGACAGTATGACACAAAAGTCCATCACTTTCTTGCCTTTAGTGTTGGAGATGAGAAAGGAGGGAGCATGGAAAGGGGGGTAGAAGAGTTGATGGGCTTTGGGGCAGTTTTGAGTCACATAAGGTCAAAAGAAATAGACCAGAGACTATAGGGAGAGGAGGTGGATGGTCATGCAGGGGGATTTGCAGGGTTAAGAAATCATGTGGGCTTTGGTTGGAGCAGCATGTTGAGGATAATGGTGCGGGAGTAGTGTTCAATAAATCAACAAAGAAGATGAGGTTGGGGCAGGCAGAGTGCTAAATGGCAGAAGTTCAGCAGGCTCGAGAGTATTGCGAGCCAGGGTTATTTTCACGGGCATCGTCAGTTTGGTGATGGGTGAGGGAAATAAGGGAAATTAAATTGTCACAGACACAGTTTTGTTGAAGATTGAGATGCTGGTAACAGAGGCTTTGGGTGATGACCAGGTTGAGGGATTGGATGTGGATAGTGAAGTTAATGTAAAGGGTGCGGGTGAAGGAAACGATGACATTCGGAAAAGAGGCAGAGGGAGAGGATATCTGGGAGCAATGTGCTTGGAGGTTGGGGTGGGGAATGGTAGATAATGAGGATTGTGAGGGAGAGATTTGAGGATTGGTGGAGAATTTTTGAACTCGATCCTCTGAGGGATGGGGAGCCAGTGGAGCCGGGCGAGGATGGGTGTAATGGGGTCACAGAGCCTGGTGTGGGAGAGGACATGAGCTGCAGAGTTCTGGATGATCTGCAGCTTGTGGAGGGAAAGTTGGGAAGGCCGGCAAGCAGGGCATTGGCATAGTCAAGCCTGGTTGTAATAAAGGAAATTTCCTGGGAAAGTTTCACAAAAACTCCATGAAACCTAAAAATAATTGAATAAAAATTCAAGATATTGATATGCTCTTATCTCCATTACAAAATGGTTTATTAGCATTTTATTTAAGTCTGAGATGTGTTATTGCTTTAGAGCAAGTTCCCCTACATGCCATAATAATAATAATAATAATAATCCTTGCATTTGATATAGCGCTTTTCACGTCGGGAGGACATCCCAAAGCGCTTCACAGAATATACTGTAAAGTGAATTGACTGTATATTTGTGGGCGAACGCGGCAGCCAATTGCGCACAGCAATGTCCCACTAACAGTCGTAGATTGAAAATGACCAATTTATTATTGTTTTTCGTTTTGGAGGGATTATTATTAGGCTCTGTGTGGAGTAAGGAAACTTGCCCAAGGTTTCGCCCTCTGCCTGGAATTGAACTCAGGTCTCTCGCTTGCAAAGCGAGTGCTCTAACCACTGAGCTACAGGACTCCACATGCCTCTCACTAGGTTGTTCATTCTGACAGTGATGAATAATGGGTTCCTATTACTACAGGGCACTTTTAGGCAAGTGGTAATGCCAGAGTTCATTTTACTGACTGATAACTGGAATACCATATTGGCTCTGAATTATTCCTGGAACCTTTATGAAGATATGTATGAAGACATGTCTATGAGTGCCAACTCACTGAATGCACTTCATTAATTAGTAGAGAGAATCCAAACTATTTTAATGAACAAGTCTCAAACTTGTTTGAGCATTTTGACGGTGTTTCCCAGGGTAATCATGATTTTATATACAAAAAAAGTACAAGAATATCGAACAGCCTATGCAATCCAATGACAAATGCACATATGAATTAAAGTACAGTGATAATGTCTAGCACAAAACCAAAAGACCATAAGACGTAGGAGCAGGAGTAGGCCATTTGGCCCCTCAAGCCTGCCCCGCCATTTAATAAAATCATGGCTGATCTTCTAACCTAATTCCATTTACCCGCCCTATCCCCATATCGCTTAATCCCTCTATCCTTTAGAAACCTAAGTGTTGAATATGTGGCAAGGTTACACTAAGTAACCCATATCACTTGGTGTACCATTTAGGATTATTAAGTTACACATTGGCAAATGACACAGCAGTAGTAATCAAAAAGAGTCTCCATCCCAACATGTGTCTGATTCATGTATAACTTCAACAGGCCCAGTCCATGGAGATGCAAAGGAGATGTGAGCAATAATGTGCCAGTTCAAGGCAAACTAGAGTATTACAAGTAGGGTGACCTTGTTAACCCATCAAGATGAGGGCAGGGATTTCCTTGCTTATTATACTCACAAAATGGTACATTATGCCCAAATGTGAAGCTTGAACAAGTAATCTAACCAAGAAATTGCTCCTGATAGAGGCTGGTTTGATTGACCACCAAGCTGAAATGGCTTAAACAATTATAAACACCCCATGAATTACTTAAATTATTGGGCCACAGCAATCTTTTGTTTTTGCTTTTCAATAATTAACAGACTTAAACAAAGAATCCTGCCTTATTTTGTGAATAGAACAAAAATTGTTAGGCTGTTCTCCATATCCAGCAGGTAATTATTAAAAGACATTGCCAATTTGGACAAACCAAAAGTTCTAACCTCCATTCTAAATTGCTCCAGAGATACTTCAGTGCTTGGTTAGAGACTTAGAGCAAATGCAGCCTTGAGCTGAAGAGAAGCACAAAGCATGCATTTCTGACTCTGGGTGCCTAAGAAAAATATGTTTTCATATGCTCTCAAACGTGCAGGTATAATAAAATAATCCTTACATTTGTTATTGTGCCTTATTGCGTTGGAATGATGACTCGAGCTCATACCATTTACTGTGAAATGGAGCGATTGTATTTATAGGCAGCAAAATTGCGCGCAACAATGTCCCTCATACAGCCATGAAACGAGTGACCAATTTTATTTAGGGATTGTCGGTCAGGCCAGTGTTAGGCACAGGCTGGCTGAGAAGGGTGAAGCACTGACCTCGGTGACAAGTACAGATCTTTTCCTGGTATGTACTTTTTGGGGCCTGTGTTAATTTTGCACCAAGAGAAATACAACTACACATGTTCTAGAAACTGGTGCTAATTGTTTGCTGTGTCCAAAATCACTTAGGTAATTTTATAACGAAATGGAGCAGAGGCAAAGCAATCATGAGAGGTATAAGTCACAGAAAGTATTTGGCTGGCTGATCTGACAGAAAGAGACAACAGTATCATATGTAATGAGTATAATATCTATATAATTCTTAATTTTTATTTAATATAACTAGCCCCAAATGGCCCTGATGCATAGTGAGATTGGACAAGTCTAGGGTCTGCTACATTTCCACTATGGACACCCGCCAGCTCCTTCTCCAACACACATTTTATACGAAAAGGATAAAATGGAATAAATTAGCCCTACATGGCCATTTCATTTGGTGGTCTTGCCCATATCTGTGCCACTCATCACTTGATGGGAAAAATGCTTGAGAACTGCTGTGTGCGAATGGCTGCCACGTTTTGCCCACAAAATAAACAGGCAATTCACTTTACAGTATATTCTGTGAAGCGCTTTGAGATGTCGCAAAGTCGTGATAAGGCGCTATATCAAATGCAAGGATTATTACTTATTTTACTTGTTCTGAGATAGCCTAACCAACAGCCTGGCTGAGAGCTATTGGGGTTGAAGTCAGGCTCTCCATAAGGCAGATAGAGCTAACTAGCTGGCAATCCTAAACATTGTTTTTA